GGAGCAGTTCTCAGTCAGCTACAGAATGGCAGGAAAAGGGTCATCGCCTATGCAAGTAGAGGCCTGAATCCTGCTGAGTCCAGGTATCCTGCCCACAAGTTGGAGTTTTCGGCAATGAAATGGGCTGTCACAGACAAATACAGAGACCACCTTGGAAATCAATTCACGGTACTTACAGAAAACAACCTCTTATTATACGTCACAACCAGGGCAAAACTCGACGCAAACGGCCAGAGATGGGTGGCCGCTCTCTCATAATTTGACTTTGTTGTGAAATATAAACCCGGTAGAAGCAACACAGCTGCCAATGCACTTTCCCGCAAGCCTCATGTCGACAAATCAAGAACTTCATTCTCCTTCCAGAAAGAGGCCATCACTATCCCATAACCAATAGTCCAAGCAATCTGCAATGGTCATCCTCCAGTAACCATGCCATTTCTACAGCCTGAAGTCGTCCATATGGAATCCACCACTGTGAAGTCCAATGTCCCCGCAAATGAATTGCCTCACATCTCACATAAAGATCTCCAGACAGCTCAGAGGAATGACCAGGACATCTCAAAAGTTATCTACTACCTGAAGAGATGCAGAAAACCTACCCCATGGGAGAGAGCTCGAGAAAATTTTGGATGTCGTCAATACTTCCGGCAGTTGAAGAGACTTCAACTCCAAGATGGTATTCTCTACCGTATGAGAAAGACAACTTAGGTGATATCACAACAGCTGATCCTTCCCCAACAACTCAGAGATAGGCCTACTGCCATGACCTCTCTACATGACGATCTTGGTCATCTGGGAATTGACAGAACTCTTGAAGTGGTCAGACACCGTTTCTTTTGGCCAAAGATGGCTCAAGATGTGAAAACTTGGTGTGATCGATGTGAGAGGTGTTGTCTACGGAAAACCCCATTAACCAAGACACGAGTCCCACTGGTCAACATCCAAACAAGTGAACCTATGGAGCTCCTCTGCATCGACTTCTTGAAACTTGAACGGAGCAAGGGTGGTTTCGAGAATATTTTGGTTGTTACCGACCACTTCTTTAAATACGCCCAAGCTATCCCGACTCGTGACCAAAAAAGCCAACAGCAACCAATGCAAGGATTATCTAAAATGTACTATATGTATACATGTACATGTAAACATTGTTCCATGTTCTTACTTATCGTGCTAAGTGACACTATGCAAAAGACTGTGGTTATTGTAATCTCCACTATAAATTGTTTAAATTGAACTTGTTACCACCAGATTATAGCAGTTTTGATTGTTGATGTTTTTGATGTTGATTTTTGCTGATGTTGATTTCTTAGCCAAAGACAGTTGTTTGCATACATATGCCAAAGCTCTTCGTACTACAAGCATGCAACAAGTTATCAGGGTTTTCCGTTTTCTAGTAATTTGACTATCAAACTATAATGTCTTAAATATCTTAATTAAGTTGTTGATCAAAATGTAAGGAAAGTTTTTCCATATAATGTATAGTTTTTTCATATATAAATGACTTTGTTGATGTCTCGCAGCGTTTATCGTGTATTTTATTTGCAATTGATTCAAATTCATTCTATAGTAATAACAACATCAGTGAATTGATTGGCACCGTAATTTCTGAGCTTGTATTGATTTAGAATGTTTAAAATTGTTAAACATACAAAGACAAATTGTATGTTGTTTAGTAAGTCTTTTAATACAATCGTTACCAAGGGATATTCTTATTGATAAGTACATTTTGTGGTTTGTATACTGATAACAAATTATCCTGGAACAATCACATTGATTGTCTGTGTAAAATTGTTGCTAGAAATATCGCCGTTCTCAATACAATCAAGTTCTGTGTCCCCTTATATATTCTCTTATCTCTTTACAACACACTTTGATTTTGTCTTACATCAATTATGGAATTTTAGCGTGGGGAGAAAAAGTGTCCAGACAAAAAAACCTGGTCACTTTGGTGAGAGGAGAGCGCTTTACGCACAAGCCACCCATGCCACCAAATGCAGGTACATGATAAATTGTAATGTAATTTTAATTTCAATCCACTGAAATATAACTGCTGTACATACTTGCATTGTTGAGGATATCTCAGACACATATATTAATCTTCAATCCATTTACTCTGCTGTACATACTTGCATTGTTGAGGATATCTCAGACACATATATTAATCTTCAATCCATTTACTCTGCTGTACATACTTGCATTGTTGAGGATATCTCAGACACACATATTAATCTTCAATCAATTTACAGTACTCTGGTGTATACATGTACTTGCATTGTTGAGGATATTTCAGACACACATATTAATCTTAATCCATTTACTCTGGTGCATATACTTGCATTGTTGAGGATATTTCAGACACATAAATTACTCTTCAATCCATTTACTCTGGTGTATACACTTGCATTGTTGAGGATATTTCAGACACATATATTAATCTTCAATCCATTTACTCTGGTGTGTATACTTAAGGATATTTTAGACACATCGTATTAATTACAAACCTGGTTATGTACTTGCATTGTTGAGGCTATCTCAGCACATTGTATTAATTTCCAAACTGTTTACTCTTTGTCATTTAACGGAAAAAAAAGTGATTGTCAACAAAGATACATGCAGCACAGAGAATCAAGAAGCTGTCTTACATCATTTGTTTATACTTTATTTTTGACGTCAACACACAGTAAATTTCCCTTTGCTTTCCTACGGTTCCTGGATTCCTGCATTGAAACTCATGTATTTCTACATCCATTTTTTTTTTTAAATTTTACATATAAACCAACACGACCATGGGCGTCGCCAGGTTTTTCTAGAGGGGGGCAAAACATATTTTTCCTTATTTTTCCTTTGTTTTACCGTGGGAAAAACCTCTTTGTAAAAAGATTTTGCGTGAAAAAATGAACCGGCCCTACAAGACATTATTATCGGGCTGCAAGTAATTTCGAATTTTGTCAAGAACTTATTCAATAACTGAGCGTGGGTGGATGTTTTCGTTGAATATCTCATTCAAAAGTGAATAACTTTTATAAGAAAATGGCAATTGAAAAACAAATGTTTCGGGGTGAAGGTGGAAATAGCCTGAATGAAAGGTAGATGCGCCCCTGTTATAATAATACAATACAAAGTTCTGTGTAGCAACTCATTGAAGTTTTAAGTTTCATTACATGTCATTTTATTTTTGATAAACGTGTTTAACTTACCCCCAAACAAATAGTTTTTATATATATGCTCTACATGCAGCTCCACTGTTTTGTGGCTTTGTTTTTCAATCTTATCTGATATCTCAGCATCTCACGGTGTATGCACCAAGTATCATTGTTTTATTGTCTGTAAATTTGTTTCAACTTTTCAGTAAAGTTGATAAGTTGATTTCAAATCACTGATCATGAAGAGGAATCAGTCTGTTGGTAATAAATGATGAAAAGATTGCAAAATATGTTCAAGATGTATCAACTGTTTTCTTTGAAAGATATTTATAGCCTTGTAACTTGTAAGTTATATTCATCATTAAGATGATTCATCATTAAGGTTCCATTATGATTGGAACATAAGCGAACAGAAAACAAAATCTATTTTGAAGACCCTCTCCATCGATCTGACATTGAGAAATTAAAATGAAAACATTTGGAGAAACTTTGAAAATTATTCTTCACCAAAAACATGCTGTACCCTTAGCTGGAGTTACCCAGCCCTGAGTTTTATCATTGGGTTGTCATCTAGGCTGGAGTTACCCAGCCCTGAGTTTTATCATTGGGTTGTCATCTAGGCTGGAGTTACCCAGCCCTGAGTTTTATCATTGGGTTGTCATCTAGGGCTGGAGCGCATTTTTCCTCAAAACTTGTAGTATTTGCAAAAAAAATTTGGAAAATGTTCAATTTTGTCCCCGTTACACACTAATTGCAACTGCAACTCACCCCAAACTTGCCTGGAATAACCATTACACAGGTCCTTGAAGTAAAAAAACGATCCACGATGAAGATTCAGCCTACAATTGCAGTGAAAACAGGAGGAATAACCGCTAACTTGACAACCTTGCTGGATTGGCCAGGACCGCTATTGGTTTGTGCACAAAAAAAATTGTGTACAATGAATGGCGGTCGATTAACAGGCACAGAGAGCGATCGCTGTCAACTACTCGTTTTAGCCGGCTGCGCTGGCTGTTGGCGCATGACGTCACGCGGAAGCGTAACACCCGATGACTGTTTTATGCACTATTGGTTGCGGTTCCAGTACCAAAGCTGTGATGCGAGTGGTAAACCTTATATTAGTGCATGAAACAGTCATCGGGTGTTACGCTTCCGCGTGACGTCACGCGCCAACAGCCAGCGCAGCCGGCCAAAACGAGTAGTTGACAGCGATCGCTCTCTGTGCCTGTTAATCGACCGCCATTCATTGTACACAATTTTTTTTGTGCACAAACCAATAGCGGTCCTGGTCAATCCAGCAAGGTTGTCAAGTTAGCGGTTATTCCTCCTGTTTTCACTGCAATTGTAGGCTGAATCTTCATCGTGGATCGTTTTTTACTTCAAGGACCTGTGTAATGGTTATTCCAGGCAAGTTTGGGGTGAGTTGCAGTTGCAATTAGTGTGTAACGGGGACAAAATTGAACATTTTCCAATTTTTTTTTGCAAATACTACAAGTTTTGAGGAAAAATGCGCTCCAGCCCTAGATGACAACCCAATGATAAAACTCAGGGCTGGGTAACTCCAGCAACTGTACCCTATACACTCCTAAATCCCCAATTTTTGTATGTGATTTTAAGTCCAGCCAGGGTTAATGTGTGATTATTTTTTTTTCCTCATTTTTTAGTACCTGCAATATATGAGCTTCAATATAATTATATTGCAATATGCCATTGTGCCAATTACAGATGCTTGCAACCCCCCCCCCCCCCCCCCCCCCAACACTGCTTGTGCAGTGGTGGTTTTAGGGCAGTGTTGTTATGGTGAACACGTACGCTATGAAAGGACTGTTAGTCTGGTTCCTGCACCAAATGATCCTCTGATGTCACTTGATGGTTTTGGAAACAAGACAAGCCTTCTGCTTCTTGACAAGTCGTGAGAAAAGTAAGTCCGATTATTTTTCTTTTTATGAACCACTGTACAGCTGATAACAGTTTTTGAGAATTCTATTCTTAGTTATATGATAAACATCAAAGTCGCAAATGGTCATCATTTACGTGTGATTTTGAGGCTGCTTTGTAGTGAAAAAGAATTATAGTCGTGTACCCTAACGTGGCGCACTTCGAAGCTTACCCGACTTTCCTCGTGTAGTGTTGCCAAACCTCTTTGTTGACAAACTTCAAATTCATGCAATGAAATACTAGTACTTTGACCTTATCAATGCTTGCTATTTTACCTCTGTGAACAATTTCAGTTTCATAAAATTTAATCCGAAATTCAAAAACGGTGGTGTCCGGAAATTGGGCACAAAGTGGCGGAGTGTTCCCTAACGTGGCGCGCTTGAATAAATCTTGGAAAATTCCAAATTAACACTTAGGCCCTACGAATTCCTGTAAACTTGATAAATTCTGATAAGTAATTAATATCTTTACTTACATACCCAGCCAAATGTTTGTCAGAAAATTATTTTATTATTTTTCAGGGCATTTTCAAAGGGTTCACTTTGCACTTGAAAATAAAATCGGAAAATCACGCCAAAATAGCTTTTCCTTCTAACTTTGTTACGGGTAAATAAACTCGCGATTTATGAACAGGACCGTTTAGAACTTGATGAAATTTCACTTTCTGTGAGGGGGGAATGTGCCAGGTAGTTTTGAGTGTGTATATAGCCTAGGGTCAGAGCAGCCATAGTTCTAGGGTAGGGTCATGGGGGGGGGGGGTTAGACCTGGCCCAGGTTGAACGACGTCTTTATTGCATTTTTTACGACTGATGAATTGTACCATCATAGAGAAAAAAATTAGGCCTATAACACATTTTTTTCATATTTTTACTTGACGGAGGAAGCTGAAATTTCACTTACATATTCCTTGTGTCATGTCCAGTATTGTACCTGCACTGAGTTTAGGAACGGCAAATATGTCCGCGGGCGGCGTGTTTACCACAAATAAATCGCAAGTTCTACGCTTTCCTTGAAAACATGTTCAGTACGAACTCCATGCGTGAAGACGTATATGCGCGTGCCGTTTGCTGCCGCTTGCTGATGTGGCGGCTGCATGCTAGGTGTGCATGCACGCGTGCACGTAATCTTCACACGGGGAGTTGGTACTGAAAATGTTTTCAACGAAAGCGTGGGATTGCGGTTTATTAAACACACCGCCCGCGGACATAATTGCTGTTCCTAAACCCAGCGCATGCACAATTCGTGACACAAGGAATATGTAAGCGAAATGTCAGCTTCCTCCGTCGGGTAAAAATATGCAAAAAATGTGTTATAATTTTTTTCGCTATGGCAGGAGAGATTCATACCCTGGACTCCGTTGCGTGTACACAACTGAGTCCAACCTGGGCTAGGTTAGACCCGTAAACGTGGCTATATTCTACGCTTCGTTCATATAAATCTTCTAGATAATAGAAGGCACTCTGCAAGCTCGCGGAGTGCCTTAATTCTAGAAGTAGGATCTGTCATTCCAAAGAAACTGAAGGGGAAAAAAGAGAGCATACATCAACACGACGAACTTCTGCCACAAATCGTGCATGGTATACGTTTATAATAGGCCTAATTTCATGTCAAAAATTATAGAACGCCACAGTGGGATGACCCTGCCCTTTTTGGGGAGGTGAGGGGAGTTGTGGTGGGAGGGGGCAGGGCTAGGGGGCATGAAGTGACATGATTGGCAATACTTGGACTAGATTCTTAATCAATGTAAACTCACAGTTACAGCTATTTTTCCACAGGTTATTGAGGTGCATGGTTAAATATTTTTTAAAGACAGAATTAGTGCATGGCCAGATAATCTGCCCTGGGGTCTCCGCTTACTAAAACTGGAATAAAATTTGTCCAACGGTTTGCATTATCAGATGTAACAGAGGCTTATATACTAGGACTCTGGTAATTACTCCTTTTAACATAGGAACATGATCTGTTGAAAAAAACCTTTGTGTAGTGTAAATAAATTTGAATATTTATTTGGTAAATTGTGGCAAGAAAATTTTTAAAAAATAGCTCTTATATCGCAAATAAAACTTGGATAATTTTGCATACCTGCCAAAAAGTACTGTATGAGGGCAAAAGCAATTGCCATTTTTTTTCCTACCCATATATTGTACATCAATTGTGAAATTAACAATTGATTGAAATTAAGTTCTAGTTGAATTTTGTTCATGTGGCATTCAAGGGAATTCCTCCAATTGCAAGTGTTATTTTAAAAACGAAATTTATTTTTGTGATTTTCATTCTGTTTTCAGATCACCACTTCCAGCATGCGCCCGTGGAGCTGCAGTCGGAAAGCAGGAAGACCAACTTAAATCACCAAAGTTTCAAAACTTGCGTTCTCCTTAATTGTATACTTCCATGGCACCAAAACCTGGCCAAAAGTTCAGGTTGCATACTGGTCCTTCAAGTTCTACCACTTCCAAAAACAATAACAGCCAGTTTGTATTACTTCCTTCGGTGGGGAACAGGGAATGATTTACTGTTGGGAAAAAAATGATGAATACAATGGATGATTGTTAGACAAGTACCATGGCATCCCAGCATCAGTCTAGACGGAGCGTGCGGGGCGGCCCGCCTGCAGCGCCGAGCAGACAATGGTCAACAGTGGGCCAACCAACAGGAAAGGTATCTCAAAATCTTACTGAAATAATTTTATTAACCCTAACCGCCCTGATAATCCTTCAAAATCCTCTTTGCCAAAGTGGAGGAATTTGGAGAATTGAGGTTTGACATGGCAAAAGTGCGTTACTGATTTCATAGGATGCACTTTGTCAAGGTCTTGGGCCGGACCTTGTGTTGTTTTTGCTTAGCCATGCATAAGTATAGGCCTGGATTATGTTTGAAATCCTCAGTACTGCTCCGGGATGTCACTGGCCAAACCTCAACATATTGACAGTCACTGCCGCAGGATTCAGGCAGTGGTCACCCCTCCACGGACCGTATTCAAGAAATAATGGAGGAATCTGCAGGATTGACGCTATATGCAATTTTTCTATGAGGCCATTTGGAGGATTTTGCAGGATTGAGGCTAAAACCTTGCAAAAAGGCCTAGGGAGTTAGGGTTAATGTTTCATAGTGGTGTGCATTTACAGGTTGTACGACAACCCGGTAACCTATTGAAGTATAACACGGGTGCCCGTAAAAAGAAACCCAGCCCCAAAATTCAAATCCCGGAAGATGTCTGAAGGGCTTTATAGCTTTACAGTGTAAACTGCATCTTCCGAAAGCGTCATCTGTTGTGCATTTAAATGCACACAAATGTGAAATCAGTTTTGGTTTTCCATGTAGCCTGGTTTATGTTTGGAAAATTCCCCACAAACGGCATTCAAAATTTTTGTTTTTATTGTCTGAGAAGTTACTTAGTAATTTGCAAAGTTTGTTACGGGTACCTAATTTTATAATCTGGAACCGGTTATCGACATCGGCGGTCTGGTTGTCGGGTACCCGGTTCCGATGCACACCCCTATTGTTTCACAGATCAGATTCCTACTTCCTTGTGATTTGTGGAATTATTTCTCTGTTACGATCAACTTCTATCCCTGACAACTTTGTGTGTTTGTTTGTTTTCCATTCAGGCAAATTATCGACCAATGACAGGCATGTCCAGAAGGCCATCCAGACAACAGCTACAGAAGCCAGCCAGACAGGACAGCATCCCAGAAGCAGAGAGAAACGAATCAACGCCTGACCAAAATGAACAAGTAAAGGAATATAATAATAACAATAATATAATAAAAAATCCCCCAATGGGCTCCGTGCTCAAGTACCCCCTCAACGGTAAGAAAAGGGAGAGTTGAGGGAAACAACTGGAAGGGACATTTGAAAGCATTATTGACGACGGGTGTCAACGAAAACTACTCCTGAAAGCCCGCAAAAGTCCTACTTTTATCCTGATTTTGTCCTCCAAAGTCCTACTGTTGTCCTCCAAAGTCCTATTATATCCTGATTTTGTCCTCCAAAGTCCTACTTTTGTCCTGATTTTGTCCTCCAAAGTCCTACTTTTGTCCTGATTATGTCCTCCAAAGTCCTACTTTTGTCCTGATTTTGTCCTCCAAAGTCCTATTTTTGTTCTCCGAAGTCCTACTTTTATCCTGTTTTGTCACCTGGGCCTGCTTGAAAGCCTCACGTAGTCTCTAAAAATATTTCAATCAAACATTTCATGTACTGAATTTGGTTTGGCAAGTCTTGGGACAGGTGTTTGAGTCTCTCTGTGCCCATATTTTTCAAAAAATGCAGCCAGTTCAACCTCTTCCAAACTCCAAGAAGCGCTATTCCTACGGCCAGCCGTCTGACCCGCGAGTCGCTGCCGAGATGGCTGTGTTGACCGAGTACGTTAAGGAGAAGAGCCTCATGAGTACCATGATGACATGCTGCCAGGCGGTCCTGCAACGGGAGAGTCTTCCGTACAACCCTTACCCTGTCTTTGTCAGCTGGATGCGACGTGAGGCCGAACGGTAGGTTGTAGATCATTGACACGTTAAATTGCCCAGTTGTAAAGGCCATTCTGTAAATTTGGGGACCACGTTTTTTCCTGTCCCTGTTACATCTATGAATTTATAATTCCGATGCCTCCTTTAATGCAGTCGTCTTCCAAGAGTGATTATAAATAGCAACCTGCCTACCCTACAAATAAAAAATTGATAGATATCATTCTTATACTTAAGTTAGAGTAGATCATTTGCAGCTATCCAAAAAGTAACTGACCAAATTATTGTTGAAAAGTTTGGTTTAAAGATAGTAGCGGCAATAAATTCCCTGTGAAATTATTCTTTCTGGCATGCTGTCACTTTGAAGAAAACATTGAAAGAAGAAGGCCATTTCCAAAGTGATGCATTTTTGGAAATTTTCGTTAGTTAGTTGGTCTGTAATTCGGCGAATTCGTGACTGGGTGTGCACAAGCTTTGACACAACGCACATGCACGTGCGCAATTGCTTTTATTCGTCGGTTCAGTGTGTGACATCGCGTAGCTGCAATCGGTTGAATGAGAACGTGTCCGGATGCTGATTTCAGGCACAATTCATAGCATTCAACTTTCGAATTGAAATTGAGTTTCTAGAACATTGTTTTCTCAGAATATACAGCATTCACAGAGCTCAAACTTCATCAGGTTAGTTGTTAAGCACCCAGTCTTTAGAATTCGAGCACTTTTTGCTTCAAACGAAAGAAATGCACAAATGACAAATGATCTACCCTAGCTGTGAATGACAAATCACAAAGTACTAAGTGAAGAGTAAAAGTCACACTTTAATTTGGACCATAATTTATTGGACCGTAATTTATAACACAATCAATGTGTACGAGAAGCTAAGCATTCTTGTTTGTGTACACAGAAAAGAATGCGTGCTTATGGTGTAAATTGAGAACACACGTGCAACATTATTGATGAATTGAGGACAGGAACCAAATCGAGGACGAACTTGATTAGAAAACGTGTACAAAACCTAAAGAGCTGTTGCAAAAAAGACAAAGGAAAAGGGAAGAGGAACAATAGAAAATCCTTGATTTGCTCCATAAACAAACTTGCTGGTTTAAGTAGGTGTTTTAAAAATATAATCCATGTGAGTAGATTTCCAACTGTCTGAGCCAAGAACTTTTTAAAAATACTTACAGATACTTTATTTTTAACAAGATAATCTTCACATGCTGCACATTCTCCTTTTCTTCCAGGTTCCACATGTTTGCCAAGAGCACAAAATCCATCCAGGCGACACTCACCAGCAAACAGCAGTCCACAACCACCCCGCATATTTATGGGGTCAAAGGTCACAGCAATGCTTGGGGTCTGGAGGCCGTGATCAATGCCGTCGACCCGCAGGCTTTGAAGCGCTACGATTGGCTGGTCGAGGATGAGACGCCAACTAAACTGGTGCTCTCCGACGAGCAACAGGAATACAGCGTAAGTTGTTTGGACATTTTGGGGGACGAGCAATACAAATGCAATGCCCTGTCTCAGTTCATTTTTTTATTTTTCAACAACTGCTCCAAATTTGCAATTTTTTTCAGTCCAAATTTTGTTTGCTATTGGTTACATGTTCATGAACGGGTGCAGGCCAGCTAGACTGGTTCCCTTACCTTACAATTTTCCAACATCTATAAATTGATCCATTTTATCTTTAGTGGAGTCAGGGAACCAGACTACTTAAACATTATTGTTTTTCTTGGTTTTTCAAGCAATTTCGAACACAAGACTTCAAACATGTCAGTTAAACAATATTTGATCTATTATACTAACCCCTCAAATAGTTCATTACTGAAAATTACAGCAAAAGCCAATGATGTACGTTCCCTTTAATAACTTCTCAGACAATGATAAAGAAAGGCTTTGAATGTCATTTGTCAAGGATTTTAAAAGTGAAAACCAGGTTACATGGAAAACCAAACATATTTCATGTTTATGACGCTCGCGAAAGTCGCAGTTTACACTGTAATGCTAGAAGCTCACTGTTCACACTTGTATCTTGCTGTATTGACGCATGTTGTATTATCTTGTGGACCTTTATGAACAATCTGAACAGCAACTTCTGAGATTTGAATTTTGGGGTTGGGTTTCTTTAACGGGTACCCGGTAACTCGGGTACCCGTGTTTTCTTCAATCAGGTACCTGGGTCTCGTACAACCCGTAAATGCACATCCCCAAGTTCCTTTGAATAGCTTGTGACTTTACTTGGGACAGGATAACAAGTGATGGACTTGTGAGGATTTGTGATCGCTGGACATGACTACAACACTGTTTACCACAATCTTCTTGTTCATCCACTGTGTCTTTGTCCCAGTGATGTAGTCGAGTCCATCACAAGTCCCTGCAAGTCCATCACAAGTCCTCCAGTCCCCAATTCAACTCACAAGCTATTCAAATGAGCTCTGATAAAGACATTCCTTTGTTATTGTTCATCCACTGTTTCTTGTGACTGGACTTGTGAGTGGACTTGTGATGGACTACATACCTGAATTTAAGGATCTTATAAATAACAAAAAGAACTAATGGGTGAATTGCATGGTATTTGTGAATGATTAAATTGCAATTTAACTCTTTTTTTTCTTGTAATTTAGGGCCAAATTTTGGTTGCCATGGTTGGGCCAGCGGCCTTCACCGGAACAATGTATCGCAAAGCGCCCTCTATCGATATACGAGTGGAATATGTCATCTACGGTCCGGATCTTCCAACGGTAAACTTTAAATTAATGAAAAGTGACCAAACCTGACAAAACGATTGAACCACAAGTCGGCCAAGTCGTTTTGAGAAATAGACCTTACTGCAAATCTTGCACGATAAAATTATTAGGGATAGTCAACCATTTCAGTCACATAATGTCTGCCTGATAGATATTCAATCGTTGTGCCTTGGAAACTGCAACGGTTTTGTTTTTAAGCACTTTTGTTCCCAAAAATCGATAGAACGGCTGCAAACTTCTTCCTGACTGGATTGACCTGACATATGTACAAGTCAAACAAAATTAGACAACCTAACATTTTGAGGCTGGCAGAATCTTTGTCAAAGATTGAATCGTATTTGCAGTCGAAATGGATGGAAAAAGTATCATCCATTCTGAATAAAAATGGAAGTGATTTTTGTAAAAAAAAAAAAAAATACACTTTATGTTGACCTTTCATTCCAGGGTCATAGTGTGTGACCTGTTTTAGTGTGAAAACATTGTCTCAGGTCATTCTCTGCCCAAGGTTTTCTTTTGGGAAATGTTGTCAAAACGTTTTTTTGGTGGTTTTTTTTCATTTGTTGATTTTCTATCTAGGCTTTGTTGATCTTCAACAGCTGTATATCGGAGGACATCCGACGGCATATATCTGCAGACTGCCCTCACAGGATCCTCGGTAATTTGCAACATTTTAAACTTCTACTTGACATTAAAAAAAAAATTTAATAATGAGGAGTCCGGTTGGCACATTTGACAAGTTATGAACATTCCGTTAACAAGTTATGGCTTTCACAGGTCACATTTATCAACATGTCAAAAAAGGAAAAATCCGAGGAAAAGGCCTTTACGTTTCAAGTTTGTAGTCATGAAAATGAAAGATGCTAGTTACATTCCTTAAAAACATCTTGATTCCACGGTTTTTATACAATTTCACTAAAATGTGTGCAGTAGTAAAGTAAAAAAAGTAAAAGAAGTCAAGTCTGTCACGAGCCAATGTGGCCCATCAGGCCAGCATTTATCTCCAGTTTCAGTAGCATGAAACGACTGAGAATATTTCCATTCCCACTGCATGGGATGCCAGTCCATCGCAGGTTACTCCCAAGTTTATGCCGGTACCCATTTATACTCCTGGGTGGAGAGAGGCGAGTGGAGGTAAGTGGCTTGCCCAAGGACACAACATACGACCAGCAGCTGGATTTGAACCCCTGACCCTCTGATCAGGAGACACAAACCCAAACCACTAGACCACACTCCCCCACTCCCCATGTGCAGTAGATATACCTATAAATCTGAAAATTGAAAAAAAATTCACCCCATTCAATCCCCGCCCCCCCCCCCCCCCTCATTTTTTCCACTACAGCCTGTGCCCAGTTCCGTCTCATTTTGCCAGAACGCCTCACATTTTAGATAACATTACAACATTACCTGGAGGGCTTTGCCATTATGTCAAGGGAACAAGTCCAGTTACAGTGATTAACCCTTACTCTCTGAGGGTAGTTTACTGCATGTCAGTTGGTTATGCCAATGCCCTCCAGCTGCAGTTTATTGGAGGATACTTTGATGTAGCAGTGAAGGCTCCAATTGGCAGGAGTTGGAGGCCCTGGAGGGTACCTGATACTGACCAGCTGGGGGCACTCACTTTGTTATCAGAGGACTCTCATTGTTCTCTGTGGCATGTATTGGAGTGCCTGTCCAGTTACCCTTGAAATGACATGGCAGATATTGGAGGGCCATGCAAAAAACATAGGAGATTTTCTTGAGGCACATATTGGCATGCGTTGGAGGGTCTAGTAGGGTAAGGGTTAAATTGATTGGTGATATTTGTTCTAGGAATTGTTGTGCCAAGATCTCAGCCCAATGAGAATGAGTTGTGGACGGTGGAGCAAGCCAGAGAGAAGTGGGACGATTTCTGGGACACAGTGAGAGACTCTGTACTGCAAAAACGACCGATCGTATTGCAGGTACGGGTGATGAATCAGTGTGGGGAATATGTTACAATTTCGGAAGGCCTTGTTCGGCTATTTTTTAGTTCGGTTCGGCGGTTCGGCAGCAGCACTGCCGTAGAAGGATGTGTCAACATTACTTTAAGGACAGCAATTACACATGCACTTATTTAGCCGACAGACCATTCGTGGCGATCGAAAGGTAGACAAGATTTTTTTGCTGGACACCTGCCCTCCACAAAATCAAAAGGGATGGGAATACAATCGTCCTATGGGGGTGGTGTTCAAAACGGACTATCAAGGACAGTATAGGACATTAGGTGGCGCAATATGATCACGATCTGCTGACAGGACAACAATTTTGCCGACAAAAACAATTAATGGGGGCTGTCACTTCCCCTAAACACCTCCCACATGTAAAACTGGCAAAGGGCCTGGACGCAGCTTGGGAAATAATCCGCATCCAGTCCCCTAGCTGGTTTTAAATGTGCTTGTTCAAAACCGGCCAAGCACACATTTAATCTGCTTTGTAAAAATCATTGAATCTTGATATGCACACAAATAGTTGGATTGGAATGCCGATTTGCCTTATTGGATTGAGCAAAACAAATTTTCTTAAAGAGTCAAAAATTGAAATAAATAATTCCCGTGTTTGAACAATGCCACTCTATCCTCCCTTTTTCCAGTGCATGTTTCTCCTTGACGAAGAAACGGCCGAGTATCGCATCGGCAATAAGCAGTTCATTCTGCACTTTGTGGAAACCTCAGAGAACTCACAACAAGAGAGGTAAGTTTGAACATAAAGATGTGATATGGATTTCAATTTTGCCTCTTCACGTGAGGCAAATTTTCTGATCTCAGAAATGCAATGAAAGACGGATAGTTAAAGGGAAAATACAACATTTGCAAACATCAAAAAATAAAACTACCAAATCATTTTGAAATACCTTGCTGGACTGTTAGTGAATGACAGTGTAAAGCATCCTGTAAAATCATGGCACCTGGTATACTGTCATTTTCAAGAAAAGTGGTATTTTTGTATCAATTTCCAACGCTGATCAGCCGATCAGCGTTGGAAAAAAACTGGCTTTTTTTCAAATACTGGCCCCAATTGACCATCGCACTTGTTTGCAATCGATTACAAACCTATGAACGGGTACGAGCCAGCTAGACTGGTTCCCTGACCGTACAATTCCCCAATGTATGTAAACTGCTCTGTTTCTTCTTATAAGGAGTCAGGGAACCAGACTACAGGAAAATGATTGTTTTTCTTGGTTTTTATAGCATTTTCGAACCCAAAACCTCAAAAAAGTCAGTGTAACTATATTTGCTATACATTTCCCAATTCCATCCATTTCTGAAAATTACAGCAAAAGCAAATGATGTATATTCCCTTTAACCAGTTAAAGCCAGAGGTCGTGTACACACGATCTGGCAATGTATATTCGTAGGGGCAGGTGACAGGTTAAATCGTCAAGCTTCCTCAAGTCTCTGGCGGTGGATATGTATACACGTCAGTGGTTCCCATAGGTTTTGTACACACTGTGTCTTGAACTTGAACTTGAACTTGGCCATTGTCCATGGCTTGTTGTCAGCAAATATTGCTCAGTGGCGGGACCTCGTAGTGTTGCAAAATATGAATTTAAAGTGAGAAGTATCGTACAAATATTGTACAAATGACTCTCAAGAGTCAGTATTTTTGTGGTGTTTGCCTAGATTGTAAAATTAGGCCGATATATATTTTGTCTTTTTCAAATAATCCTGGTACCAAGTGGTTAAAGAAATGTGATATTTGTACATGTATATGCATGTGCATACACTCTTGTTTCACTATACTCTCGGGGACAATGCTTTGTTTCCCTTTGTCCCTGTAATATAACACTGTCCCATAGACTAAGCACACAAACGGCAATGGAGAAGGCCCAGTCACCAGCCTATTTACGTGACTTGTGGATGACAAGTTTTTACTGACAACTGGGTCATTCCATCAAATTAGGGTCCAAACTTGTGCCATTTCTGTGTCCTACACCCGACCTGTGTAATTTGCCATGCAAGTATCATTAAAGTTGATTTTAAACTGTTAACTTTTGTTATGGGCAGATATGCTTGGAGATAGAGGGCATTAAAGAAATCCTGAGTTTACAAAATCTTATATCAGATGTAACAGGGACACACACAAAATTGGACCCCAAATGTATGAGATGAAACTACTACCATTTCATTGACAGATTCCGTAGTTTTGCTGAGCTACCCTACCTGACGCTGTACGAGGGAATCTTCCTGAGGAAAGCCCACGCGGAGACTTACGTCATGACCTTGAAACGGCTGCAGGAGACGACCAACCAGTCTGGCGCCAATGCCAACGGGCATAGGGAAAGCATGGAAGACAGTCTGGCATCCCTACATGAAGCCGAGAGGGACGATGGGAGTGACTTGGTTAATGCGGATGAAGTCAGGGAACCAATCAGGTGGGCTGGTGTGAAGAATGGCATTGTATTGATCGTACAGACACTGTGTCAATAGCTCACTTAGGTACAGAGACAGATAATGCTTGAAGGTAGAGTACATCATTTGTCACTTGTGCATTTTGTTCGTTTGAAGCAACAAAAGCACTCAAAATCTAAAGATGGGCCGGTGCTTAACACCTAACCTGATGAATTTTCAGCTCAGCGTATTCTGTACATTCCAAGAAAACTAAATTCTAGGATTTCATTTTCAATTAAAAAAATGGCAAGCTGTGCTTTGAATTGCGTCCGAAATCAACGTCTGGGACACGCCAATTGTAGCTACACAATGTCACGCACTCAACCGACAAATTATAGCAATCGCGCATGGGAGTGCGTCGTGTCAACGCTTGTGCATACCCATTCACGTTTTTGCCAAATTAAAAAGCCAACTACTGCTATTGTTTTCTTCAAAAAGACAGCATGCCAGAAAGAATAATTTCACAGGGAGTTTGGTGTCATTACTAGCTTCAAACCAAGTATGCTTTTCAACAATAATTTTGTCAGTTACTTTTTGAATAGCTGCAAATTATACTCTACTTTTAACTATTTGGAGCTTTTTGAACCTTTCAAAGAATGTATTCTGGTATTTGTTTTTGCAGAGCGAAATGGCAGAGGCAGATAGCCAAGTGTCATCCAGTTAGGGATGCCTTGATACTGGCTCATCTCACCTTTCTATTGGCCCTCTCAGATAGGTAAGGTCACATGCTTTCACTACAATAAACTATATATGTGATGCAATCAAGCTACATGAGTCGTTTGTCGGGAATTTTCATTTGGAGATTCAGGCCAAAATAGGGCCACTTCATCACATCACTTCATCACATCTCTTGGTGTTCCAACTTCCATAATTTTTGAACTAAAGATGGTATCAGCATGCGGTTTTCACAGCAGTTATGCTGAGTTATGCTGCGTTCTTTTCAAATCTGTATTACAAATTTTTTTGACCAAGGTCAACAAACGACTCATTTAGCTTGATCACATCACATATGTTCATGTCCAGAGTATTGATTTCCTGAAAGTTTGGAAACAGGCCTCCAAAACATAACAAAAAACTGCTGAACTCTAGTGTAAAGCTTCTGACGACCTCTTTAAATTGACTTTATACAGAGCTTTAGGTTACATCCTGACAACTTAAGAAATGGCGGTAGTACTGTCTATAGATTCCAGAAGTGAGTACTGGATTTGTTCATGGAATGGATCTTCAACTGTTGCACATGGATGTCAAAAACTGCAGTTGATTTTTAAATCAGCCATTTTGGATGGCATTCAATAAGGGAATAAGTGTGTGCTAGGGAGGTGTTAAACACTATGTTTAAGACTGGTTGGAGTCCAAGGGCGGATCCAGAACACAATTTGGGGGGGGGGGGGGCAAAAAGAAATTTGGTCCCAAATTTTTTTGGGGGATTGTAGATGCTCTGTGGTGCGATCTGAGGCAATTTCTGACCACTTTAACCAATGTTTTTTGAGGAAAAGATGGTGGTTCACTCATTGCCTGCCTTTATTGCGAAGTCATCTAAAAAAAAAGAATTTGATTTGGTTTTTTTTTTGGGGGGGGGGCCATGCCCCCCCCCCCCCCCCCCGGATCCACCCTTGTTGGAGTCTGGAATGCTGATATCAGCATCCAGACTCCAACCAGTCTTAAACATAGTGTTTAATAGAGGGTATGCACAGCCGTTTTCCCACAGTAAACTTATGCGAGATTTGACCTCAGTGAGGTCATGTTGTGCATCTCTCTATAGGACTGATGACATACGCATAAGGTCTATACCGACCAAGCACGTATTTATTCCCATTCATAAATACCTTTTCGGTAAAAAAATCTTAACTTTTCGGGCCAAAAGTCAAAAATTTAAAATGTCCAACCATTTTGTTCAACAATTTTACTTGTTTTTCGAAACACCCCTCTAGCTGTAATATGGAGTCTCCAGCTCTCGAGTAAGACGTAAAAAAACTCCTTTTATGGAGATTGACGCATGCGTCGCGGTGTCGTGCGGTGTGACGAGTGCGTTGTAAATTTAGGACTATGAAATACTGACTCACTGATAATATATCGCGCATACCTACGTGAGGATTGTGAGCGTTCAACCAATAAAACGGTAAAAGGCACTGGATTTCATAGGAGTCCAAATTTCGTGTGACACTGGAAAAGTGTTTAAGACCAGCCAGCCATGTCTTTATCATCCGTTTAAGACCGGCCACGTGATGGGCTCTCGACCAATGGGAATGCATAGCTGCCAACTGTTACTAATTTTTCGTAATTATTACGAATTGTTTGTTAAATTACGAAAATACGATTTGCCACTAAAACATTACGAATTTCCCATTTTCTACCTAATGAAAAAAAAAATACTTGTAAAGTATCGTTTTTGACCGAAAACTTCTGGCGAAATGTCGCGATAATGGATGGACTGGTGACAAGTCTAATAAGAATGCAGTCAAGCACCTGATAGACATCAATGCAGTGTGCGCAGTGGAGTACTTGAGGACCAGACTAAAACTATTTTTCAATGGTGTGTCATTTGTGTGCATCTCGTGGATGTGTGGTTGTGTGTACTGTATGTGAGTACATTTCAGTGACGATCGTGAGCACATTTGGTCGCTTTTTGCCGGGTTGAGACCCATCAGTGCGACAATTTAATCATGGAATTTAATAAGAGTATGGTTGGAATAATTGGTATTACAGTTTGAGTTTGTCACAACGTCCAGAAAAGATAAATCAGCATGCGTTTGCAAGGTATGTTGGCGGGATATTTCTATTGCATACGGTCATGACGGTGGCCCTAAATCATTGTGTGTAAAAACATTGATACGAACTCGAAACTCCACATCGATAGCATGCATCTCCAAAAAAATATGCGCATATTTTATTATTGTTATTATTTATTTGACTCCAACAAACAAATACAGACATTAAAACAAATTAATTAAAAAAAAAAAAAAAAAAAAAAATAATTTTAATTTTTTTTTTTTTTAAATTATCTTTTGGCCTACATTACATTATTATTCACAAGAAGAAGGGTATGCACATGTATGTGTACATGTAAACCATGTACCTGTACTCGATGTTGGTAAAGCTTTTGATAAAACGAGCAGTTGAAAATGACCGCGCGGGTTGATTACTAATTGGGATTTTGAAATGTTGGCAGCTATGGGAATGGGTAAACTGTCTTAGGTATTTATGAATTCCAAATAATGGTCAGAGGATGTTTCCAATATCTCGATTCTTAGGGCCAGTACTAATTGCATATTCAAATGTGATCATTACTAGTGTTGTTAGTTCCCACACAGTGCCTTCCCCAAAGGTAAGCACTTATTGAGGACAAGGTGGAAAATTGGTGTGTTTGACTTGTGTTTTGTAATGTTTTGATGTCGCAGGAGTGTTCAAGGTTCTGAGGTCAGGATTGAGCTGTACAGATTTCTGCACAGCACAGCCGCCTCATGGTATGCGGCTACAGTACTCAACTCTGCCTTGCAAGTGCTTGTCACTACAATTGACCAAGAGGTAATTAATAAGTCCCTTACACGCACTGCACAGAACAGACCCTTTGCAGACAGCGCCCTCACTGAGGACCAGGGTGTGGTGTTTTCATCTGCAGCACACATCGTCAATGGATCATGATTATTCAGCTAGTTCGATGTTTATTCATAAGAAAATAATAACAATGACATCACACCATTGCTATCACTCAGTCATGCATGTACATCTCAAAGCATTTCAAAGAGCGGCTTTCGTTGAGCTGCCACAGTGGCCTAGTGGATAGTGGAATGAACTATGGATCACAAGATCTGTGGTTCGAACCCATGTCCATTTTCATCTAATATAGTTGTTGGTTGGGATAAGTTTAATTGAAGGGAAAACACTACAAGAATCTAAGAGTCTTCCATCCACACAGCCTGATGAATATTCATGTTAGGGTGCGGGATGTGATTGGTTAAATACAATATATGCTGCAAAACAAATACGCGACCAGCATTCCCAGCCGCTCTGGAATCAGGTAAAATCTTGAAAATGAGTTTCCCTTTTCCATTCAGGGAAAACTCAGGGAATTTGACAGTGTACCAGAGGGGAAAGGTTTTTGCCAGTTTGGCGTATGTGCGTCTTGTGCAATGTGTCCAAGTTGTGTTCATTGACTGACTGGCTATGGTGATCTGATACACCGTGCCCTCTGGAGACATGCACACAATAGGGAACAAAAGATTGCATACATCTCCACAGGGCAATTTCTATAGATGAATACGTCTCCACAAGGTTATCACGAAATAGACATACTGATTTTACTCAAAAACTAGGAATTTCCAAAGTATGTTGATCTGTTGCAAATGGTAGAGTTTTAGAAAAGGGATATCAAGTCCGAATTTCAGCCAAGGAAATTAATTCTCGTTAAAATAAGAGCATTTTGAAACTGTACTTTGAAACTCGAAAACTTTAGTACATGAGAACAAAGAAATGTCTCCACAAGGATACAAATTTCAGTATGGGTGGCTTTTTAGTGTTTATGCAGTGTGAATATTACCACAAAGAAACTTACAAAAAACATTTTTTGATGTAAACGTGCAGCTGAGAAGCTTTCACGGTTAGGCAAATGGACAATATGAATGAATTAAGAAATGTTCAGTTTAGATATTCGTGGAATTTGAGAGCCAAAGGATGATAAGAATAATTTTTTTCCCCTCTTATTTGCACGGATGCAGAACGAAGACGATGGGAAGTTTCTGACCCAGCAGTTTTTGGAGTACAAGACCAAACTGCTGACGGCCATCAATCCTGAGTTACATGCCCGGTCGTCAGAGATGTACATCCTTCACAGAAACCTGGGTAACGTCCTGCAGAATATGTTAATACCTGATCCATCGGATGCCAGCAAGGTGGTCTTAAAGGCATTGGTGAGTATGAAGCACTCGAGAATCGCTCTGCATCGCCCCCCCCCCCCCCCCAACCCCCAACCCCTACCCTCCAAGCAATTTCTTGAGTCATGGAAACAGACTGAGGCAGTTTATTGCAGGAATGTAGTAGATTCCATGACTACAGGGTGAGTAAAAAAAAAAAAAATCCAAATGTCAGGACCATTGTCTTAGTGAAGTTCTGCAAGTAGTGCTTTCAAAATCCAGGATATGAAAGCCCAATTCATAAGCTTTCTTTTAGTACAAGAATCATTCAAATCACTCATGTACTTTTCAAGTTACGGAATTTTAAATACAACCACTTTTTTCAAGTTCTGTCCACAGATCACAAAAAAGGTGTGCATTCTTGCAGCAAAACGAAAACCATTAACACACATCCCTATGGGATTTGTTTTCGTTTTGCTGAAAGAACACTCACGTTTCAGCGCAGCTATGCCAAGTTCTTGAAATTGATCGTCAGTTTATTGCGCAGCTGGGCAACAAATATGTTGCGTAAGACCTATGCATGGCGCAGGCTATGCATGTTTTCGTGATATCGGCTGCAGCTTCATTATGCTTGCCTTTTCTTGTATTTGGTCCATGACATGTGTCAGTTAACCATTGTTGACTGCTGTGATGTGGGATATTACGTTTTGAAAACCCGAGCGTATAGCACCAAGGTGAAGCCGAGGATGCTATATGTGCCCTGAGGGTGTTCAAAACGTCATATTCCACATCACATCAGTCAACAATTGTTTTGTTATACCTCTGTCTTGGATTCTTTGGATTTTGATGTAAAAATCAGGAAAACAAACCGCAACAACCATGACAATCGAATGTCAACTCACATGCATGTCACTTGCTCGAAACAGCTGATTGTCTGCTAGTTTGCTGATCGTCTGCTAGATCAATGGCACACATAAGTGATATCCCACAGGGAGTGTGCCCTGACTTTTTATAAACTTAACAAGTGATTGTTGTAGGCCAGTGAAAGTACAGTATTCAAGACAGAGGTATAACAATGTGCTTTATTTTTTTCTACAGGACTTGAACACATTGCAGCAAATACAGAACGCCTGCTTGTCACTCCAGTTGCTGCTTACAGAAGACGCCATGTTCTTCTTCAAGCGTCTGAATTTCAAGGTATTTAAAAACGCTCAGGGCAAAAAAGTACGACAGTGTGACTGTGATTGCATGCTAATGACTGATATTCATCCACTTTAAACTTGTCTTTCTTTTGAATACTACATGTCAAAATAAAATTTCCTACTTTAATAACTCTGTTGTTTACCAATGGAATTAAACCAAATTTTCAGATCATGTAAATGAGACATAACATGGACTTGACATTTTATGGAGCAAGTTTCATCAGCTTTGTGCACAAGGATGAGATTAAATGCCATACGAAAAAAATTCTCACTTTCAGAATGTTGATACAGCACTGGAGACGGTGGCGGAAGGCACGTGTTGCTGCCGAAAACTTCTGAAGGAATGCAGGATCACCCCTGATGTCATTGCACACCTCCTTGATCATGTGTTGCGCCACATGATCGAGGAGGCGTGCAATGACATCAGGGGTGATCCTGCATTCCTTCAGAAGCTTTCGGCCGCAGCATGCACCTTCCACAACCTTCTCCAGCGCTGTATTGACATTGGAGGACGCCAAGTGGCAGATTTTGAAAGTGACTATATTTTTCGTATGGCGTTTAAATCTCACCCTCTTGCACAAAGCTGATGAAACTCGCTCCATAAAATTTGTCATGCCTGGCTTACATGATCTGAAATTTTGGTTTAATTCCATTGTTAAACAACAGAGTTATTTAGGATCAAATCTAGGACATTTTTTTTGACACGTTGTACATGTCTGCTTGAAAATGCCAAAATTGGTAGTACGTGTCATGCACAATTTATGCACCTAAGGGCTATGCATTCATGCACTAACATACATGCACATGCGTGCATCGAAAATGCTCAGGGGTCTTCCGTAATTATCAACATTTTCAAAAGTGTACAAAATGGTAGATCTGCAACTTCCCCCCCCCCTCCCTCCCCCTCCCCCCTCCCCTCTCTCTCTCTCCGAAAAAGTGCTTTCAGAAATGTTGATTTTCAAAGAAATCCTGGAACGAAGAGTTCATTCATGGCGCGGCAATTAGTTATGGATTATCAGTGTCTTGAGTTTAGGCGAGGCACATGAGGCGCTTGCAGTACAGGCATGCATATGCAATTCATTGCTACAAAAGTGGCGGCTGAACAGGGCTGCATCACCGGCGTGTAGCACGAAGCTGAATGACAAATATTGCTGTACCCATCAATTACGAGCTGGTCCAGAGTTCACCAAGTTGGGTCAACGGCATGTAGCAGGAAGCTGAGTGACAGATACCACTGTGCCAATCAAATGGCCTTATTCACAAGTCGGCCTTGTTGAATTGAAAGTGAGGTAAAATCTTAATTTTTGGAACTTGCGAAGAGAGATGAAAGCAATTTAATTTATAATAAATTCCAGTCTGCTTCAATGAATAATTTAAAATTTGTAATTATACATTCCCTAATGTATAAAGCCATATAACAAAAAAAATGACGGTAAAAGAAGGCTGCATTAGGCCTGCATAAATAGTTTGGTGCCATCCCTCACAACAGTTAACAATTAATGAAATACACTCAGGGAACTTGATAAAAATGGCCAACTCGTGAATGAGGCCCATTACGAGCTGGTCCGGAGTTCACCAAGTTGGGTATCGGGGGTTTTTTTTATGAAAGATCTCCTGCCTGCCCATTACAAAAAAATACTAAAACAATATTATTGATCGACATTTTTACAAAATTTCAGAAGCGTACAGGGCTGTTAACCCCCTCCCCCCGAGCGTAAACTGTGTACATTTTTTAAAGTTTGATAACTATGGATGACCACTAACATATGCTGAGTATCATTATCCTAATGTGCTTGTTGCAAAAATGTTTGTGTGTTCAAATTGTGCTCAGCTTATTCATGTGTGAAATGTGCTTTATGATATCGCTACACATGCTTGGTATATTCTGTTACTAGTAATTCTACATACGATTAACAATTCTACAAATGTCATAATTATGTGACCATACTATATCTTGTTACTTTCGTGGAAAAGTAGAAACATATATCTTCCTTTCAATATGTGTTAACCACGAGTCATTTTAGTAATTGTGAGGCGTTCTGGCAAAATGAGACAGAACTGGGCAAAGGTCGAACTGCGGGTTTGCGGGTATTGGGAATGAGAGTAAAATTCTCCTGTTTGTTTCACTTCAATCGGATATTCCTTTGACAAGTTATGGCTGTTTCAAGATCGCATTTATCAACATGCCAAAAAATATGTACAAGTAAAATGCTGAGAAAAAAATGGTCTTTAAAGTTTCAAGGTTTGAAGTGGTGAAAATTAAATATGCCAATAAATTTTCCTTAAAAAAGCACTTTTATTCAACATGTTTTATAATATTTTTTAAAACTATGTGTACTAGACATATATCAAAGATTACAAATATTTATTTGAAAATCGAAGAAAAATCACCCCATTCGTTTTTTTTGCATTATTCTCCACAATGTCCTGTGGCCTATACCGTCTCATTTTGTCAGATTGCCTCACATCTTTGCATTTATGTTCCCATGGATTATGAACCAGCATTCACCATTGTCGCTCATCATCTTATTTCCACACCATGTTGCCATTCTCTCTGTGTGCTTGCTGCTTTGTTTTGCTAGACTTTAGTGAGGGGGTGCAGGGAAGCCTTCAACATGAACGCTGCAAAAGCAGCTGATGCAGGCAAAAAGAAGGTATGTCCAACAATCAAGGCAATTAACTTTTCACAGAGAGACAAAAGGTGATATTTCACACTCAATTTGGGTCTTTCTTCATGAAACTTTGAACAGAGTGGATCATTCAAGACCAGGAAAAACAAAAGCTTTTTCCAACTTGCTCTTAAAAATTGTTGGTTTTCTGCTTGCAAAATACTGCTGAATATTATTGAAGGAAAAGTTAAATAAAATGGTGATAGCTTTTCAGAAATCGTGGGTCAAGGGCAAGAAGGTACTTTCAGCAGTCAAACAATTTGCATTAAGGACTTTTGGCTCAATTTTTTTTTAGATCTAAATGCGATTTTTAAAATAATGATTTCTCTATCAGTCTTTGCTTAGCTTTTGATTTCCTTTTTTTTTTTGATGTTTAATTTGGAAATTTTAGCAAAATTTGCCAATAAAAATCTTGTGTTCATTTTTTTCAGTTGTGAGACGCCAAAAATCCCTCATGATTAAAATCCTAACATTTCCAAATCCTTTAAAAATCTACCAGGAAAGATAAGTAGCTGTGGCAAGTTCCATTCTTTTTTTTCTTTTTTTTTAAGCTTCAATAGTTTTTAGTTTACACACAAATCCTCCATTCTCATTGTGTTGTATCGGGTGACAACTTTTGGGCAAAACGTGGTTGGTTTTTACGTTTAAAATGTTTTGAATGTATTTTTTTCAGCCACAAGTCAAATCTACTAAGAGTTCCAACTCTCTGACAGCACAAACGTCTAGCCCAGCTAAGATGAACCACGGAGTGGAAGTGAAGGAGATCACACAACAGAAGAATATCGGTTGGTGTTTAGACTTATTCGGTGAACATCAAGTTTAGAGCACGCATTCTTAAAGTTGAGGCGCGTGCACAATGTGGTAACCGTATTGGTCATAAGGGCATTGAGTGCATGTGACCTACGGACAGACCTGATTCCACCACAGTAATGGCTTCTAGTTTAGATTGCCTTATTGGTCTAGAACAATCAAAATATACTTTAGTATACAGCTTTATTTGTGTAAGTGTTTTTCTTTAGGCCCCCAAAAAAGTCTCCGGTTTCTGGTATGCGTGCGCGTCGCTGTAGCCATGCGCGTCGGCAAAATGAAAAAAGTTTTTTTTTCAATGAAAGATGATGTCTCAAAACCACCAAACTCACTGGTTTGACTGGAATCCTGCTGCTGCAAAATTTTAACGTGTTTTTAGATTGGTTATGGTCGAGAATAAGCTTTCTGTGGCCTCTCTGGACTCCCATATATTTGCATGAAGTTTAGTCGGGCACCATTTGCAGTCATCAGCCGACATTTCAAGCAAAAAAATCAGGTAAAACAACCAAAGAAAAGCCGCGTCGCCGCACCACTTTTTGGGCAAGCTCCATACCAGAAACTGGAGACTTTTTTTTTTGGCCTTAGTACTTGTATTTGTATAATATTAATGTTCGTCGTCTGTTTCACCTATGAACTTTTCCTTGTGAATTTTACTTTGCTTAACTTTATTTAATAATGCGTAATGTATGCAGGGCCCCAATGGAAACCAGTTTTAAACTGTTTGGGCATACCCTGAGTAAAGAAATGTAATAGTAAAGTTTGTCAGGAGCCAATGTGGCCATTAGACCGGTGCTTATCTCTGGTTTCAGAAGCATGAAAAGGACTGAGAACAATTCTGTTGCCCCTGGGTAGGATGCTAGTCCATCGCAGGTTACTCCCCAGCTAATGCCCATTTAGCTGGGGTACCCATTTATGCTCCTGGATGGAGATAGGCAAGTGGGGGTGAAGTGGCTTGCCCAAGGACACAACATATGGCCAGCAGCTGGATTCGAACCTCTGACTCTCTGATCATGAGTCACAAACCCTAACCACTAGGCCACACTGCCTCAGAAATGTAATGCATAAATAAATAAATAAATTCTCTTGTCAGAGATTCGGCAGCCAATTTTACTATTGCAATTGCTTCAGAATGCAATCTTTGTTTCTGAGTCAGTACCGCTCAGTTTTCTGTTCTTCTTTCAGTAATTGATGTTGAGGAAGTCAAGTCCTTTAGTAACTGGCCTCGTATCATGGTGACAGAGGCTGTTCTCATGCAGGTGAGCTTTCCTCCAAACATTTTCTTAATACTCAGATGTTGAGTCAGAGTGGAAAGAGTGTGTTATTGTCCCTGTGACCTTTTGGGCAAACTTTATTTCAATATTTACACATGGGCAAAAATGCAAAGCGTTCCAACAGGACTTACAAAAATAGGCCAAAACTAGAGTGAAGGTAAAACTGTCTTGGCACAATAGCATCTTGGATGACGTTTAACCATTGCGCTCCGGGATTTTTTTGACATTGGCCGGACCCAGATGCGCGATTGTTGTTTCACAAACCTCGATGCCAGACGGGTTCAGGGCGCTGCCATCGGCGGGAAGCACACCCTGATATTTCCGGCCTGGCTCACTGCGAGCGGGTCGCAGACAGATATTTCCGGCCTTACTATCTAGTTGCGTGTTTATCCGTCATCTGTTCCGAATACCGCAAAACCTTTGCGTGTATACACGTCATCCGTCATGAACTGGTTAAAAAAAAATCGGGTTCCATTTCATGGCTTTGCTCACCATATCCATGGCTCTGCTTAACGTAAACGGGAAAAAATAATTAATTACTTAAGCGTTAACAGTTAGTATATTTTGCTGGTTAGCAAGAAGCTTTGGTCTTCGTGCATGCCTAGATTCCATAACTAAGAATTCTGCCTTAACAGGGTTAGCACAGAACTTAGCACTACGGATTAAGTACGTACAGATTGGCTATCGTAAGTGCATAATTCTGTGGTTAGCAGAGCCACAGTATTGGGACCAGGTCTCTAGCTATAAACTCCAAACACAACTATCTTGACAGTGCTGTTGTGGAGTCCATTATAAGTCGGGTCAAAGGTAAAACAAATAACAAGGGAATGTTTTTCTCAAAGTTCATTTGAATAGCTTGTGACTTGACTTGGGTCTGGATGAGTTGTGGTTAACATGTGAGGACTTGTGGGGACTCGCGATTTGTTCCACTGCAACCCTGTCTTTGGCTGTTTTGGCATATTTGCTGAAACAGCCTTTGTTTTTGTTAAGATTTTAATTTTTTTTAACCCGAAGTGCCTTATAATTTGAACGCGGAAAAAGATTTGAACTTCCTTTCAACGATGTCGGTCTCTGGCTAGGTTGTACTTTACACAAAAAATTACCAGTGACGTCAAAAAATGTTAGAGCGCTCTCTAGCGGCAGGTTGAAAAATGTTACATGTCACTTTTTAAAGTAATTGCCCCAAGTTGTAGAGGGTTCTGTGAAACATTGCATTCCATTCTGAATTGTTTGCAGTACATGGTGGATATCAAGCTGGACCAGGTCTGGCATGAGTACTTACTGGAGTTGCTGACCGGTGACCATCTACCCCCAAACCCTTACCCACGGCTGGTCACCGTGCTTCGTCAAGCTGCGCACAGGTACAATAAACAATTATAAGTGATCAAAACATAAATCAGTGACTGCACAGCAGTCATTATTTTTTCCCTCTGTCTAACAGTTACAGTGGAAAGCCGCTATAACGAACATCGTTGGATCCAATAGAAAGTGTTTATAATAACGATCGTTCGGATAGCGATTTTGAACCGCCGGTACCCTCTTTTGACCAATAGTGAAGTGGAATTTCCCACATCCTGTTGCCGCACGATGAGTCGTCACGATACTTTAGCAACGGGTGGTTTTCCGTTCTATTCCTTGGGGAAATAATGGCCATCTATCGCTGTTCAACATTCAAACACTATGTAACTATGGGTCGTTTGATGTTCGGGAATTAAAAGTGGCCCAAATAGTGTTTAATACGTGTACAATCGGTAGATTTTTTTGTAAATCTGTTGACTTTTTTCAACAACAATGTTCGGTGCGTTTTGTACATTAAAACCGGGAGCCAAGAATGATGTTCAGTATAGCCGAATGTTCAGTATAGCGGTGTTCGGTATAGCGGGGTTCCTCTGTACTTCAGTAAATTGGGATTCAAGTCGCAGTAAGGCACAGTAAATCTCCGGGCTTTTGTGTACAAGTAATTCCTCAAGGGTAAGAAAGGGAGAGTTGCAAGAGACAACTGGGAGAGACATTCGAACGCATTGTCGACGACGCCTGACGCTCATGCAAAGATGCCGTGGCTTTGTGCAGATTCAGAATAACATAAGTCGTGTGCACTTTGTGCTTTACGCCCCAATCATTATGTGCACACCGTGTCTCCCTCCCACTGGGCTCTCAAAAGTGGTCGGCAGAGTTGTAACGAGTCGCTGAATTTTATGAGTTGAGTCGAGTCATTTTAAAGATGTGACTCAAGTTGAGTCAAGTAATAAGGCCAAGAAGGTCGAGCCGAGTCGAGTCACAGTGTGTGGTCGAGTAGAGTCAAACTTTTGTTTGAGTCAACTCGAGTCGCTGATATTTGAACACATCATCTAATAAATTACAGAACAAAACAAGGAACACAAGGCACTAGTGTATTATTAACATCCAAAGACTCGAGCCGAGTCGAGTCTTCTGATGAGGAACTCGAGTCGAGTCGAGTCATTTGCTCGCAGTGATTCGAGTTGAGTCGAGTCAGTTTACCCGTTGGGACCCGAGTCGAGCTGAGTTGCCAAAAGTCGTGACTCGAGTCGGACTCGAGACGAGTCATTGACTCGAGTCATTACAACTTCGGTGGTCAGAAAGGGCCCCCTCATGTTTGCGCACAGAGCCCATTCATCATTTTGCCAAACAATAAAACGTTTGATTGTTTTCGCTCCTATCAGAATGCAGCTCTGTGCGGAGACTAACGCCTCCCTGTCCACCAAGCTTCTACGCCCAGATCAGACCAAATTGGTTGACCGTATCAACTCCATCCATGGAGTGACCAGCGTGGGAGCCTACGGACTCTCCCCTCGCACCCTTGCCGGGCTGGATGCTGAACCATCAGGTTTCATCAAGATTGCCAAACTGATGGAGGGGTTGACAAACAAGGAGGTGGTGGCAAGAAGAGGACAGTTCCAGGTACTTCGACATTCTTATCTTGGGTTTTGTTGCCCAGTGCTGACATGATAAACATCGCAAAAAAAAGAAAGTCCACACTCATTGGAGGGGTCATCATTTTGAATCTGATCGTCTTTCACTTATATAGACCATTGGGGAATGTTGTTAGGTACATTTTTATACCCCATGTGCTATCAAAGACTGTGAATTGTGCAAGATTGACAACTGTTTATGAAAAATGATGCAGTTTGAAAAGTTGCAAATTTAGAGAGTATGCCAGTGGAAATTTAAGTGCGGCGTGACAATGTCACACTGCCCGAAACGAACGGCAGGGAATATCAATCGCACAGTGCTTGTATGCATAGCAGCACACGTAATTGAATTACCCACGCTGTTTTCGTGCACTGTGCAGTTGATAGGGGCCAATTACGGGCATGTGTGGTTACGCTTAGCAATTTCTCATCGTTTAAATGCTTTCTCCAAAAAGTCAATGGCCAACCCACCAAAAATTGAAAAGAAAATGAAAGATGACATGTTGATCATCATTTTTCTGTTCAGCCTGAATACCTGTGAGAATTCTGAGTATATTTTAAAATTTGGATGTATGGGGATTTAAAGGGAATGTACAACATTTGCTCTTGTTGCAATTTTCAGTAGTAAATGGATTTGAAGATTAGTATGTTATAGCAAATATTGTTAAAATGACTTGTTTCACGTTTTGGGCTTGTAGATGCTGGAAAACCAAGAAAAAAATCATGTTCTTGTAGTCTGATTCCCTGACCCCACTTTAGATGAAACATAGCAGTTTTTAAACTTTGGGGAATTGTAAGGTCAGAAAATCAGTCCGGCAGGCTTGTACCCCTTCACAGGTGTGTAATCAATTGCAAAGAAAATGCGGAAAAACTAATTCTGAAAAATTAAGAACAGCTTTTGAAAAAACGCTGGTCGGCCGACCAGCGTTGGAAAAATACCAGTTTTCTTGAAAACGTCAGCACACCAGGAGCCACGATTTTACAGGATGAATTAGACTGTCATTCCCAAACAATCAAGTTAAAGTATTTTGTGATAATTGGATCATTTCGTTTTTTGATGTTTGCAAATGTTGTATCTTCCCTTTAACACTGGTGTCTATGGGAATTTTTGTACTGGGGTGCACCCACAGGGTTGATGTGCAGGTATCTGTGGAGACTGTTGAGGGGGTAGTTACTTGAGTCTATACCGGTAGGTAGAGTCTATGAGCTCCGTGCGCTACGAAAAGAGGGCGCCCTTTCACCTAACAACGATGTTCCATGGGCGGGACATTTCGCTGGTTGAGGCGCACCGTTCCTTGTGTGTGATGCACGTACACCAGGGGATTTGTACTATTTACACGCAGTTGCCGCGCTTCGCGGCAAATGAATTGTCAGGCAAGATGGCGTCGGCCGGTCACCCCCAACTGTACTTCCTTTGCCGGTGAGGGGGTACTTGTGAACAGAGCGGATACAAGTACGGGTTATCATTAATTACAGTGTGGCAACTGGCAAGTCACATAAAAGTTACGATTTCAGACACCCTTTTTATATCGGAATTCTGATGAAATTAAAAAATAAATGTTTGCAGATTGAAGTGAGTCTTGCAGTCGGGCGGGGCTGTGCATTTTACGGTCGTCTGGTACCCTATCTCATCACACTGCATCTGTATGAGCATTACTACATCCGAGGGAACATAGGAGCTGACAGTGATGCCATCCAACTCTACGCCAAACTATGTAAGTCAGCGATAGTGAGCAGAATCTGGGATTTTGTATTTCAAATTTTTGAAATGTTTTGCAGTCTTACCCTTGCATCTGACCTAAATCTTGTATGTTAAATGGTTAGAAAATAGGAAAATAACCTTGGATATATCCCCCCCCCAACTTTTTGAACAGGGGGGGGATGGGCTATTGAATCATCCCCCCACTTTTTTGTGATGAAAAAAAAAATGCGGATTTCAAGGTATTTTTCGAACATCCGAAAAACCCAAATGTATTCAATAGCACTGAAAAGTGGAGAAACAAAGTACAAAAGCTTTTAAACTGCACTGTTTTGATGTAAGCGCGATTATACATATTGATATACAGCTGAAGAGTGCCCCCTAATATAATGTGGTGTGGTCCCCCCCCCCCCCCCCCCCCCTTTTTCGAATTTCCAAGGCCGGGCAATTTTGGATTTTGGTCATCCCCCATCCCCCCACTCGCCGGCACAGATTGACGCCACTGACCTTGAAATTAAAGAGACTGGAACTGCTCTTGACACTTGGATCTTAATGAAATAGTAGAAGGGAAATAGTAATGTTGTCTTTGTCATGATGCTTTATGCTACCCTCATTCCGAGCTGCCTTCCGTGATACTCATATATTTCTAAATGTTAATGGATTGACAATGCATGTGCACCAATGAAATCTTAAAGTCAATCCATCTGTCTTCATGTTCAGGCCACCTTCTTACACAAAGCCCTCCCCCCCCCCCCAACATTTCACTTACGACACATTTCACAAATGTCATATCACAGTACGTATGTCTGCAACTTGCGCAAAAAATTATGGCGTCAGTTGCACAATAATTTTAGGTAGCGTAAGTAGTGGCGTAGCGACTGAAAATACCTAATTTACATGCAAGTCCCGATTGTCTTGGAGCCTGTCAAGTCAAACAAGTTATCAAGGTAAATAAAAGACACGTTGTGCTTGAGGTACGTGAATTGCTTTTTTACTTGTGACAGAATTTTTAGAGTTGCCGCACGTTTCAAAAGAAAGTTGTGACAATCTTCTTTTTTTTCCAAAATGGCAGGCTGAGGTGATTCAACGACTGTGTCATGAACAAAAGAGTTCATGCTCAGACAGCTGTTGTAAATGCTGTCATTATCCTCGTCCAAGATGGTTAGATTATTAAAACATTGTGCAGCTACACCAAGTATCGTGAAATCTGTCGTCAGTTTATTGCGCTGCTCTGCAATAAATTTGTCACGTAAGTCCTATGCATGGCGCAAGCTATGCACATTTTTGTGAAATTGTCTGCAGGGTCCTAAATATCTGCTTTAGCCAATTCTGGAGATGAGTTGGAAAATGGAACCCTTTTTTTTATTTCACAGTATATGACAACATCAGCAGTCTGTCTGCCCAGAACCACCACATACTCCTGGGAGTGTTTTTTGGCGGTGGCAGCCGTTACATGAGTGAAGCCGATTTGGTGGATGATAAGGCAACGTTCTTCTCTCATGTGGTGGATGCAGCGAGGAAGAAAGAGGACATTCATCTGAAGGTACTGTTTTTATTGCTTGGGATTTGCAATGTACAAAATGGATAGGTTCCTTGAACTCAAGTGCCCTCAGTGGGGCAAATACTGAGCAGCATTTTCGGAACAGCACCTCTATGAAATTAAACCTTGGGCCCATCAAGGATTTTAAAAGATGAATTGATGGTTTTCTGACTTGCGGAGAAAACCCTTGTTTAATTTTTCGTAAAGATCTCATAACAGACAAAACAGAAAAATGGGACAACCCTGGTTGGATTAGGTAGGGTTGGAGTAAGGGTCAGGTCGGGTTAGGTCGGGTTGGGTTGGGCCGGGTGGGGTTAATTTAGTTTGCATTGGGCTGGGTTGGGTTGGGTTGGGCTTGGCTGGGTTGGGTTGGATTGGATTGGCTTGGGCTTGGCTGGGTTGGGCTGGGCTGGGCTGGGCTGGGCTGGGCTGGGCTGGGCTGGGCTGGGCTGGGCTGGGCTGGGCTGGGCTGGGCTGGGCTGGGCTGGGCTGGGCTGGGCTGGGCTGGGCTGGGCTGGGCTGGGCTGGGCTGGACTGGACTGGACTGGACTGGACTGGACTGGACTGGATTGGCTTGGGCTGGGCTGGGCTGGGCTGGGCTGGGCTTGGCTGGGCTGGGCTGGGTTGGGTTGGGTTGGATTGGATTGGGCTTGGCTGGGTTGGGTTGGGTTGGGTTGGGTTGGGTTGAATTGGGCTGGGTTGGGTTGGGTTGAATTGGGCTGGGTTGGGTTGGGCTTGGCTGGGTTGGCTTGGGCTTGGCTGGGTTGGGTTGGGCTGGGCTTGGCTGGGTTGGGTTGGATTGGCTGGGTTGGGTTGGGTTGGGTTGGGTTGAATTTGGCTGGGTTGGGTTGGGTTGAATTGTGCTGGGTTGGGTTGGGTTGGGTTGGGCTTGGCTGGGTTGGGTTGGATTGGCTTGGGTTTGGCTGGGTTGGGTTGTGTTGGGTTGGGTTGGGTTGGGTTGAATTGGGCTGGGTTGGGTTGAATTGGGCTGGGCTGGATTGAATTGGGTTGAGTTGGGCTGGGTTGGGCTGGGTTGGGTTGGGTTGGGTTGGGTTGGGTTAGCTGGGATGGGATGGGTTGGGCTGGGCTTGATTGGGTTGGATTGGGTCGAGTTGGGCTGGGTTGGGTTGAATTGGGTCAGATTGGGGTTTGGCTGGGTTGGGTTGTGCTGGGTTGGGCTGATCTTGGTTGGATTAGGTTGAGTTGGGCTGGATTGGGTTGGGTTAGATTTGGCTGGGTTGGGCTTGGTTAGGTTGGGTTGGGATGGGTTGGGTTGGGTTGGATTGCTTTGGGTTGGGTTGGGTTGGGCTGGCTGGTTGGTTTGGGATGGGTTGGCTGGATCTGTTCAAAAGGGATTGGGTAAAAATAAATGAATTTGATACTGTTTGCAGCCATAAATAAAATCACTATATCTCCTTAATTTAATATTGTTTTCAAGTTATAACTAAAGTTACTGTCTAATTTCTACACACCTGGCAGTTGTTTAATCCGCACGTTTGCTCACCCACCTGCCTGCACTGCGTGCATGTTGAAATCTCCTCTGTTACTTGGTCTCTCTGCATGTTTGTGTTTGTGACATCAACTATCTGTCGTTTTCTCTTAGATCTATCAGCCAATAGGCTGGCGCTATCTGCGTATTCACAAGCACTTTGTCCTGCACTATCTGTTTGTCGATAACACTGAGGATAGGTGAGTCTGTCATTCAACAAATGTCAGGAGCTTTGTGTTTGTAGCCTTTTGAGCACGTAATTGTGTGGTTTAGAGCAATAAATCGAGCCTTTCTGACTACAAATGTGAGTCAGGCTGCAGTAATACAGGGTGACCCCAAAATAATGCAACCCTAAAACATTTACCTTAAAAGAAAAAGGGATCGGTGGATTTATATGTTTTGGGTATCAGATTAAAGCTGAGAGCTTTTTCTTTCAAGTACTGAGAAAAAAAACATGAAAATAACACTTTGGGTTGCTGAGAAAATTTCAAATTTTGTTCGCCGGATTAGTTAATAAAAAAAAAATATTATTCTGTGGACTGTTTAATCATGAACTCAATTTGAACCCTGTATTTTCCTCAAGAGCTCTCAGATAGTAATGACTACACAATAGTCGCTCACAGGGTTACTTTGTGAACCCAATATGAAAATGTTTGTATCTATTACTATCTACATTTATGATTTAATTTTATTTGTAGGCATGAATGCTACAGCCCTGACGACCCATCGTCGGTGTGCCAGTCTGTCTTCTTATCACAAGCACAGGTAGTGGATCACGTTTTATTCTTTGTTTTATCTGCTATTTGTGAAACTCGTCAGTTTGCAGGTTCATTGATGAAACAATACAGAACTATGCAGATATTTTTTCCATCATCGAAATGGATATTGGGGTCATGTCATCACAATACTTTTTAAAGGTATAGTCCATCATTTGTAATTTGTGCATTTTGTTCATTTGAAGCGACAAAAGTGTTCAAAATCTAAAGAAGGGTGCTGGACAACTAACCTGATGAAGTTTCAGCTCAGTGAATGCTGTATAATTCTGCGAAAAACAACATTCTAGGATCTCGATTTCAAATCAAAGTTGCTGAATCATTTTTTGAATTGGGCCTGAATTCAGCGTCCGAGACACGTTCTCAATGAGCCGATTGTAGCTATGCAATGTTGCGCAGTGATCAATGCTTGGGCACCCTTCACTGAATGATGCGTCTTTACGCACCGTTGGAAAGGCCTTCTTTCGTTGATTTCTTCAAAATGACAGCTTGCCAGAAAGAATAATTTTACAGGGAGTTTAGTCCCTTTAATATCTTTCAACCAAGTATGTTTTTCAACAATCATTACGTCGGTTACTTTTTGGAAAGCTGCAAATGATGGACTGTAGCTTTAACAAAATACAAAGTTACAAAATTGAACAAAGACATTGACTGGAGCAGGGTTTGAACCTGCGACCTCTTGAACACTGCACGGGTGCTCTACCAACTGAGCTATCCAGCACAAATTGTAGGAGGTTTCTAAAAAAACAAACATTTTCCAAGTTGCACTTCTTTTTGATGTGAGTTCATGATGTCTGCGATTGCCGTTGTATCTTCCCCAGGCTTCCGCACACGCCCGTGGAGGCGGAGCCAAGCAGCTGGGCAATCTTGAGAGCGCCACCAACCTGCGTGGCGTCAATGAGTATCTCTCCAAGGAAATAGAGGGCGCTCTTGATGGACACCAGGTGATGCCGGCATATCAGCATATCCTCTGTAAAGCACTCGTCAACAAGGTACCAAACAAACAAAAAAAATTTTAAGAGGGTGAAATCTCTGTGTCGTGGACGGAGTCATCGATTCAATCACATTCCAGTCACCGGTGTTGTCGTCCAGTGAACTGGTGTAGTACGGTGAATTAAGGACTCTTGAAATACGGACGCGTTGGTAGTATTTGGCATGAAGATTGTAAATGTTCAACCAATAAAAGCGTAAAAGGGACCAGATTTCATAGGTGTCAAAATTTCACATGAAACCGGAAAAGTGTTGAAGACCAGCCAGCCGGTCCGTATCAACCGTTTAAGATCGGCCACGTGACGGGCTCTCAACCAATAGGAAAGGGTAAACTGTCTTTATGAATAAAACTTCAAGGTTTGACACCTCAAAATATTCAAAGTCTCCCATTTGATCCCGTAGGATAAGAAACTCATTGCTGATGCCTGGAGGGCTCTACACAGCTTGGCCTATCAGCTGGACTACATCCAGGCAATCAACCAAGATCTGCAGGACTTGGTCCGATACGCTCTGCTCTTCCCCGGGAAACTGATCAAGGCTTCAGCGTCCAGTCAATCACTGGCCAAGGGGCGGGGCAACAAGGCAAAGGGGGAGGCGGGACCAAGCAGCCAGGTATGGGATCCATGCATGAGTGCCTCCTCAAGCAGTGCTGATACTGAACGGCACTAAAGTCAGGGATGGAATAAAGATGTGCTTAAGACCCGCTGGGTGAATGGATGCTAATAGGCCCTTAGCCAGTCTTAAACTGAATTGTTCAATACCGGCCAAGCACATAGTTATTCCCATTCATAAATACCTTTGTTTAACAGTTTTACTTAAGGTTTTTTCAAACACCCCTCTAGCTACAGGTTATGGTATGTGCCTCTCCTTAAATGGAGATTGGCACGTACTGCGTGATGTGGCGTAGAACGCAGCTGTGCTGGTGTAACATGAAATACTGACTCATTGGTAGTATTGTGCATGCCTAAGTGAAGATTGTGAACGTTCAAGCACTGATAATAACCCGAGCCAAAATAATCAGCGTCTAGACTCCAAACCGGTCTTAAACATAGTGTTTAAAACCGGCCAAGCACACATTTATTCCCTTATTTATATGGACCTGTACCTGCCTTTATGATGATTTGTGATTTGACTTGTGTTTGTCACAAGCATCTCTTAATATGATCCTATTTACATGTTTGATTGACTTTTGACTTGTGCTTTGACTTGATATTTGACCTGTGATAGATTTGTGATTTGACCTATGATTTGACCATTAATGGTCCTATGATTTGACTTTTGATTGACTCGTAATGTGACATGTGATGAAGTTGTGATTTGATCTGTGATTTGACCTGTGATCGACCTGTGATTTGACTTTGGACCGAGTCTGATGAACGTTACTACAGGTATGGAGGGAAATCTCTTAGATTAGTATTAGGTGTGCAATACTCTCTATACAGTATGTCTGCAACAAGTTTCTTTTGTTCGCTTGTTTTGGTTGATTTTTTAGGGCCCTTTCAACGATGCAGCCCTTGCCAAGTTTGCCAGCGTCTACTCTGAGAAGCTGACCAGCGTCCTGCAGGAGCCTTGTGCCTTTGTCCCCTCATCGCTGCTTCAGGTGATCCAGGATAAGCTCCAGACGATCGTTGATGTTGACAATCAGACCAACAGGCAGAGCCTGCCTATTGAGCAAGAGGTATATGCATTATGAGCACTTCTAGGCGCTAGGAAAACAAACTTCTCATCTTATTTTGGAGTGCTAACAAAAATAAAACTTCATTGAAAAAAAAAAAATGCTTGCAAACGTTTGCATGCTTATTTGCGTGTGGAGGATGTGTCGGGGGGGGGGGGGTGTTCAAGTTACGGCAAAATGTACAACCATTGAGAAAACACTGCCAACTAGACTGGCCCCACTTTGTGCTCAAGAGCCGTAAGATTCATAGACTGCTTATACATGTTGTATAACTTATTTGAGTATCGACACTTAACAAATTCATGATTTTTAAAACATGATAGTAAAGACCGGCGCACACCTTTCCAATTTTACTGTTCACCAGATCACCGCATCACCAGTACTCTTTTTTTCACCGTTTGCGGTTAGACCACAATGTTACCCGCACACATGCCCGATTCCGTTCGATAATTGGTCACATCGTGACTCGGTCACATGGTGACAAAATGGAAGTCAATTGTGAATCATGCGACTTCATTCGTGAATCTGATTGGTTAACATAAGTATCGCGTCTGGTGCTATAACCCGCACGTACACCTTTTCGTTGACATCGGATCCGGTGAAATCGGATACCAAATGATTTCATCTGGTCGCCCCCGGTGCACGATCAGATTGGTTCGAATTTTCAGCACACACCTCTGTACGATGGCCCGATGATCTGGTGAACCGATAAAATAGGAAAGGTGTGCACCGAGTTTAAGTAATTGTGCTGAAAAAGTCCTATGTTCTGGTAATTAAGAGACACGCAGAGGCCAAGTTTTAAATTTGGTGACCAACCCATATGCGCCATGACGACTATTCTTGAATCACCCTAGTCAAACCAAAACTGACAAACTACAGAATCCACTCGCATTTTTCCATGGGTTGCATTTCTCGTTAGTCTTGCTGGCCATCATCGTTTTGCACAGTTTTTTGTTTTTTTTATTTTTGGTGGTGTCTTCTGTATGTGACTATGAAACAAGGCTAATGAGAAGCAATTAACATGGCAACACGTGATCTTGTCAAAATAGTTTACTACAGAAATTCCACCATTGTCAACCAGCATGCGTTCTGGTGTGAAGTTTCTTAAACTATGGTCATTTTATTTATATATAGAGAACTTGAACTTTTATCTTAAATGTCTCTTGATGGTGGATATTTTCTGTTTTTCATCCGTTCTTTGATTTTGCAGACTATTTCTACACTGAAGGAAATCTGGCAGCTCATACATCCCGTTCAGGACTGGACGTCGTTTGACGTTCACAAAGCTCTATCTCACCACGGTAACGGCTTCATATCACCCCAGGAATAAAAGTAGCTTTACCAAAGACCATAGTGTTAAGTTGCTTTTGTTCCTCCCTAAAAAGAAGCATAACGTTTGCATGTCGATACCTGCTGAAATATTCCATTTGAGAGGATTTCCTCATAGTGAATAGTCCGAGTATCAGCCGTTGTCCAACGGAGCAACTTTTATGCGACCCTGCGTGCCAGCCAATCGGAGTTGACTTAAGAAAGTGTGACGCCATTTCAAACAGAAATGTGTACGAAGTTGTTGATTGGTCAACTTGGCCGACATGTTTTTGTAATACAACGGGTTGTGGAAGACCCGATATAGAAGGCACCCGCTGAATGGTCAGAATCTCGAGGTCAAGACGCAGTAGACTTCCACGATACGAAGCCTCGTGTAGGCAGGAAGCACTGAGAGCAACTAGCTCAACCGCCTAGGCAGTTGGGTGGTTGATGTGGCCCTTTACCGAAAGACAGGACCGTGCAGGACCACACCGTCAGCCACGCAGTTTAACCAGTTCATGTCGGATGACGTGTATACAGGCAAAGAATTAGGGGTATTCGGAAACAGATGACGGATAAACACGCAACGAGAGAGGCCGGAAATTTCTGTCAGCGACCCGCTCGCAGTGAGTGAGGCCAGAAATATCAGGGTGTGCTACCCTGAGATGACGGCCTGAACCCATCTGGCATCGAGGTTCATGAAAAACAATCCCGCACCTGCGTCCGGTCGATGTCCAAATAATCCCGACGCGAACTAGTTAAGGCACGGGCCAGCGGGCCGGCCCCCTTCGCCATATCTGCTTGCATGTGCAAAGGTCTATTGCATAGACTACATAGTGACCTGTTTTGGAAGAAATCTACTTAAACAGAATTCCAACACGCACAGGGTCTGTGGTCTTCCCAAACTGTTGTGTGTGTTTTTAGTGCCATGTACCCATTGTAATAAACATCAAAGTCGTTGGAATTAGGAGCAGGGTACTCATAATTCAAGACTTGAATATTTTTTCAACCTGATTTTTGCATGTGATGTCTCATTGAGAAGCTCACATTCTAAAAAAAATTTACAAAATGCACAATTTATTTTGAAAATCTTTTTTTTGTTACCACGCCCAAAAAGCATAAACGTATGAAATGTAAGAATTATCCAAGTATTACAAGTGCTCGACCAACCACATGTTCTTTGAAATGTCTTTCGGGGTTTTTTTTGGGGGGGGGGGAAATATAAGATAAAGCTTCCAAATTAAGGCAAGTGGTATTTTTACAGGAAGGGAAATCTTGCAGTTTGTCTTCTTATTCTTACATTTGTGGTCTTCTTGTCGTGATTTTATATTTTTAGCTTCCAGTATAATAATCGGCTTCCAGGACTTTAGTTGCCAAATATTGTCAGCTCTTCCTGACAGTGCGTTGTTTAAATAGTCACTGAAGCGCCCGAAACCGCCCAAGCACGCTCAAGCACTCTCTGGTTTCATTGATTCTTCAGTGCGTAAACACAATGTAATACAATGTAGTACAAGTGCTAACATGTTAATGGTAGCAAATTATCTGTCCAAACATCGGATATTTGTTTACTGTTGTTGAGACCTGCACTGTTATTCAATATTAAGTTTTTGCCCTTCACCGACTTATAAACACTGTATACTCAGTGTGTTACCTCCCGAGTGAAAGTTGGAAAAAATCACTCGGGTGGGATGCGAAGTCACGACCTCCTGCTTTCTAGTGCAGACGTCTTACCACTTGACCCCCGAGCTAACGGGATCGGTTGGCTGGTTCGAATCTGATGTACATGTACATGTAGCAACAGGTACTGCAATTAAACTATTCATAAGATGAATTTGCGTCAGGGTGATGTAAGTCATTATTAGGTTTTGCCCGTCGTGATAATGCACTGTTATTGTTTCCAAGTGCTTCTTTGAAGAGCAAGATTTTCTTTGAAGGATGAAAGATTGTGTAAATATGCCTTTGATGAGATATTGTAATTTCAAGTTGTATATTTAGTGGCGACTGGTGTTAACATTCCCAGTGTGTTATGTATATTTTGAAAGAAATTGATAAAAATTTGATTTTTTTTTTTGGTTGCTTAAGAATCTTAACTACATAAATTCCTTTATTTGTGCAATTTAAATCAAGATTTCAATTTTGTCCATAAAATGTTTTGTAAGATAGTATAGAGTGCAGGAGTGGCACAAAGATTTTTTTGAAATACCTAGATATTTTTGTTTATATTCATAGATTCCTTCCACATCCAAGATTTTATATTGCAATTTATAAATGCACTTTAGCGTCACTATCTTTGTAGAACTTTGCGTTATGATAGTCGACTTATAGTTAACCCAGGAATAAGTGCAACACATCAACTCGGTGAAGTTTCTTTTTTTTCTGTTTATTTTAAATATTTTACAGGCGTATACAATGTTGAAGTTATAGTTGTAAAAAGCTTTTGCAAAAACAACCTGGAATGGTTTTTTTTTTGGGGGGGGGGGGTGTTTGGGGGCTTTACAGAAGTTTGGGGGGAAACTGACCGTTCATCAGCTAAAATGGTAAGACATACACTCGGACAGAAATCGTTTGAATCTTTACAACCCCTTAATTGGGTTTTATCTTTGGGTAGTTTATTTAAATGCATGTATTAAGCTTACCTTTGTAAACTTAAATAGTAGGAGATATGAAAACGGACTTGATTTTCGGCCTAAACGTACATTACTAGCACTGTTTATAATATCCTGTGTTTCCCCAGTGAACAGAGGAAAACACTGTTTGGTGAACATGACTTTTTTGCATACAAAGGGGTGTATGCTGGGCGTGGCCATTTTGCAGGATAACACATGTACGGCACAATTTAAAGCTATCTACAGTTTAAAAAAAAAATGAACCTGAACTTTGCAATTTCAGGACGACTTTCATCCCAAATAACTTACACACAGAACATTTGTTCCTGTACTTAAGGTTGATTCGAAAATGTGGTTTGGATTTAGATTCGCTGGACAAAACCGTTTCCAGTTTTGTTTTTATGCAATCCCTTGTCAAATAAAACAAAAAGAATCAATTTTTTTTCTGGATTGTTAAGCAATGCCTGAATACAATGTTAACAAGGGGCCTGTTTGTTCCATTCCAGATCCCGATCAAGATCGTGTGATGCAGTGCCGTATGAAAACAAACAGAACCACTCTCGCGTGTCGAGTCCTTTCAGGTGACACGAGTGTCGTCGTCTGCTTCAGATTTTGTAGGCAGAAGGGCTATTTTTACGATGAGCTTTCTATCATTTCTAGAAAAAGTAAATCAATCTTACTATTTTTAATCACAAAAATACATTCTAAAAGAATCATGAAGAAATATTGTCACAAAAGCTCAATTGATGCTTCAAATCTACTAAAAAAAAAAACCTAATTTTTTCTCTCCGTCCGTCGCGCACGTCACCATCTTTGATCTTCCAAATCCACCTTCCGAGCAGGATCTGTTAAAACGTGACCGGAGCAGCTATCGACGCGCAGGATCACTGATCGCGATCCGGATCTGCGCAAAACAAACAGGCTCATAGTTTTGCTATAAATAAATAACAGTCATCCACCAGTCTTCCATTTTGTCTGAAGGTAAGTTTAGACCCTGTGCATAATGCGTACACAGAACTCTCAATGCATCTTTGCTCTTAGTGTCTAATGCCAATCATTGATCATAACTCCTCCCCTTATTTACATATTGTCACATGTCAACCATTGGCCAAGTCAATCACTAGCTCCTAGCTCCTCCCCTAAATCAATCATTGGGCAAGTCAATCACTAGCTCCTCCCCTTCCTCCTCGCCCCCAGTTGCCGCCGCCTTGGGCTTAGGATTAATGGGCGGAGTCTTGCTGATGGGGGGAGTCTTACTGACGGGCGGAGTCTTGCTGGTGGGCGGAGTCTTACTGGGCGGGGTGTGTCTAGCTGGAGATCTGACCCCGACCATGGGCTTGGTTTCCATTGTCTCGCTGAGAGGAGGCGAGGCCTTGCTTGTGGACGGGGATGATTTACTGGAGGGTGTCTGCTTGAAGGCTTGTGAGGGCTTCCCTGCGGCCATGGCCTGGGCGGGGGAGGGCTGGGTAGATGTGGGTGGATTGAATGGGTTAGGGTACACAGCTGGGTGTAGGTGTGCTGGCAACTTGTCTGTATCCCTGTGAACATAATGGAATGGAGATATCCATAATTTTAGAAATATCATTGTGGCTATTTCCATTTGTTTTTCGTTAGTCTGTTGACAGATTCAAAAGACATTGATTCCAAATAGTGGACCTTAACCCTAGCAATGTTCAGGGCCAAACACTCACCCAAATGCTAACTGGAGATCTGCAGGTGCAGAGTGAATTCTGACTACAAAGAAGGTATGCATGAGCATTCAAACTTCACATTTCATCACGTTTGATTTGTTAAAAGTGTGCTGTGAGAAACTCACTGGCACCCATCGTAACTGCTCATAATGGAAGTAATCATGTTGAAGTGAGGAAGTGGCTAACAAAAGAAAGTGGTGGCGTCAGGTTGCAACATTCTTTCCTCCAAATTCCCTGAGTTTTCCCTTTCTGGAACAATGGAAACCCTTTTTCAAGGTTTTGCCTGATTTCCACAGTGGCTGGGAACCCCGGACAACATGTCCAACTGCAGTCATCAAGGCTTGTCAATTGTCTTACTTTTTGTGTCTCTTCTTGCTCTGTTTCTCGGCCTTCTCGCCAGCTGCAGCCGCGGCCAGACCAGCCATCATGAGCGCACCCATGGCACTAGAGTCCCCCGATAGGAGGCTGGAGAGCTTGGAGGGCTGTTGGGGGGTGAGCGGCTGAGCGGGGTTGAATCCCGGCAGGCCCATCCCGGGGAATGGAGACTCCTGAGAGTACATCGGAAGACCTACTGGAAGGGGGGAGGCCAGGCAATTTGGTTAACTCTTTTCGAATTCCTTCTGTAACAGCTGAATGGAATTTTCTCAAACATGTCAAAATATCCACTCTATGCACCTACCTAAACCGACGAGAGGACTCATTGGCATTTGGACGTGTGGTGAGCCGACTTTCATCAGATCCATCAACCGGGAGTTCTGAAAGACAGAAAATTAAACTGAATGCGTAAAAACTATCGGAGCATGCTATTTCACATGATTGTGCAAACATCAAGTAAATGACATCAACTATGTCTGTTTGTTGGTGCAGGAACTGTGTGGTCTACTCACGAGGGTTGGTGAAGGACACGTTGAAAATGCTAATATTAAAAGGCACTTCCTAGTGCCACTGGCAACCACTGCACTGGTTGCCAGTGCAGTGGGAACCACTGCATTGGCAAACCACTGCACTGCACTGGCAAACCAATGCACTGGCAAACCACTGCACTGGCAAACTACTGCACTGCACTGGCAAACCACTGCACTGCACTGGCAAACCACTGCACTGGCAAACCACTGCACTCTAAATGGTCAACGTGCAATCTAAAAGGTCTACGTGCACTCTTTGATTGGCAAGGCAGATGGGTCCATTTGGGAAAGGATCTTACATTCTGAAATTGCAACTCCTGTTGCTGTTGCTGCTGCTGTTGTTGTTGTTGCTGCTGCTGCTGATGTTGAGATGCTGTGTAGTTGAGATTACCAGGCAGGGGTTTTCTGTCCCCCGACAGGAGTGACTTCAGCTGTCGCTGCTTCCGTTTCTTGGCCTTGACTTTGATTGGCTTGGCTTTCTTCTTCTGCTTCTTAGCTTCTGAGCTCTGGAGAGATGAATGCATGTTGAAAGGGCAAAATATTACCTAAAAAAAGATGCCAGCCCTCCCGAGTTCAACATACAACACAGCCAGGTAATACGCTGTGTTCCTAAGCAAGATGCTTTACTGCAATTACAAGTGATTCAAAATAAAAGAACTGCGAATGGAGGTGAATATCCTGCTTTACCTACAGCACACTGTGGGACGAAGTTGATATCTAAAGTGTTCATTTTAAACGAGGTATTAAGGGCTCAACATTTTCGAGTTTGATTTTTTGGTACACCTATTTTTTTGAATATTGGTTTCTTTTCTTGTTAGTATTTTGACTTTGGTAATGCAGATCATGAACTTTCATAGGGAATAGTATACAAATAATGAATATTATTATATTGGTTTATTTTCATTCAACTCGTGGCCCTCAGGCCAAATTGCAAGAATGTTACAATATAAAAACATTACAAAAAATACACAACAATATAGTCCAATATGAAAACATACATATGTATAGAGCTGGAGGCACATCTACGAATATTTATTAGTACAATGGTAAGAATAATTTCATGAGGTGACAGATGGAATGTTCCATTCCACGAGGCTGAGAAGGTTGAGGTATACCTTCTTGCTTTCCTTCTCGCTATCTGACGATGCCGTGGAGCCGGAATCGGAGCTAGACCCCTCCACCCGTTCGTACTGCAGAAGCCGATCCAGCAGAAAGCTCTTGTCTCTGGAGGTTTTCAGCAGCTTGCGCTGGGCCCGTCTGAGTTCCTCTTGGAAGCATTCCTGTTCCTGAGAAATTAAAATGTAAAACTGGCAAAAATCAAATCGAAGAATTCACAATGAAGTTACAGAAGGATGCCTTGATCATTAGGGGGTAAAACGTACTATCACCAAAATACAACTGGACATTACAAAATCTAGCTTGAGAAACTCAAGCTGCAATGCTCATCGCGAATTTGACATACAGAGCTGGAGACACATCTAGTTTTTGTCCAGCGGTCGGAAAATGGCGGAGGCCGAGATATTTGGCCTTGGATAATAGGGAAAAGGACCATTTTAGTTTAGTTTTCTGACCACTGGACAAAAACTAATGTGCCTCCAGCTCTATACATGTATGTCAAATTTGCGATGAGCATTAATTTGAGCTGGAGTTTCTCAAGCAATTTCAGCAAATAAAATAATACAACATTGTCAATAAATTATTATAATAGCCCTAGGCAATCCCCCATTACAAGTTAATAACTTTACCAATGCCTTGTCATGCGTTTTTAAATAAATACATACATTTGTTCAACAAACAAATTCAATTATTCATAAGATGGAATTTGCGTCAGGGTGTTGTAAATTCAATATTAGGTTTTGCCCTTCACCGACGTGTAAACACTGTATATACTCAGTGTGTTACTTCCCAAGTGAGACTCGAAACCACAACCTCTTGCTTTCTAGTAGTGCAGACGTCTTACCAATGAATGTGGGACTGAGAAACATTTCCAGTTTTGTTAGAAAATACTTTGAAAATAGACTTTGTATATACAGCTTTGTATACAACAACTACTCCTAGAACTATGAGGCTCCGCGTCCGCTCACGCGGAGCCTCATAGCTCTAGGAGTATACAACAACATGGTCTGGCGATCGCCAGACCATGTCCGAATGTTAAAAAGGCGATAAGTTGGGTCCAAGTTACTCGGACTAGTATACAACCACAGAATTCAGTGGCGTCAGGATACTGAAATCTTTCCTCTAGTTCTATCGCAGTTCAGTTAAGTTAGAAACAGATAAACATTTATCATCAGCAACTTTACTAAGACAGCAAGTCTTGTTCAACAATCAACACAACACAACAGCATACGCGGCAAGCGGCAAGGGGTAACATTTATTTGAAATTAAAAAAGTAAATGACTTACATAAATCAGAAATCTCAGTTTTCTCTTGAGTGCTCTATACTTCGCTTTGCTCTCTGTCGACATTTTCAATGTGTTCAATAAGAACGATTTTAGTAATTTTGCGGTAGTTTACCGAAGCCGGCTGCGCGATCATCACACGCATCTATCTGTGGCCGTTTGTTTTGTACACAAACAGTGAACACGACACACATTGTACATACAGTCTAGTATTGCGGAACGCGACAGGGGCTTGGGGACTAGACAGTCGGTTATATTCACTGGTGTCCGCTATCTACACCGTTTTGTATATGCAGGTCTTTGAGGCAAACCATTTGAGGTTAACGATTACCAATCTCATAGAAAATCATCCTCTTTTCATCCTACGGGAATTTAATGTAAGCATGATTGTGTTATCAACTAAGTTACAATCGAACAAAATCAGGATTATTTTAAAATCATCAGGGGAAGAAATCATAGGAGATGTTTATGGAAGGATTGAGGGTCCATAGAGACTTGTCTTTTAATTATAATAATGGCTTATAAAAGGGAAAATGTTCGACAAAAATGGTTATACCTAGGCCTAGCTAGTACTGTAGTGACTAGTGAGAGTCGGTACGTAACTCACGAACTGTACCGTGTACACGTTATACAATGCATTACGCTATGGACTCGTGCACAAACAGTAGATGGCGCTGTTCGACCACTTTCGAGGGCTCCAATGCATAATTTTTTTTTAACCTAGACCTGACACGCCTATGCTTTTGTGTCGTGTGATTTTGGGCCCAAAATGCTGTGTCGTGTAGTCGCCGGTGTTCATACAACAGCATGCATGGCATGTCACTCGCTATTTTCAACTGCGCGCGCGTGCGTACTGCCATCTGATGAAGTGAAGTCTAAGATAAACAGTTCGCCACACGCTAGCCCCATAAATGTGGCATATTTACTGGACTGCCTCCGTAAACATAGGCCACACATCCACATGTACAAAAAACGTGTCGACTTTGCCAAATTTTGATTTTCACATTAAGGCTTACTTTGTAGATTTTTTTTGCTTTAGAAGCATTCTCACCCTCTATATAGGCTAATCAGAAAGTGCTGCCTTTTTCAGATGTTTAATTTTTGTGAAATTTCATGTTGAAATTTTGATACGCAAACGTGTAAAAATGAATCTGGAAATTTCACGAAAAATATACATCTGAAAAAGGCAGCACTTTCTGATTAGCCTATAAAGAGGGTGAGTATGCTTCTAAAGCCAAAAAACCCTACAAAGTAAGCCTAAATGTGAAAATCAAAATTTGGCAAAGTCGACACGTTTTTGTACATGTGGATGTGTGGCCTATGTTTACGGAGGCAGTCCAGTAAATAGGCCACATTTATGGGGCTAGCCACACGCATGCAAAATCATTCATAGCCAATGATAGCGGGGTAACAAAATCAAAGAAAAGGTCTTGTTTTGAACTAAATGCAAAATTTAGATTGTTTACGGCACCATGGTTTAAGATTTTTTGTATGCTCCAACTTTGGTTCGAATAAAAGTTTCCATCTCCTTTTTGATAGATGAACAATTGAAGAATGCAGATTCGGTTACCACGTCCAGACTTGTGTGCATTTATCTCGTAGAATCTGATGTGTCCACGGGCAGTTGAAATAGCAAATAGGCTTATTCAGACACGTCAGGTCTTGGTTTATTATATAGCCCCATAAATATGGCTCATTACTGGACTTCTTCTGTATTCCCTATCAAAGTGTTACGTGCAAGCGAATGGTCTGTAGTGATTGGTGGCCATGTTTGCATCGGCAGATCTTAGGTAATCACTTTGACAGTGAATTGTGAGCCACACATCGGTGGTAGCGACATGTTTCCGTCTATTTCTAGAAGTAGCAATGAGAGGAAAAGTTGTTTTGAGGAAATCAAAATTGAGACTGTTCTTTTTAACTTGATATTCACTATGAAAGATACTTACCTGGTTATTAACCAGAAAATAAATGTAATTCTATTCCTGTAGAAGTCTAGTTGTATGATTTTCAGGCAAAATTGCAGAGAGGTCGTCCAAAAATGATTGCAATAGTTTTCTCGAGGTCACTCATGGGTCATATTTCTTTGACCATTTGATTTTGCCTGGTTATTAACCACGTGTCGTAAGTATCTTGCATGGTGAAAATCAAGTGAAAAAAAATAAAGTGCCAATTTCGATTTCCTTAAAACAACCCCTGACGCCGGGTAGAGTATACTGTCCGAAACGTTGAGTTTCCCCGTCTCTGTTTGAGAACCTGACAAACTCACAAGAGATATTTGTCACATGGTGCTACCGTAAAGCTTTATCTTAATGCTACCTTCACCATGCAAACCTGCACATATTAAAATACTTTTCCCGACATGCTGCTGTTGCCGACATGTGGTTCACAATACGGAGGAAGTCCAGTATATGAGCCACATTTATGGGGCTAGGTTTATTAAGATGTCTCGTCAACAAAAACACATGCCTTCCACCTGAGGGAAGGTGGTCTGTAAGTCTTGATTTAGAGTAGAGGGCCTAGTTAGATTCGGACAATAGAGTAACTCTTGCAGTAAGTATTTGTAAATCTTATTTTGTCCTTTTTGGTTTTTGTTTAGCATGGGGGACGAGCAAGTCGTCAAGAAAGGGAAGCGTCACACGTCCCGCCAGAAATGGCTGACCGGCGGCGTGCCACGCTACAGCCGCTCTCAGATGTATGAACGGGCTGCCCGCTACAAGAAGAAACATGTAAGTATGATGCTGTGAGAAGTACGAAGGACTATCCTGAAAACTTTATATGTGGGTTTCATTTTCAAGATCCTTAACCTTAAACTTCCTAGGTATTTTTGCTTGGATGCAACCTCAATCCAGCAAAAATTGTCCATCTGCCTCAATGTAAAAATTGCATACAGCCTCAATCCTGCAAAAATCCTCCGTTATTTCTTGACTGTGGTCCTTTCAGGGGTGACCACTACCTCAATCCTGCAAAATCCTCCAGCAATCACTGTATGCAGGGGTGTGAAATCTCCGCTATTTAGCGGATTTCCGCTTTTTTGTTCAGCGTGCCACATTTTGTTTTCCGCTTTTTTTCTTCCGATGGTCCAGATTTCCCCCTGCTTTTTCGCCCGCGCGTAAGCATTGATTTTATTTCCGTTTATTTTATTTTCCGCCGCCGCCGAACGCACGTGATCCGCTCTCTAGTACAACATACACGTCACGGTAGCTCTGGGGTGCGTGCAAGCGAGTATTCAATGTACATTGTACGTACGTGTGTACTACATGTACATGTACATGTATACGATACCTTGTGCATGCATTTTTCAGCTCGAAGCCGCGTGTGTACAATGTATTGTACACAGCATCCGGGGAACCAACAGTGATTGCGCTGTGATTGGCTGCAGATAAATATGAATATTCACACATGCGCCATGAAGCGCGTTGGGACTCTTTGCGGCCGTTCCTGTGTCTATGCATGTGTTGACACGCGATGATCTCCACAATAACTCGCTGTAAACATAGTCTTGTTGCTAATATAAAGCCTTGAAATAAGACTAGTAAGTTGTCGCCGTGCCGCGCCGGTAGAGGGCATCATGCGAGGCAAAGTTCATGTGTGCATTTCATTGCATGCACGCATCCTGCTGCATGTATTCCGCTGCACGCTGATACGTACATTAGTGTGTCGTATCAAATGTTTGAACGTATTTTGACATTATTAATTCCGCAAGATGTCAGTGCAACACAAATGTGTTATTATCCAAAGAGGTTCGGAGTTTGATACGGACATTGACAAGACCGATCCTCAGGTTACGAATCCATGGATTTGGATGGAACACATGTCATGGTTAATGGGCAGAAATTAGGCGACTCGATCAGAAGCCGGGACACGCGATGACGATGTGTATCATCTGCAGTAAGGAGTTAACTTAAAATTATGGAAAACGTGGTTGAATTTCCCAGTTTTCACATACAAGTTGGCCATTTAGGAAGTTTCAAGCCAATATGAAGGAAAAGTTAACTTAAAAACATGCATTAATTGCAAAACATTTTCGACCAATAGTTAGCCCAGGCATGCCAGGAGGCTTTAAAATGCACCACAGAGCATCTACATTTCAAAATTTTTCCGGGGCCCTTGGGCGGGCCCCGGACCCCCACCGTAAGGGCTTCGCGCTATGCGCTCGCAGGTTCGGTTATTTACAGGTTCAGCTATTTTCAGCTATTTTTTTTGGACTCCACTCACACCCCTGCAATATGTTAAGGCAGAGCCAGTGACATCCTGGAGCAGGGCGGAGGATTGCAAGTATAATCTAGGCCTAAACTTATGCACAGTTGAGCATAAACAACACAAGGTCCGGCCCAAGACCTTGACACAGTGCATCCTCCAAAATCAGCCACACATTTTTGCCCGATAGCCTCAATCCTGCAAAATCCTCCATTTTGCAAAGAGGATTTGGGAACATTAGGGATAAGTGTGTGAAACATGTCCTGCGCTGGGGACATTCTGAAGGGAGCATTGGGGGTTTTTTTGGTAGTGAGTGAGAAAGAGCTTAGTCATAAATTCTGTGACATTGTTGACTCTTCAGGTGGCCGTCAAGAAGGACAGGAAGAGACCAGCTGCCATGGTAGAGAAGGACATCGGCGGAGAGAAGAACGGCGGAAAGCGTCTGGTCCGAGCCCGCAGACTGGTAGGTGGACTGAATATCTCAAAGGGCAAGCCTAACATCAACTGAACACCTATAAACAATTTCCTTGAGGTGCTGAGTAAGGGCGGAAGGGAACCAGGCAGATGCAATAGGCATTGCATGATATTTGACTGGTTACCTGTATTTACTAAGCAAGTACTGACTTAACCCCCAAGGTTCTTTTGGCTAACCATCCTAAATCCTGCAAAATCCTCCAAATGCCACCATGTAAAAATTAGATTCAGCCTCAATTCTCCAAAATCATCCGTTATTTCTTGAATTTGTTCAGTGGAGGGGTGACCATTGCCTCAATCCGTCAAAATCCTCCAACAATCACTGTTAATGGGTTGAGCATCGTCGATGACATTCAGAAGCAGAGCAGATGATATCAAACGTAATGCAGGGCTCAATTATGCATGGCTGAATGTAAAGTATGCAGGGTACAGCCTACGAACTAGCACAATGCATCCTCCAAAATCAACTGACACTTTTTTGCCATTCAGCCTCAATCCTCCCAAATCCTCCCAAACCGCCTGGAGGATTGAGGAAGGTCAGGGTTAAAGATCAGCCACATTAATGTGGCAAACATGGACTAATTTTTAAGATAATACATAATTGAAGTAATCTGCAAAAATCACCAAATAAACCAGTAGGTCAAACGTCCGTGCATTTCCGAGATCTTCACTTTCAGATGTCACTATTCTTTTGACTTGTCCAGCCCCGCTACTACCCCACTGAGGACCTTCCCAGGAGGCTCAACAGCCGCAAGAAGCCCTTCAGTCAGCACAAGCGCAAGCTGAGAGACAGCCTGACCCCAGGCACTGTGGTGATTCTCCTGCGTGGACCCTACAAGGGAAAGCGGGTCATCTTCCTCAAGCAGCTTGGGTCTGGTCTGCTTCTCGTCAATGGTGAGTCAGTCAGGCCATGCCTGAGTCACTTGTGTGGAGCCTTGGTCTTTGTATTTTACAATTATACGTGGGCACAATCTGACAAAAGATGAAGCTGTACTTGTACAGAGTGTGCCCAAAAAAGCGCAACATTCAGAAAACAAATAATTAAAACTGTTTAATGTTTTTTTCTTCAATGAAATTATATATTACAGTAAAGCCTGACTGTTTCTCAATCCACTCCTTTTTACCCCAATCCATTTGGATCCCGAGATCCAGAAATGCAATCAATTCGGGCGATTCACAATGCAGTGCGCCACCAAGAGCTTGCCACAGAGAGTCCATTTTTCAAGTTTACAGTCGACAAAATATGGCCCATTTGAATGAGTGTCAGTAGACAACTTGAGCTAATATGTCATAGATTGGGGCATAGCGTTCTGCCGCCTTACAAAAAAACACCATATTGATAACAAGAAAAGAAATGGGTAATCAGATCCTCGAAAATACGCTTACGAAACCACTGACCGGAAAAACTAACAATTTCAAATGTCCCGCGCTGCGAACTTGTCGACCATCTCCCACCATGCACTGGGAAAAATGAATTCTCCGTGGCAAACTCTTGGTGGCGCACAGCATTGTGAATCGCCCGAATTAAGCGAATGGGTGTAAATTTGACTTGGCCACTCTCACCTTGTGATGTCACCAACTTCAATGCCTATTCAATGCTTAACCCAGATTCAGCCATTTACACCCTATAGTTTAACATGCCAGTTGACTATTTTGGACCAGTCTACCCAGTGTTTTTGCTGGTTACTAATCGCCCCACTAATCAAAGCAAACAACAGGGAGACAGGACCAAGATGTTTTGGGATGGTATTTTAACCAATTGACTAGAGACGTTTGCAACTTGCTACCAGCACGCAGGCATCAGTTGTATCAGGAATCAACCATTGGTCAACTAGCGGTCTCCACTTAAATTTCGTTCTAGCTGATTGATCTAATGGTGTACCCTTTCTTTTATTCCCCCGTACAAGGTCCATTGAAGATCAACGGTGTGCCCATGCGTCGCATCAACCAGATCTACGTGATTGCCACCCAGACCAAAGTGGACATCAGCGGGGTCAAGATCCCCAAGAGGGTCAACGATGAATACTTCCGCCGTAAGAAGCTGAAGAAGCCCAGAAACCAAGAGGGGGAGATCTTCGACACGGAAAAGGAGGTAAGAGAGATGTACAGGATATAAATATTTCCTACGGATCCTGAGATCTTCAAACTTAATTTTATCATTTTGTTCTAAACCACACGTAAATTCAGACTCGGTACAAATTGGTGGTGTACATTACTGGTGGTACAGGAACCAGGTGACCTGTTGAAGTAAAACACGGGTCCCCGGGTACCCTCGAAAGAAACCCAACCCCAAAATTCAAGTCCCGGAAGTTGTTTGAAGGGAAAGCTTTTCGGTGTAAAGTCGCACATTAATGTCATACAAAACCTCTTTTTTTTTATGTTTGTGCACAAACACTCAGAAGCATTGGAGAGGTTTAGGTATGGATACGTTCATGAACGTCACAAAAATATACATTGGCAACACTACATTGGGTTGTTATAAGCAATGCCACACAGGTGATGTTGGTGTTTCTCGTAGTGTGAAGGAAGGGAGGTGCAAACTTCCACAAATGTCATGCATGTAAGATTGATAACAAAGTGTTATCCGAGGTCACATAATCTACTGTCATAATCAGTAGACTTTTAGAGAAGTTAACTTCATTAACCCCTTAACGCAGGCTTGCGGTTTTAGACGCAGCTTGATAAAAGCCGATAAGCCAGGGGACTGCCATTGCCGCATTACTGTTGCATAGTGCATTTATTCATAGACAAATGCTGAATGCCTGCACGTACACATTCCACCCCCCGTGGCCGAACAATACCGGCGACAAGGGGTTAAATAAAGCTATTTTTAGCATTTTCAAAAAGGTAACGGACACAGATTCTATGAAATACCTACTTCAATTATTTTTACGGGTACACAAATGCAAAGCTCCCCAGCATCCCTCTTCAGGACACAGACGTAGCTCGTCCTCTGTCCTGCCATCAGCTTGGCCCCGTGAGTCAGATCCCACAGCACCTGCCGGCAGCTGGGGATGCCTATGGCAATGTCCTGCCAGCCCAATCCGCCTGTATGCGATCTTCTATGAGATCCGCGTTAGCTTGCCGTAGCGTGCTTCGTTCGACACGTGGTCTTTACAGCCTATGTTGAGCACCATCCTCAACGTTCTGGTGTTGAGGTGTACTAAACCAAAGATAGTACTTAATAAACCAAGCCACGTATTCATTAGATATTTCTGTCTTTTCGTTCAACCCTCTGCAGAAGTACACCGTGTCTGATGAGCGCAAGGAGGACCAGAAAGACGTAGACGGCCAGCTGCTTCCCATCATCAAGAACGAAGCCAGCCTGAAGGGCTACCTGCAGATGCCCTTCTACCTCAGCAACAAGCAGTACCCTCACAAGTTGAAATTTTAGGGGACCGGCGCTGCCCCAATCACCCGAACTCTCGACAAGCTTTCCGTTCTCTACATGTTGTGGACGTTGTCCCAAAATGACCGACACCACAAAGGCACATCCTTTGCATGGGGTCTTATCAACAAATGGCATTTTTGATTTGAGTGATGCCTCAAACTGTGCTGTTTTAGAAATTTATCCTGGGAAAGGGATGACTTGTCTGTCTATGATTGACCGCAGGAGGTTTAAATAAAAGTCTATGGGTTATCAAACCAAAGGATGAAGTTAAGTGTATCTGTTTTTAGAGTTCATTGTTGATAGGGTTAAGTGTTAATTTCACCTGAAACACTTCAAATGATGTAGCATGAGGAGGATTAGGACGATGTGATCAGGTATCCAAAATCATAAAGGTTCCGATCGTATGACGTCAAAGTACCTTGTGACAATCCAATTTCCCCGTGATTAGCCACCATTGGATTAGGCAAGCTTTTGGTTATTCATAAGATGGAATTTGCGTCGGGGAGATGTAAATCAATTTTTATAGATGTAAATCAATAAACTGCAATAGTTTAATTGCGGTACCCGCTGCTACATGTACATCAGATTCAAACCAGCCAACCGATCCCGTAAGCTCAGTGGTCGAGTGGTAAGAAAGCAGGAGATCATGGGTTCGAGTCCCACCCAAGTATTGTTCCCAACTTTGACTCGGGAGGTAACACTCTGAGTATACAGTGTTTACAAGTCGGTGAAGGGCAAAACCTAATGAAGCTTTTGGCTAGCAACCACATTGTGCATTGTAAACTAGACAGTGGGGCTTATTTTCACGTAAAATAACCGCAAGTTCTTTATCAAATGGTATAATGGTCACTACCTGTCCCATGTATGATTGTCATAATTGTGCTGACTTAGCACTGGGTGTTGGCTCCACATTTTCTAACAGTATTCGCCATCCATCACAGCTTTGAAGGCTTGCCTATTACCAACTGCGTGGCATGCTATACAATCTTTGCCTGCTACAATGGCATCGCTGACTTTCCAGTACCTGGATGTACTATAGGCCGGGTCGTGAGAGAGCCCTATTAATCATAATAGGCCTGCTGTCGGGAACAGTGGTAGCAGTGTTACGCCCCAACTATCGCATCGGTCCCAACTGTAGGTCCACAGTTGGGCTGGCCCAACTATAGTTGGGCCTGTCCCAACTATAGTTGGGCCGGTCCCAACTATAGTTGGGACGGTCCCAACTGTAAGTTCCACTGTTGGGCTGGCCCATCTATAGTTGGGCCACTCCGATGATCCGATCTTTTTATTTTGCGGTGTCCCAACTATAGTTTACATTGATGTACAACTATAAAACGTTCCCTATACAGCTCTGATACACGTCTGACTTTACTGGGGACCACTGAAATTAGCTATTGATGGGGCAAATCTATAGTTGGGCCACCCCAATCTTGTTATTTTGCGGTCTCAACTATAGTGTACATTGTACGATTATAAAACATGCCCTACAACTCTAATACACATCTGACTTTACTTTGGACCAATGAAATTATCTATGGGTGGGGACCATCTGTAGTTGGGCCACCGCAATATTTTTATTTAGCGGTCCCAACTATAGTTTACATTGATGTACGACTATAAAACATTCCCTACAGCTCTGTTACATGTCGGACTTTACTTGGGACCTTTGACATTAGCTATGGGTGGGGCCCATCTATAGTTGGCCGGCCATGGCAATCTTTGAATTTTGCAAAATGTTGCTGGACAATAAAACCCAGCAGCTGGACAACTCATCCAACTAGGCAGTACCACGTGACCGGCCAGCCTTGCGGCATGCATGCACGACGAATACACGGTGCCAGCGCCGCGGAACATTTAATCCAACAAGATCTATGAAGCATCCGGCGCAACTCCAGTCCCCACTATAGTTGGGACCGATGCGATAGTTGGGGCGTAACAGCAGCATTGAGCAAACACACCGGTCCTTTTTCAATTGTTTATGTCATGTTTTGAGGTATGCTTCTGACGTAACTGCCCTCGGTGATGGTGCATCGCGTAAGGGGTTTATTGGCCTGGGTGACAGTAACTTTTTATAAGGGTTGCAGTGTACTGGTGGTATTCACTGTAGTACCTTGCGTATCCACACTTGTGTGTCGTGTTTAGTGTTATTTAGGGCATAGATGTTAGCTCAATAGCTGGCTTCCTCAAGACATGGCCAAGCCACTTTTACCTATCACTGATGGGTTATTAGCTTGACAGTGTCTGTTCAGAAATCACATGCCCTCCTTCCAAATGACATCCGAAGTGTACAAGCATCACTTTTGCATAAAGGTTTGCCATTGTGTTCCTGGGTATGAGGTGACTTTTTTTTTAATGCAAAATGTCTTCCGGAGGTAACAGTCTCATCCACAGAATGAACAGTTTTTGTCATTTTGTCAAAAGTATGCATAAAGGCGGATAATTTTCCCCTCCTATAAAGTAAGGTTATTCTGAAAGTCATTCCCCCAGAATATACAAAATGTGATTGATTGGGAGGGTTTAAGTTTGTTGTAGCTTGTGGCAGTCCTGGTTTAAAAAAAAAATGGCCAACTGCTGTTCACTATTAAAAATTGCACTTGTTTTGACTGAACAGCGTCGGTTTAGAGAGAGATGGGTGATATGTGAAGTTGGGAGGAATTTGTTGGTTTGGAATTGACACTCCCACCGCCGTAGCCTCATTACCAGGAAAGGTTTACTAGCCTCGGACAATGCACAACATCGACGTCGTAAACTTGGTGAAATCTCTACTGAACTAAGGTGTTAAATTATGAGGAGCATTTCTACAGAGGCAAAAGTTGACTGAAAAAAGGCACATAATGTCTGGTCCTCCATCCAACCCAGCCTTACCTCTTATGGTTTCCTGCACCATGTGTTTCATCGCGTTGTGCAGGATGCGCGTTGGGTTCCATGGCTTTGTCACTGATCTCTATATATAGAGATCAGTGGGCTTTGTTCGCTTGCAAGCGCGCGCACCCTACAGATGTACGCGTTTCATTGTTCCAAAATACATGCGGTTGTGTTATTAAAGTTCTACATTTTAATTTGCAAAAAACATAATAAATACAATCGAACATTTATTTTAATCAAATGAAAATATAACCGGCTGGTTTTATAACTAAATCGTATATTTCAATGAATTCATCAAAGTTCGGGAAAAAAATGAAAATGGAAACAAGCATTTTTAACACTAAACAAAAAGATTTGCAATGGACGCGGGGTATGGAATGAATAATTCGGCGAAACTACTCAATTGTTCTGTCTCCATGGATTTCATGGAACTCATTGGCGCATTGGCAACGGACGCAATGCGCGATACATGTTGTGGCGCGTGTTCAGTGTGCGTTTTCCTCTTTATTCCTTGGCCAAATAGGGCAAAGTAACCCGAAGAAAATAATAAACTAGATAAAATTAAACCATCATCTCTCTGCTCCAAAAGGCCCAGCTGAATTCGTTTTCGCTCTTTAGTCTCGACAGCGCAGGTTCAAAACACCAATCGACATCCAGAGATTTTGGACTTGGAAATTTGTCGAATTTTTGAAGAATGACACATGAAACTGCGGAAAACCCTTCGGAAGGAGCGCTGGCGACGTTGCCGATTTTCGACCGGGAATTTCGAGTCTTCGGCCCGCCTGTCGTGAGCGAAGCCATCAAGAGACACCAGAAAGAACTGCAGGCGGAGCCCAGGAAGTGGAAATCGTTGAGGTAAACGAACCGTTTGGAATAGAATATGCACGGCAGGTGCCTTATACTTTAGAGGGTATTCTTTGTTTTAATTTAGTAACAATTACTGCATAGGCCTAATAAGGTGTTGCTCACGCCTATCCTAGCGATACAAAACCACTGCCCTCTATAACTCCGCATTTAAACGCATAACGGTCAACCAATCAATCACTCTATCGGTCAACCATCGATCAATTTTAGGATTTTGCCGTATGGTTTCCCCATCCCCACCCAACCACCCCATCCCCTCGTCGATACGGATTGATGGCACTGACCCGGAATAAAGATACAAGGTTGGACTTTGATCGGGGAGCAGCCACTTTCATTAAACCGCCTCCGGGTTGAGGCGAATCAGCTCAGGAGGGACTAAGCCGAAAGAGACCCATCACAGACGGGACCGGACCATCATCCATGCATGGCACCTTACCTAGTGCGAGATGTACACCGCCGTAAATGATTCGGACGACAAGGAGAAGTGCCACTATCTTGCAGTGTTATTAACAGATCGGCACAACAAACGCCACCGGCGAGTAGTATGCAGGCCGAGTCGAAGGACTATATACAAGCGACTGGTGAAATCTTTAGAGTCCAGGTTTAGGCCACAGCTGGTATCGAGCTTAGCTCATGCAGGAATCATCGGCAGAAGCCGTCCGAAAGCCTCGGACGGAATTTTCAAGACTCCTTGAAATACTAGCTGAGAGCTGTCTAGCAGCGAGCGCAGCTACACGAACAGACCAAGATGTGAGATTCTATCCGACATTGGACCTGCGCATGCCCCGAATGTGTCAGGCAAAAGTTTCCCAGCAATCGGAGAGCGCCACTTCAGCAACCGCCTTTTGAAGTTCCAATGGTGACTAGGCCTATATATCGATATAACAGATCCTCTGGAAAGAGACGACCTCTGGAAACCGGTATATTGTAGTCAAAGCATACACAGACTATACATGAAATGGACGGCGAAGCATAGTTGCTCCGATCGCCGCCGATGTGGTTTTCAGACGTTTCGGCACACGGAGACTTCTTTAGACTTCACGGTGACCACAGGGCAGGGAATTTGAAAGCGAGCTCTTTCAAAAGACCTGCCAACTTCTTGAGATCAACATTACCAGAACGACTTCATACCACCCGCAAAGTGCTATAGTGACGGGCAGGTATAGAGGTTTAATGGGACTCTCAAAGTGATGTTGTCATCGTATACCTGTGAGAACCAAAGGGCCCCGACTGGAATTTGCATGTTAATACCGACTTTTATGCTGGCCTGTCGGACCACAGAAGAGCACGGGAATGTCACCAAATCTAATGATGTTTGGACGGGAGATGAGACTTCTCATTAGTGTCATTTTGCTTACCTGGCGAGTCAGTGGAGCAAATTAGGCTAATGTTGTCGAGCTGATGGATGAGAGGTTAGAAGTCGCGCATGAAACATCAAGAAACATTTGAAGAAATGTGCAGGTTATCAGCACCAACATATTACGATCACAGGGTGACCAACGAGAATTCAGGGTTGGAACCGCCGTCATGACGAGAATCAATACCCGCCAGGTGGGAGGGTCCCAAAAACTACATCCGATGTTTGACGGCCCCTGTCGCATTAACTCTCAGTGATGTGGTGGTCAGGATTCAAAAAGGCCTAAGACACAATTAGCCGAAAGTGGTCCACGTCAACTTGCTTATTATTGTACATGCCTAAGTGAATCGATCATGGAACAACCAGAAGACTCAGGAGTCACCCGCGACAATATCCTACCAAAAGGGAGGCATTAATATACCGCAGACAGAACCCCAAAGCCCAGAGGACGTTTTGTGTTATTCCGTAAACTGAATTAAACTTGGAGGGAAATCCAAAGTCAGAGACTTTTAAGTAAACTTTTCTAAGTTGAAACGTTGGTCAAGTTTAAAGGTGAGCTTAAGAAACTTTGTTATACTTCCAAGAAGTTTTTTAAAATCCAATTTGCTCATAAGAAAATTAATCTCAGAGCTGCACACGAGTCACTAGTTTGAGCTGCGTTTTCTGATTTAAGAACACACTGCTTCCTAGAGGGGTAGTAGAGGGCGCTGGCGCGTGGCTGCGATGCCGTGGACCAGATCACGGTGATGTGCGCCCGCGTGATCAGTGCTGAGTTTCAGGTGAAACTATCCGCTCCGTTCACAAGTACCCCCTCACCGGCAAAGGAAGTACAGTTGGAGGTGCGCGCCACTGCGTGTACATCATTGATCTCCATATGGAGATCAATGGTGTACATAGAACAAATTCCCTGGTGTACGCGCGTTACACACAAGGAACGGTGCGCGTCAACCAGCGAAATGTACCGCCCATGGGACGTCGTTGCAAGGTAAAAGGGCGCCCTCTTTTGGTAGCGCACGGAGCTCATACCAGCCACTTCACTGCATGCATGCAGGGTGCAGAGCAACCTCGTGCCCCGTGGTTACGATCTTGCAGCGCCATGTTGTTTCCCATCATGCCTTGCGCAATAAGGAACGAGCACGCGCCCCTGGAGTCGAGGCTGGGTGCAGGGTGCAGGCTGCCGAGCTGTTAACGACTTATTTTCACTCCGAACAACTGATTGTAAACGACGTACCTTTATGATTGAAGATTAACCTGTAAGTTACAAGAAAATTTAAATTCACGCAAAAATCGCAAGCCATAATGCTGGAAACAAGACTATCCGAAAACATATTACTTGAGTAAATGATTCCAACCAACGAATCAGTCCGGCACAAAATGGCGGATTTCGATATCGGCGGATAACATTAGTGAATGAAAAAAAATATCCGCATATTATCAAAAGACCATAAAAATTCATTTTTTTAAATTTAAAAATATAATTCTATTCGTATTAAAAAGGTACCAAATGATGAACAGTCCCAGTATTTTGTCATTATGAAGATATCAGTCAAGGAACTTTTGCACTAATTTTCTTAAGCGGATGGATTCTATTTCACGTAGATGTGTTGCAGGGCATCACGAACTGTGTACATTTTTAATGGGCCTGTTCAAAACCTATGACGTGACTGTACACTCTGTACTTGGAGAACCACCTCCTTTCACAAAAACGCAAAAAAGTCATGTTATAAACCTCAATCTTGACTGTCAAGTGCTTACAACTCCTCTGTATTTATTTGTCCAACGGAAGGGGTTGCTGGATGGAGCCTATGGGACTGGCAAAGTTGGTGGGGGTGTGCCCGAAAGTGGGAACCTGCAACGTGAACAACCCCTACCTGTTCAAGCGCAGACAGCTACCGTTGACAGCTGATGGCTCGCTTACTGTGAGTATGGGTTGTTCCTAAATGTAAAAGAAGTAAAGAGCAATCCTATTTTATAATATTTCTTATGTCTATCGGCTCAATTTTGTAAGTTTTCAATACTGTGAAGATTGTATATATATTTTGAAAACAGGTTTACTTCTAAAAGTTCATGTTCACCAATGTTCACGTAAACTTGTGTTTTTCATTTGATTAAAATCTTTGCCGTTTGGTTTTTTGGTCTTTTGTGTGTGTATATTTGTCTAATTAAATACTTTATAACATTTATTTAAGTTATTCATTCTTCTTATTGGTAAGAACTAAGACGTCTGCACTAGTACTAGTAGAAAGCAGGAGGTCGTGGGTTAGAGTCCCACTCAAGTGATTTTTTCCAACATTCACCAGGGAGGTTACACACTGGAGTATACAGTGTTTTATACGTCGGTGAAGGGCAAACCCTAATATTGATTACTATTTATAAGCTTCAAACATCCTGTCTATTATTTTGAACATCCCATTTCCATTCATTCTTAACAACTTACATTTTGACACTGTTTTTTTGGCAACCCAAAACGATAGAGTTTATTAGGCCCCCAAAAATAATTTTGGGTTACCCTACCTACCCTAATTTGACAGCCCCTACCCTAATTTTTTTGTTTTGAAAAATGAGGAAAGAAACCCGAAAACCATCAATTACTACCAATATCCTTAAGGCAAAATAAAAAAAAAAACATGTTTAGCATCCTGCCTCTTTGACAAAAAGGAAGGAGGAGGCCCTTTTTTTTTTTTTTTTTTTCTTTTCAAAATGGCCGCCCGACACATTTTTCAAGACAACGCGGCCGGGCTATTTTTCAAGATGGTTACCAACTTTTTTTCAAAATGGCCGCCACTTGGACTCATTGACTATTTCCACAGCTTTATACACGGTATAAAAGTCTAAAAATATGATTTCTTTCGTCAGAGATCGTTAAAATTTATCAATTTTGTCTTTTAAAAAAAAAAAAAAAAAAAAAAAAAGGAGGCGGCCTCTAAAATGGAAGCGGGCGGGGACGCTAAACATGTTTTTTTTTTTACTTCGCCTAACTACATGCAGAAACCTGCATATGATTGAACACAAAAAAATACCCCCCCCCCCCAAAAAAAATCCCTACCTACCTACCCTATTTTCAAATGCCATGTAATCGGAGCAGAACTATTTGTTGGGAGGCCTTAGAGATTCAAAAATATTCAGTTCTTTTGTCAAAAATTTAAGAGACGATTCAAATTGTTTTTTATTTTTTATTTTACAGCACCTCAAAGGTGTGTCTATTAGTGCACACCGTTACTTGAAAAAGTTTGTTCAAAAAGCAATGCACATATCCATGTACACATATTGCACATTGGGCTATCCGTACTGCATCATCCGTTGAAATTGTATACGCTTTAGTTTAGGTAGTGATTGAAACACGTACATGAAGAATACACATAATTTTGTTTATGTGAAACTGAAACGATGTAGTGGTGTGGTAAAAAGATAAATATTTGTGGTTGGGTTTAACATGTTTAAAGCAAAGCAGCTAATATGTGAATCTGATTGAAACAAACTAGGGCCTGCCTTGATTTTAATTTTCAAATCCTCCATTGATAAAACATCATAGTTAAATTATGTCAATGTTTATTTCATAAAATGTAGGCCTACACTTTGCCAAAACTAATCCAAATTTGATCGAGAGTTCCGTTTTGTACTCGCAAAGCTGCTGCCTGCTCTCTATTTGAGCTTTTAAGTCCGTCAGGTGTGCAGAGAAATACTACACTTGGATTTTCACTTGTTCAGAGTACACATCACGGTACGCAACTGGTAAACGCACAGTGCAATTTACGCACATCGACAACAGACACATGGATTTTCGGCCTTAGTCTTTCATCTTATTGCCCATTTGATTTATTTGAAACATCTGTAATTGTCTAAAAGTTGCATTTATTTTATCCTAACCCTTAGGCACTTTTGCTGGGTGCCTTCTAAAATCTACCTAAACCCAATTTACTGTGAAAGAAATATAGTACAGTCCATTGTTTAGATACGCATCTATAGGACATCTATAATTTAGTCACATGAAAAAAAGATGAATGGCTAGTCTTGAATAAGGAAATACACATGTATACATTATATACATGTATACAGAGTTTGTGATTCCACGCAAAGTGGACATGGTTGAAAGTGGAAAATTTATGAAATCTTCAAAACTACAAGCATTACTACCTCAAGTGTGGTATCAAATTAAAGGGGACACAGGACCTTTCATTTGAGTGGTGTGCCAGGGAGGAATATGGTCAAATGTACTTATGTCTAAAAAATGTTTGGGGGCCTAAAGTAGTAGATTTTAGGAAGAAAAGACAGCTTGTTTTCACATTTATGCAAAATGTAAGTGCTATTGTGAGTTGTTTTGTTTTTAAGACACAGAGAAAGGTTCACATTCTATGCTGAAAGAGTTGTTTTAGTTTGATTTTTAGTTCCGTACTTGTTTTAACTTGTACCAAAGATGTGCGGACAAACTGTAATGCGAGTTACCGTAATGCTAGTTACCGAAACATATTCCCCTAAAGATCTTGTGATTGATTATTTTTTAATCGTTGTTTATGCTAGCATATGACTTACACTCTAATGATGTAGGGGCACTGCAATGATTTTTCCAACAGTGCACAGTATGAGGTATTTATTTTTGCTGTGTCCTTTTTGTGTAACGTAAGTTACCGATAAACATATTGCCAAACAACAGAAATTTATGTTGTTGGCCTTGTTTTTACTTCAAGGGATCGTCTGTGAGAAAAAAATCCACCCTAAATGCTTTGACTTTATAGAATAACAGCACAGAATTGACAGAAGATCCCTCTTATGTATTATGTAACACGAGTTACCGTGCAATTTTCCTGTTGATTTTGATTGACTCAGAGTAATCAGGATTTCAGTGGTCAAAAAAAAAATGGCAAGACCAAGAAAAGCCTGATGTGTTTGTGTGTGTTTCCTTGATAACATCCTGTTTCTCTTTGAACCATGTTGGGAACACGACACGTACATTTCCTAAAAAACGTTTTACTAAAAAGTCTTATCAACGACAGTGTCGAAATATTAAAAAAAAAAATCCAACATTAAGAACTGATTCAAATGCGTTGGGTTCTCATTAACCTTGATGTAAAACTGACAGCCATAACAGTGGAATCTCGATAAGTCAAACCTCAGGGGAATTGGCTCAAATTTTGCGTTAAGCAGAGTTTTGAGTTATCCAATGGATTTTCTATTCAGCAACAATTGACGGGAATAAGTTTTTTACTTTGAGTTAGAAGGTTTTTTGAGTTAACAGGTTTCGAGATTTCACTGTATGTATATCCAATCATTTGTATATCTCAATGTTTTCCAACATGCAGATGGTTATGGAGTTGTCGGACATCAAGTACGACCAGTGCGACCACAGTAAAGGGAAAAACAGAAACAGACATGCAGAGATAGATTCCTTCATCGAGGTAAAGAAGCCAAACAAATAGTCTTCATTCAGGCAGTGATAATAACTTAATATAAGGGGCAAGGCAAAGTAGTTTTGGGTGCCATAAAAAAGTAAAGTAAAGTCTGTCACAAAAAGTAAAGTCTGTCACGGGCCAATGTGGCCCATCAGGCCGGTGTTTATCTTCGGTTTCAGTAACATGAAACGACTGAGAATATTTTTTACTGCACACACATATTTCTGACTTTGATTCTGGAGGTGTGCAAACCCAATGTAAAAGACTGTCAGTTCAGGGGCACTGTACCCATCCTGACAGGTTCCAACAAAATACATTATTGAGGTTTGATGGGTTGGTGGAGGTTAAGGTGGTTAGGGTTAAAGAATGTGTCCTGAATTTACAAAATCTTATATCAGATGTAACAGGGACGTGAAACAAATTTGACCGAAAGTTTATGGATTCAACCGCGTGCATATGATAACCTTTAATAGCCCTGCCAGATGTAACACAATTGTAAAAGTCTGTTGGACCTTGTTGCATTGGGCCATAAACACCAATTGACATACTGCTAGTTCTGAGATAAGCGAATATTTGTTGCATTTGGCAATCACAGAATTTGAGACAGGTTGTCCTGGAGAATTTTGACTTGTTCGATTTTGGCATACCGCAGGGCTCTCACTATAACAAGTGGTGCATGTTGTTGCATTGGGAAGGGTGTCGTGACCAAATCTCCTATAGGATTAAGAATAAAAGCTAACATTCTATTCCCGTTTTATGGGACAGAGATATCAAAAAAACAAAATGGATTTTGGAAAGAATGTTGCATGCTGATGCCACTTTTTTCATCATGCATTATCGCAATGAAGGTCAGTCATTGCGAAAAAGTTTTTAAAAAGACGTAAATCTGGGACTGAGAAACTTTTGTTAGAAAATACTTTGGAAATGCACTTGACTCTCCGTAGACTTTGTACACAACCAAAGAAGTGGCGTCTGGATACTACTACATGTACATTCTTTCCTAGATTAAAAAAAAAAATTTTTTTTTAACGTTTCAGAAGTATAATGACTTAAGCCGGGACGAGCTGGCAGCGGCCGTTATGATTCCTAGCAAGGAACTCTTTGGTCACACCATGCAGGAGAGAGTGCCATGCGTTGGCTGCCGGAGGAGGTGAGAATCCCACAAATCCCATCTGTCAAATTCCATCAAAATGAAGATACTGCCTCATCTGAAAAATGCTAATCCCACAAATCCCATCATCAGATTCTATCGAAATGCAGACACTGACTCATTGGAGAACTGCAGATCCAACAGAACCCATCAATCAAACTCTATACTGCCACATCTGAAAAATGCTGATCCTACAAATCCCATCAATCAAATTTTATCAATGAACAGTGATGAAGATACTGCCACATCTGAAACACTGCTAATCCTACAAATCAAATCAATAAAATTCTGTCAACGTTTGAAAAAAATGCTCATCCCACTGGATCCCATCAATCAAATTCTTTCACATGTATAGATATTTTTCAATTGGTTGGCCCTGTGTCCAAAGTGCATACATGGTAACCCATTGACTGTTCCCTGACTCTTCATCTGAATGAGATAACTGAGACAGCATTCGAAGGAAGGGCCAGAAATCGCTTATCAAAGCAAACACTGAGATTTTGTTAAAGGCATATAGGATCATTTGCATTTTCCCCAAAGTAACCTACCTAATATTTGTCAAAAATCTTACTTGGATTGATGATTGCACTGGTACCAAACACCCAGTGAAATTATTCCGTCTGGCTTTTGGAAGAAAACAAGAAATGTACGTAATTTCCAACGATTAGTCAATTGACTGATCTTTGGAAATAAAGAATGCTATGGACGAAATCGTGTTTCCTGATCGAAAGGTTGTACATGGTTTTCCACTGTTTTCTTTAAAAGTATAATATCCATCCACTGAGCTAAAACTTTGACAGAGTAGGTTTTGAACATTCTTCATTGGATTCTGAGTGATGTTATTATTTGAAACGAACGAAATGCATGAAAAACTAATCATCTGATATGCCTGTAAGGGCCGGACTGGATACCTGCCCTGATACATGTCTTCGAGCACAGGCAATATCGTTTGTTAGCTCATCACCGGCCCATGGTATACTGATGGTTGCAGGTTCGAATCCTACATGGTTCAATTTGCTTGGTCAATCTGTAAAGTCACAATAAGCCATTTGCAAGTTAAATTTGAATAAAATTTGGAACGCTGACTTAATCCAATGGTTTGCGCGTTTTAACTTTGCATTCTCCCGACCAAAGAGACTGTTACTATATCACGTGATTTGGGGCAAGCCTTATGCTAGCAACCCCCAGCTCCGGCATGGTCTGGTTTCTTTGTGCCATTCTCACCCGATGTGAACAATGTATTGATGCTGAACGTCTCACGTAACTATGCAAAAGCTTGCCCCGAATCATGTGATTAGAAACAGTGTCTTTGGTCTGGAAAATTCAAAGTGAAAATGTGCCAAGCATTCTGAGCAAGTCAGTGAACCAGATGTTATTCAAATGTAAATCCCAAAGGGCATAGGTTACTCGCAAATGGCTTATGCCACCCAGTGTGTATTCCACTTATGCGAACAGTGCAAACATTTGCCAAGGTTCGTGTTCAATTCCATTTTAGATCACGGGATCTTTGGGTAAGTGAAACCCTCCTTTGCACTGTGGCCATCTTTTGAGGGTTTTGCTTTTGTGTTATACAGGGATGCACATGTATAGAACATGTGTGCATCAATGAATTAACACATAACAAAACACACTTCAAGATGGTTGCCGAATGCAATCTATTTATACAGCTTTTGCCTGTACTTTATGCAGTTAATTGCATTTTGAGGCATTTTGTGACTCGTTGCAGCATGGAGCAGATGTTTACGCGACTGCGGGACCAGCACCATGTGAGGGCGCTAGAGCCCCTGGTCATCACGGGCCACTCGGAGCTGTCTCTGGTGACGGAGCTGCTGTACGATCCCAGAAAAATGTACAGTCTCTTCCATTTACACGGGTAAGCCAAAATCGCATGGCTTTGGAAGGAACTCACGGAAACCAAGTTTTCTCCCACATTTTGTCGAGACACATTTAAATTTTAGCAAAATTTCACCATTTAATTTGAAAGTTATGTTAGGAGTAAGCACCGTCGATATCAGAATTTTCAATAATCGATATAAATCCAATATTGAGAATATTTGATATATCGATTATCCCATGTAAAAGTTTAAGACCATAAAGTTGACACTTTGATAAATAAAAAAAAAAAAAAACCCAACAAATCTTAAGTCCCAATTTCCCTCGGCTTTCTCGGGAGCATATTGCTCAAACTTTTTACAACAAATCTCAGCACTGACAGTTTGTCCAGAATTGGCGTTTTTGTTTTTTTATAGTTTTACATTTGGCGAGACCACGAATTCCAGCGAACGCAGAGTACAAAGCAACTCCACTTGGCATTTCGCGATGTTTATATTTTTCAAAAGTTGCCGCCGATTTATTTAATTACACAGCAAACGATAAACACAAAGTAAAAGCACAAGCGGGAAATTTATTTTGACGATAATCTGACGTATTTTCGATATGATTTCTCAATATCAAAAAATTTCGATATTTCGATATGATAAAAAAATTGCTATCGGTGATATCGATATCAAAAAAATATCGAATAATCAAGTAATATAGATATTGACGGTGCTTAGTTTTGAGTCTTGGGGTCTGAATGTGAATAACAATTTGTGTGGTTTTCCCTCAGGTCCAAACTGGATGATCTAGTCAACACGCTACACAAGAACAAGAAGAATCGTCGCTGCTTGCTGCATTCACTAGATAATCACAAGACCAAACAGATATCGTAAGTATATACATCTGATATCGAAGACATCGCATTCGGCAATGCAGGAGAATTATTGGAATTTCATGGAAGTTTTATTCTGCAATTTAAAAGTTTTGGAAGCTCATGTCAAATTTGGTTTCTTAATTACACATTTTTGAAAGGGATGAGTGACTTTAAAGTGGGAATAGATATTATAAATGTTGCCCTAACTTCCCCAAATCTTCCAAAATTCTTTTGCCATATTTTTGGTTGATTCAGGATTCTACAGCCGAGCTACTGTTGACTGAAATGTGCCTCAGCCCTGCACTCAATCTATCAAACCCCAATGGCATGTTTTGTTGGAATCTGTCAGGATGTGTACAGTACCCTAAACTGACAGTCTTTTACATTGGGTTGGCACACCTCCAGAAACTAAGTCAGAAATATGTGTGTGCAGTTTCCCATATGGTGTTTGAATTGGCCAGGATGGGTATGGTTCCTAGTAAATCATGCTAGGGGGTTAGGGTTAATATCCATAATTTCCTGGTAGGCAGGAAAATGCCATTGCTTTCCAGCACAGCATTATATTATTGTAAATTCAGGAAGCTTCCTGGTCAGCAAAATACAGGGAGCAAAGGGTTTAGTGCTGTTTTACAGTGTATTTTTTCTTCTTCTTTAATATGTTTGCAGGACATGGATTGACATCTGGGAAGTTATGGAGAAGCCTTGCAGGGAAGAGGTCACCTTCGTTCTGGCATCCAGTCTACATAGCACAACAGAGGCATACCTGAGAAAACACAGGTGAAAATATCTGCATTTCTCATTGCACAAGCTGTATGCCCAGAAATGTGCCCAAAATAAGGCATACTCTGGACATTCTATTTTTGATTTTAAAGGGAATATACAACATTTTGCAAACATCAAAAAACAAAAGTACTACTTTAGTTTGAAATACCTTGCTGGACTGTTAGTGAATGACAGTCTAAAGCATCCTGTAAAATCATGGCACCTCGTAAACTGATATTTTCAAGAAAAGTGGTATTTTGTATCAATTTCCAACGCTGGTCGGCTGACTAGCGTTTTGAAAAAAAAACTGGCTTTTTTCAAATACTGCCCTAGAATTACCATATTTAGTTAGTCTGAATTTTGTTTGCAATCGATTACACTCCAACGAACGGGTACAAGCCAGCTAGACTGGTTCCCTGACCTTACAATTCCTGACATCTTTAAATACTCCGTGTCATCTTAAGTGGGGTCAGGGAACCAGACTACAAGAACATGATTGGCTTTCTCGGTTTTTCCAGCATCTACAAACACAAAACTTCCAACAAGTCAGTGTAACAATATTTGCTGTAAAAAACTAACACCCCCCCCAATCCATTCATTTCTGAAAATTACAGCAAAAGCAAATGTTGTATATTCCCTTTAAATTTGATAGACCAATGTTTTCATTCCTTCAGATTAAGACAAATTCCGATTTCATTTAATCTGTCTGTTTAATGATTCTGTTATGCAGGTTTTGTGGGGAGTGCAAGACGAAGGTCATGCGAGCCTACAGTATCCTGGTAGGGGAGGTGCAGCCCTGCGAGGAGAAGGGCTACTGTAGCGCCCTCTATGAGGGAATACGGTGCTGTCCGCGAGACAAGCACATCCACCTGCTGTGTGAGACGGACTTCATCGGGCGGCTGATAGCCAGGGCAGAGCCAGAGCTCAACGGCATGTAAGTTGCAAGTGTTGCAATTTGGTTAAAGGGAATATACAACATTAGCAAACATTGAAAAACAAAACTACCAATTTTTTACGAAATACCTTACTAGGATGTTGGTAAATGACAGTCTAAAGCATCCTGTAAAATTATGGCACCTGGTGTGAAGTCATTTTCAAGAAAAGTGGTATTTTGTATAAATTTCCAACGGTGGTCGGCCGACCACCGTTGGAAAAACCTAATTATTTTTTAACTACTGCTCCAAATTTATCATTTTTTTAGTCCAAATTTTGTTTGCTATTGGTTACATGTTCATGAAGGGTGCAGCCCAGTTAGAATGGTTCCATTACCTTACAATTTTCCGGCATCTATAAATTGATTCATTTCATCTTTAGTGGAGTCAGGGAGCCAGACTACTTGAACATTTTTGTTTGTCTTGGTTTTTCCAGCATTTTCGAACACAAAACTTCAAACATGTCAGTGTAACAATATTTGATCTGTTATACTAACCCCTCAAAATAGTTTATTTCTGAAAATTACAGCAAAAGGCAATGATGTACATTCCCTTTAAGTATAGACAAATCCGGTGGCAGCCATTTTCTGCAGTGGATCAGGCTCAAGCGAGTTGCCCTCGGGTAGTATGCACGTACTCCGGGCTCCTTCCACCAATAGGAATACCAAAATGCGCATGCGCCTTGTCTTTAAGAACGCATGCAGCATTCGCGTGAGCTTGAGCGTGACGCCACCGCAGTAAAAGCTTCTAATTCTGGTTGCCGGATTCCGCTATAGGTTAAGTGTAACAATGCCATCAGAAAAGTCTAAACAAGTCATTGTCCACGGTTTCTTGTGACCGGACTTGTGATTTTATTTGTTGTTGATTTTTTATGACTTTTGATTGGCCCTTCGATCGATTCAATTACAACTTTGCCCAGAAGTAAAAAATTCAAAATCACTTCTAAAGGAACACTTAGGGGCACCATTCCCATCATGCACTCATGCTCATGTAGGTGGGAGGTTTTTTTTGCAGGATTGAGGATGGTTACTAGCCAAAAGGGCCTAGGGGGTAAGGGTTAATTAATGGCCAAGTTCGGCCAAGGACCATTAGTCGACTAGTTGTTGATTTGTGACGTACCTTATGCTTGCGCAGTAATAGCAACGTGGGAACGTCTCTAGTCAAACGCTGGTCAAAATGTCATCGCAAAACTTCTGGATCCTGGCTCCCTGCTGTACGTTATGAATGCGCACGGCTATGGTTACCAGCGGTGCAACCAGCCCCAGTAGGCTGGTTCCAAATAGTCGACTTGCGTAGTCAACCACCGTTGACTAGACAAAGTTCAGGCAAACTTTAGTCGAACTATGGTTAACCAATGATCAACAATAGTTCTTGCACGAATTTGCCCAATGCTGTCCCAGAAATTCTTCAGGAAGCTTCTAGTGGTAAACTGACCCACAAGGATTTCCTGTGTCATGGAACTTCTTAAATCGTGCTTCTTTTTTTTTTTTTGCAATTCAAGACGGAGAGAAAGGCATGCCAAGACCATCGATATTGCTCAGGAGGAAGTGTTAACGTGTTTAGGGATCCACATCTTTGAGCGGCTGCACAAGATATGGCAGAGCCTGCGCGCTGAGGAGCAGACATTCCTGCTGCTGTTTCATGCCGGGGTTCAAAAACTGGAGAAAGCACTTGAGGTGAGTTCTAATTAGACTGGATTCTGACGTGACGCACGAAATTGTCGTAGTTGCTATGCACCTTGACAATGCTGCCTTTCCTGATGCCTGATTGGACAAATTATTGTCTTGACAATGAGCTCGCATCTGAGAGTAATCTAGTTTGTTACAAGTTACAGATTTCATGGAAAATTACCTTACTCCCTGCGTGAATCTTTAAGTTTCAAATAAATTTACCTTATCTCCTGACCAATGAAGTTACTGGATCGGTTCATAAATATGCATGAAATTTACATTATGTTGTTTCTGCTCGTGAATATGCAGATGGCCCTGGAGGCCAAACGGTATGTCCAAGCTGGTCTGCGAGGGGATCACAGAGGCCGACTGGCTCAAACACTGACCAATGAAGTGACTGGATTGGGTCATAAATATGCATGTAAAGTTAACAATCTGTTGTTTCTGCTCATGAATATGCAGATGGCCCTGGAGGCCAAACAGGGTATGTCCAACCTGGAGCAAGTCTGCAAGGAGACCATGGAGGCGGACCGGGTTAAACACTGACCAATGAAGTAACTAGATTAGTTCATAAAAATTCATGAACTGAAAAATTATTTGGTTTCTGCTCATGAATATTCAGATGGCTCTGGAGGCCAAACAGGGTATGTCCAAGCTGGAGCAAGTTTGCGAGGAGATCACGGAGGCCGACCGGCTCAAGCAGCAGAAACGGGACCAGAAGAAACAACGGCGCAAGGCCCGCAAGAAGAACAAGAACACGGCCGAGGGCGGGGAGGCAGAAGAGGAGGGGCGGGGTCATCTTGAGGAGCCAGGGGAGGGGAAAGTGGAGCACAAGTGCCAGCAGGAAGGCAGCGGAGAAGGAAAATGCTTGGTAAGTTTATTTTGCTGTCTGATAGAACTGAGGGGCCAGTGTCAAGGATGTGTTTTTGCAACTCCAAACAGGGTTTTCCCCTAAGTAATACATTCGTTAGATTACTAATAGTCATGTGCTATTAAAATTCACAAGCAGAATTTTACCCCAATTTGTGACCACAGGCACAGATTTTCTAAAAGTGGCATGATTGTCGTAACTAAATTCAATACATATGATTGTTTTTTGTTGAAATTGTGGTGTCTGCTGTTGGTACGTTAACGAAAAGTTTTCAAAAGAGTACAGTTTTGTTATCTGGCCACACATTAAAAATTGAAATTCTGAGAGTGCTAGCAACATTCAAAGTACATAAAGTGCAATTTGTCAAATGTGTTTCTTGTAAAATAACCAGGTTTTTGGGTTTTTTTTAAGAAGTAACTTTTAATGAGATATCAAAAATAAAGCTCAGTAATCTTTCGCATTCATTCATCTTTGGAGTTGTTCTTTCAATCAAATGATCCCATTCGAATTCTCCCAATGTTATTTTTGCCATTGTTTACAGTGTGACAACGACGAGAATGACAACACAGACGTACCTTGCAAGGCGTGCGACGCCCACTACAAGACGTCGCCCGCGCCCGACGACCCGCGGCACACATTACGCAACGACCCAGACTACTCCAGCGGGATTGACTGCGGGGAGGACTGCGGCCACAGCTCACGGGAGAGCTCAGAGGTGGCGTGCTCTGAGGGCATGTGCAACCACGACGTGGGGTCAATACAGGGTAAGATGGGTGCTTGTGGATCAGGGGCCAATTTCACTGCGCTGCTAAGCACAAAAATTTGCTTAGCACAAAAAAAGTCTGGCTTTTAAAAGCAGGTTACCAGCCAAAACTCCATGTGATATGTATTGTGATTGGTATTCAGCTGTTGTTTGCTTAGCATGAAAATCACATGGAGTTTCTGTTTTATCATTTAGGGAAAACTCAGGAGTTTTGGGGGGAAAAAACACCAAAAATCAGGGAAACTTAAGGAATCTTGTGAGGAAGGGTGGCTATAGACAAATTCGGCGGCAACCATTCTCTGTGGTGGCACAAGGCTTGCGCGAGTCGCGCTCAGGTAGTACGCATAGGATAACCAATACCAATAGGAATACCAAAAACGTGCGCACGCCTCGTCTTTAAGAACGCATGTAGCATGTGCGTGATTCTGGTCGCCGGATTCCCCTATAAGGGGAGAAGGGAGGCCATCGCTTGTCTACAAGTTGTCTGTGTATTATCAGTATTTTAATAGTTGCTTTGCTGCAACCACCTCTTGACTTCCTAGTAACGTTGTTAAAGTGAAAATATTTCTCATGCAATTTTTTTGAAATTTCTCAGGGAAAGATCAGGGAAAAACTCAGGGAATTTTGTGTTCATAAAGTGCTGGAGACCCTGTTTAACAGATTTGTTGGAACAAAAGAGTCGCCACACTCTGCACTTTGTATTATATTGTATTACATGTATGCTACACATGAATTCACATTGCAATGGACTACTCTTCAAATGGACACGCCTTACTCAAAATTTGAAACTTCTTTTATCCTAACGTTGCCAAATCCCCCAAAATCCTCTTTGCATAGTGGAGGATTTTGCAGGATTGAGGCTATGTGGAAAAGGCTACATGTAGGTGATTGTTGGGTTTTAAATTCAAAAATCTTCTATTCTTCTTATTTTTTTTGGTGCAATGATCTGTTGAAGTGATCATTTTTTTTTATTGGATGAAATGTTGCATCAGAGAGAATAAAATTCAAATATTGATTATACAGTGTGTATAAGATAGGTCGATCAAAGACAAAACCCAATGTTTGAACTTAGAAATTAGGTACTGCTAAACCACAAACAATTACAAATTTATTAAACTTTTATTTTTCTGGATGCCTCACTAAAAAAAAAAAAGCAAGGGCATAGAAACTTTTCAATGTAAAAAGTCCTTGTGGAGGTAAAAAAAAAAGGTAAAGGAAACGAACCTGTGTTCACAGGAATGGAGTGTTCATTTCTCTTTTTTTAGTGTTTGGGCCAGACTCGTATGCTGCTGTGGGGGGGATCGCCACACCTCCTCCACAACAAGTCTGTTACCTTCCCAGCATTGAATAATGCTGGTACCCATTTAACACCTGGGTTGAAAGGAGCAATTGAGGTAAAGCGCCTTACTCAAGGGCACAACACGCATGGCCACGGCGGGGCTCGAACCCACTACCTCACGATCATGAATCCTGTGCTCTACCGCTATTCCACACGTGCCCACAAGCTGTGGAAGTCCAGCTTGCAAAAGGACACATAAAGAACTGATTTAAGAGAATAAATGTTTTTGTTGAAGGTGAAGATTTGCAAGAAGACTCTTGCGGTCAGGATCTGTCGCAAGAACAAGATGAGATCTGCGTGGACAGTACAGTGTGTCATTCCACGTCGGACAGCACGGTGTGTCCTTGCGATCATCGATCGTCTTCCCAGCATTCCAAGTGTGACGGAGGCAAACCGCTGGACTGTGTGCACTGCGACGAGGAACAAGAGGTGAGGAGAGCGGTAACCAAAACAAAGAAGGCCAGGCTAGACAGGGCTTCAGTAACAACAAAAATCTGAAAATTTAAAAGCACCCTCAATAATGGTTGGAAATTCTGCAGCTGTAAATTCACCCCAAGATTTTAATTTATTAATTTCTTATTCAACATCAACTTCTATTTTCTTCTATTATTTCTATTCTGCAACCACATGCCCTCTTTAAGTTAAGATCAGATTGATTTCACCAAGATTTGATGGGTCATATAAGCCCTAGGCTTCAATTTGACCCACAATTTCTAGCAAAATTCAAGCAAGAACAAGTCTGCAGAATTTTCCAGATTGTCGGAAGAATTCTGCAGACTTTTTGCATAATTCTGGAGAACTGCGACATTCTTGGTCCATAGGTCTATCATTACTCAACCTTAACTTAAAGGTAATAATTATATACCACAGTTGCTTCTCCTGTAATTGTCAGAAATGGATGGATTTGGGGTTGGTTATTTTATAGCAAATTTTGTTACACTGACCTGTTTAAAGTTTTGTTGTTCTTGTATGCTGGGAAAGACAAGAAAAAAATGTTGTTCTTGTAGTCTAGTTCCCTGACCCTACTTCAGACAAAACAGAGCAATTTATCGACTTAGGTGAATTGCCAGGTCAGGGAACCAGACTAGCTGGCTTGCACCCGTTCATGGATGTGTAACCAATTGCAAACAAAATGTGGACTAACTAACTTTGGTAAATTGGGGGCAGTATTTAAAAAAGAAAGTCTGTTTTTTCCAACGATGTACAGCCGACCATCGTTGGAAATGTTCGCAAAAATATTTCTTGAATATGAAAGCATTTCCTAATAAAATAGTAGTTTTATATTTTGATGTTTGCAAATGTTATATATTACCTTTAAACAAATCTCTAAGTGGTTATTATACTAGGTCTTCATCCAGAATTTATGTACCCTTGGCCAACAACTATGAGGTCTTCATACTTACCCTGTCAACTAAGCAGATGGTTTTGAAATTAGCAATAGCAAAGGGCTTTTTTTTAATTGTCGCAAATTAGCCAACCGTTTTCTTTACATTTTACCTTTCTGTTGGCCATCATTAAGCATTTTGTGTACAATCATATGGAATGCTACCGAAATGGTCACAATTTTGGTCTCACGTTTTGCGTATCTGTGTTTGTATTCCGTATGATCCTTCAAGAACTTTGACGCTCTTTCGGTTGTGCAGGTTAAGGCTTAAATCAAAAGTGCCTTTCGAACCCAATCAAGTAAATGTTACTTTTCCCACGTAACTTAAAAAAAAGTTATCATTGTATTTCAGTCCCAGGTAACAGAAGAAGTCGACCAGGTCAAGAAAATCTGCCAGTGTTCGACAGAAGCTCAGCTCCGACGTGCAGTGGGCTGGACGTCCACGCTGCTGGACATGTTAGAGGTAGGGCTTGAAATCTAGGACACCATTTCTGTCTCCGTACAACCAACTAAGCGATTCCCTCCTACAGAGCAATTGCTGAAAAGCTCAAAACCTAGGACACCATTCTTGAACATGTAATAATCAAATTGTGGTCAATTCACCCTTTCCCCCAGGGTTCGTGTTCGTCGGACGACGAGCCAGTCATATCGCCCGAGGAGATCAGACGGTTCCGCGACAGCCACAAGTCCCTAGACCGGCAGCGCAAGAAGCTCCGCGCCAAGATCCGGCACCGCTACAACAAGAAATTTGCCCTGCGGCAGGGCGCCACCAACCAGGGCGATGGCTTCACGGTCCAAATCCAGAGCCTTGTGCAGGAGATCGGCCGCGTCACCCTGGAGTAGACGAGTATTATTTATTGCTATCAACGCCGTTATTTAAAACAAACACAAAGAAACGGGCATTGTGTTTTTTTGGACCTTTCCTTGTTAGCAGAGCTGTAGTCAAGTCAATTTCTAGTGAAAACACAAGCCAGGTCACAAGAAGAAAGAGGTAGAAAACGACAGAGGAATGCCCTTTTTCATAGTCATTTGAATAGCTTGTCTCCATCGCTTTCTACTAAATAACAAGTGATTGACTTAAAGGTAGAGTAGATCATTTGCATCTATCCCAAAAGTAACTGACCAAAATATTGTTAAAAAGCTGATTTGGTTTAAGGATAGTAATGGCACTAAACTCCCTGTGAAATTATTCTTTCTGACATGCTGTCATTTTGAAGAAAACAACAAAAGAAAATCGTTCCCAAAGATGTGTCAAGTGACACATTTTTGGAAATCTCCATTGGCAGTTGGTTTTTAATTGGTCGGATCCATGAATTGGGTGCAAGTGCGTTGACACGACCCACACGCGCGCCGTTGCTATTATGAGCGAGAATCGTCGGTTCGGTGTGTGACATCACATGTACCGGTAGCAACAATTGGCTGAATGAAAATCATGTCCCAAATGCTGATTTCAGGATTGTGTCATGTGACTCAGCAACTTTTGAATTGAAATCTAGATCCAGAATATATATTTTTTTTCTTAAAATATACAGCATTCACAGAGCTAACGCTTCATCAGGTTAGTTGTTAAACCTGCAACTTTAGATTTTGAGCACTTGTGTTACTTCAAAACGAAAAAAAATGCACCAATGACAAGTGGTCTACCCTACCTTTAAAGATAGACTTTTGAAGGACTTGTGATGGACTTGTGATTGACTTGTGATAAACGTGTGGGGACTTTACTACAGCTCTGCCTGTCACCCTTGCAGGACTGAATTGCATTAGGAACATTTATCTTTATAGCCTCCACAGCATCTGCCTGTATTTGTTTTCACACCAGTCACATCATTTCGCCACCCTCAAATTGATTTGGGCTCATGTCAAATTTTGCAGTGCCAGTTGGCCTCCTTGTTAATCTCCCTAACGGAGAATTCAAGAGGAATTTCTACCAAGTACCAAGTTTTCAGCGACCATGCAACACATCAGTAAAATTTTGTCACGTGTGTATAATTTTGTAGCAATTCCATGCATTGGGTTTTATCATGACTGACTTGATAGAGGAAATTTATCCCTTATGACACTTTTTGGAATGCAAAAATAAAAGATAAACATTTTTTTTCAAGGGGGTTGCAAATGAAACAAAACATCTTTCAGGACTAGGAATGTTATTTGACGATAATGTGAAATAGACACACCCAGAGAGAAAAAAAACCAAGTAATCTAGGACCTGCTGAATACCATATACGTTAATTTGACTGCATTCAACCAGTCATGCTTCAACCAGGCAAACATCCTCTTGCATTGACATTTTATTGAATTTATTCAATATTTATTTTTTTCCGCATTTTTTTCTAACCCAATCATGAGTATATTATGTTTATATTTCTGAGAGGGTTCAAAGTAAGGTCCAATTTTGTCAGTATTGTTAAATAATTAACATATTCTACAGTCCGTGTTACTCGGATCTCACACAATTTTGGAATGGTCAAAAAGAAAAAAGTATTACTGTTAAATCCAGGTTTTCAGGCATTTTTCTTTTCACTCATGGGTTGGCTGACAGTGTACAATCTGTCATTTACATCAAATCCAAGCCATTTCAAACCATTGGTACATGAAATGGGCTCCATGCACGAACAAGAGAGGGCGCTTTTTGACCAATTTTGAGAGTTTAGTGGACTGGATATATCGTGTGCGCGTACTGGTTCACGCCTGTGTAGTGCAAAGTACGTACGACTAGTTTTGTTGTGAATGTGCACAATGCCATAGCATCTTCGCATGAGCATCAGGCATTGTAGGCAATGCATTCGAATGTCTCTCCCAGTGGTCTCCCCCAACTCTCCCTTTCTTACCGTTGAGGGGGTACTTGTGCACGGAGCCCATATGGAATAGTCATCAAAATCTTTCTGTTTGCTTGAATTCAAGGGATTCACAATACACGGTCCTGCCAATTTTTTTTTTACTCAAAAGTTGCTTTTCAACTTATTCATCTTCCTGCAAGTTTACCATTTGAGCATTGGGTTTGCTCTGGAATCTACCCGTAATTTCATCATACAGGTTTATCATTTCTCCTGCATTGTATGCATGTAGTATCACACCCCAACAACCATTGGAGTTAAATCATGCATATATCCAAACAACCTTTTAACTACTTTAGTGCAAAATGAATACAGTTTGGCAGTGTCTTCAAACGTGTGTTGACTTTTTTTCATGATGCACTGTGGGTAAAGCAGGATTTAGCACCTTCAATGACAATTTTTTTGTATTGCATATTTTTGTCTTGAAATCATTGATTTGGACTTTTTTATATGATTTTTAAAAGAATTCCCCACAGTTGTGAGCTACCACTCTGCAAAGTCTGTGTTACTTTTGGGGCTCCTGTTTTTGGGGGGTTTTTCCTCTTCTTGTCTCCAATTAATACATCTTACTTTTTCAAAGATTGCTGCTGGTTCAGGAATTCATTTTTCCCCAGTAATATTTTCCCAAGGTCTTATAGTGTGGCTTTGAAACTTGAAAAAAAGTGCTCGGGTAAACAAAATTGTTGTTTAAAAAAAATGCAAAAATAAAAGTCACAATAATGTAATTAAATTTAAAAAAAGAAGAAAATAATTGACAAATTTAACAAATGGCATTAAATATCATAATTATTCATATAAAGGACCACTGGATGTGCTTATTTAGTGACTGCGTCTTTGCTGAAATTGGATATATATGGATTATAAGAGCAGTCTTGAGTATGTGGCGCCGTGGAATTAAAAACGAGCAATACGTCAAAGTGACCTTAAAGGTGTAAGTGTGCATTCTTGCTGCATCTTGTTTTGGGATACTAGTAGGAATACATTCAAACTATTTGTTGTTACAGTTTGTTCAAATTTAATGACCAAAATGAAAAATATTTCAACATTTCATTGTGGTTTTTCCAGTGTCATGGTACATTATCTCAATTTCATATTCATAAATACCTAAGACAGTTTACCCATTCCTATTGGTCAAGAGCCCGTCACGTGCTTTTTTTTTTACATGGTTGATAAAACACCAACAGGGTTTTAACGCTTTATTGCTGCACCACTTCGCTCCGATCTCCATAAAAGGATATTTTAAGCACTACGCGCGCGAGGCACATACCATAGATATGGCAAGAGGGGTGTTTTCACGATTTCACAAAACATGAGGTAAAATTGTTGAACAAAATCGTTGAAAAATTGTGAATTTTTGACTTGTTTTGACTTTCGACTGAAAGGTATTTATGAATGGGAATAAATATGAGCTTGGCTGGTATTAAACAAGTCCATTTAAAACTGACTAGGGGCCTGGTACGTCACAGATAAAGGTCCTCGCCGATCCTTGTCCAGGTCCCTAGCCGTGTTTAAACCGATTTGTTTTTCCGGCCAAGTAGAGAGCACAGAATAGACCCGCAGGACATTTTAGGAGAGCCCCATACATTGGTTACCCTCACTGTGTATGGGCGGTGTTTGCTGGTCCTAGGGCCGGCCTTTAGTCATCTTTGTGCCTGACTGACTGACCCCCCCCCCCCCCCCCCCCGACTCCCCGACTGACTGACTCACACCCGAGTCCCACCTTAGGCCAAAACTTATAACGGAGCTGCCAGTGATTGGGCTAATCCATGATTGGGCTAATCCATGATTGGCCTAACTGTAGGCCACATGCATGAAAAGACTTCCGGCGAGTAGCCATATAACAAGGTCCTTAACTTTACAAATTAAATTACCTTGTTAAAACAAGGACTGGACGTTGTATTAACAGTGCTCTTCTTATCAGGGTTCGACTGTTGATTGAATGCAATTTGTTCACTCTGGGACCAGCTTTAAAGGGCTTGCCTTGTATTGTTCAATACATTTATTCAGTGACAAAGTACTTTTATAGCGCCCTCAGTTGTCAAAAAATGACATGGACCTGTTAATAAAGGAAATGTGTTAAGTCAAAAAAATAACAAAAGGGTTCAGACCATGGAGATTTTTAAAAATTTTATTTCTCCATGTTAACTTCAGACTTTCTTGAGAGGAACATGATTGAGTGTAAAATTTCCAGGAAGATTCAAGTAGTATTAACAGAAACGGGGCTAGGAGACCACTTAAGCATTCTATGTACAGCTTTTGCAAAAGTTTACACGTTCCATTGTATTTTTCATACATTAAAATGTCAAATTCAACAATGAATCGAGCTACACAATATAATGTAGGCCTATTTGACTACGGATTTGCAAACCACGACATTCGGGTTTTCACTTTTCAGCGTCTGTGAAGGAGACTAGCCAAAAGGTCAAGTGAACCGCGGTTGCGTAAGAAAGTAGTTCCCATGCGCCTTGTTGAGTCGGAGGATTCGTTATGAAGCAGACCTTTCACTCAAATGAAATATTGTGGTTTTATATTAATTTCAAAAACCCTAATATAAACTAAGGGAAATGTGGTAAGAGATGGAGAAACTGTTGAAACGTGTTGACATTTCCTCACGAGTAGCTTCCTGATTGATTTTGGTGTTGCACTGCAAATTGTACCCATCCGTTTTACGCACGTTGACCCAATGCGCGCACATGCGCATTATATGTGTTTCTAATATTAAGCATAAAGTTCAAGAAAAAGATTTCATCTTTCGCATCATATCCTTTTTATATCACAGAAAAATATTTTTTTTACCCATTTGAAGAACTTTATTTGTTGATATCCCACATTATCCCGACATGTCTAAGCTGCAACAAGTGCAAGGTGACGGAATTTTTCAGCTTTTTTTTTTTTTTTTAAGAATTGACGTTTAAGCATTCATAAATCATTGTTATAAAAAAGTGGTGTACAATTCCACACGTTTTTCTATGTAACTTAAAAGTGAAATTAATATCGGATACAAGAGTCACCATTCTGACATTTCCCGATAATGCGGAGCTGGAAATGAGACTAATCTAATCGATAAACTAAAAGGGTCCTTTTAAAGTCGCGTAGCATTTTAACATGGGACACCCATGACAACCGGAACTAGGTTCATCGTTGGCGGGTCACCGGGTGTGGTTATCGATTCTATCTCGTAGCCGTTTTCAAATTTATACGAAAAACAGCTGAATTTTTAGCGTTTTATTCTCGCAAATTGAGTCACGTACAAGCCATGGAGGACACCGAGAGAGAGGAACTTGTATACACCGCCAAGCTGGCCGAGCAGGCCGAGCGATATGACGGTAAGCCTGAATGAAAAGGGGACGTGAATTCGGGGAGAAAATGATTTCTTGCTTGGCTACTGTGTATTTTCAATGTGTTGTGTGTGAGAAGGCTCTGATAATTTCTGTCACCAGGCAGAGTTTAATACCTCATGTCATGATGCATGCTTTGCATGGGTCGTGTCGTCATCATGCTGGACCTAAGCCAGGACGTTTTTGGCGGCCGTTATTTCGTCATGTCGCCCTAGCCCTACCGAAAGGTCGTGGGCTACTCGTACTGCTATTCACTTGTTGACAAAAATGTGATAAAAAATATTTAACTAAGACTGTTGAGTGTTGAAGCATGGTTGAAGGATAGGTCCATGGGCCGGGCCATGGCATGCATGGCCTGGGGGACATGCGTGTGAACATAGTGAGCATGGTGGGAAACTTGTCTATTTTTTTATGGGTAGCATAGCAAGATAACATGACAATGACAATTGGGCGATCGTGAAGTGTAGGGCCCCTGTTGTGTTTTGATTAGCTCTACTGAGTGGAGCGTTGAATTACGGGTACCCCTCCATACAAACGCTCCACCGATTTGCCATACTTTGGTAGCACCATACACGGTCGTCATGACGGTATGCATTTTGTGCATGCCCTCGCGAGGACAAGGCCCAAAAAAACTGATAAAGAAAATACAAATGAGGAAGACAGTAACCCTGGATAGATCCACACATTCATGACATTCCATAAGACCCCTCAAATTGTTTCAAACAACCGGTAATTTTGAAAAAAGAACAAAATAGTCTGAACTTACCGCTCACAATTAAATGTGTCTGCCGAGTTGCACAGTCTATTTCACTGACATGACTGATGCATAATTCATTGCGCGCCTGTGTGACGTCACTATTGAAGAAAAACAAGTCGCGCTTAATCAATGACTGTTTCATGTACTGATATGTGCCCCGCGCCAAAAACCCACAGTCAGACGGCGCGGGGCACATATGACTACATGAAACAGCTACTGAGTAAGCGCAACTTGTTTTTCTTCAAAAGTGACGTCACATACGCGCGCAATGAATTATGCATCAGTCATGTCAGTGAAATAGACTGTGCAACTCGGCAGACACATTTAATTGTGAGCGGTAAGTTCAGACTATTTTGTTCTTTTTTCAAAATTACCGGTTGTTTGAAACAATTTGAGGGGTCTTATGGAATGTCATGAATGTGTGGATCTATCCAGGGCTACTGTCTTCCTCATTTGTATTTTCTTTATCAGTTTTTTTGGGCCTTGTCCTCGCGAGGGCATGCACAAAATGCATACCGTCATGACGACCGTGTAAGTGCTACCAAAGTATGGCAAATCGGTGGAGCGTTTGTATGGAGGGGTAACCGTAATTCAACGCTCCACTCAGTAGAGCTATGTTTTGATCAAATTAGAGTCAAAAATGTTTTTTTATTGCTCAAAAATCACCTTTACAATCAAAAGCAGGCTTTTCTCAATTCTAATGACACCCTTTTTGCAATTACGAACAGATTCTTCTTGGTGTAGAAATCACGATTTTCCTGCGCGGTTGGTGCCTTTCAATTCAATTAAAATGTAAAATGTGAATAAACTAGATTAGAATAAGAACCCTCATTTTGCCAGGAGCCTGCTGAACCCAACAACATCCAACAGCAATTGGAGTGTGACTTTGACGACCACTGCAAGTGACAACCAGCAACTAAAACAAAAGATCTTTTGTTCTTCGCATCTGTTGTTCAATGAGGCCTGAAACCTCCGCAACAACGTCTGATATGCAAATTCTATGCGACCCCGCGCGCCAGCCAATCGGAGTCGCCTTTAAAAATTGTGACTTCATTTCGAGCCAAAAAAAAAGGCCTAAGCTGATTGGTCAATTTGCTGCCATGATTTTGTAATTACAACAAGTTACAAAGACCATGGAGCTATAAGCAAAGACCCAATAGAAAACGCCCGCTGAATAGTCAGAATCTGGAGGTCAAGACACCGTCTTGTTTTGCATAATTAATCGCTGAATCTGCACGCATATCATAGACACTTGCTGTGCAAGGGGCTTAGATATGAACAGGGTCCGACAGTAATGGCCCTCTTTTGGATTTGGTTGGGCTCAGTAGTTTCCGGGATAAGAATTAAAAGTCATCCAAAAAATACAACTGGATGTGATTACCTTAAGTTCAGAACACTCAGCAAGATCCTTCAAAATCTGCCAGGTTTCTATGTAAGATTTTGTTGGAATCAGGAAAGTTCATATCAAAATGATTCACTCATGAATATTTACATGTATAGTTATCACTGCTATTACAGTTATTCATAAGATGGAATTTGCATTGGGGTGATGCAAATTCAATATTTGGTTTTGCTCTTCACCTGAAGTTCACTGACGTATAAAAGGTAGGCTATTAACCCTAACCTCAACTAAAGCTAAAAAATACTACTGAGTAGTAACCTGTAGTATGCATTTCCTTCCATAGTCCATACAAGTCACAAGTGTGCACAACACATGCAGTATTCTGTGGTATTTGGTACTTGACCCCAAAGAGCCCTTACTTAGTTAGTCATTTATTTGGCCCAATGTGCTGCCGAATATAAATGGTAATACAGTAGTCTGAACAATTTTGGGCTCTTGACGCTGTGTTGAGAGTGCCCTGAACCAGCCTAACCTTCCTCAAGTCCTCCTAGCTGTTTTGGAGGATTGAGGCTGAATTCAACATACAATTCTGGAGGATTAAGAAGGATTGAGGGCACATGGACATTCAGTACTGGTTGATTTTGGAGGATTGAGGATGAACGGTCTTTGAAGCAAAGGAGGGTTGAGGCTGAGTGCATTTTGAGAGGCAGGGCTGTGAGGTAGTGGGTATCCTTCATTTGAGCATAAGTGCAAACTTTTGGAGGATTGAAGATGGTTCCCATCAAAAAGGGCCTAGGGGGTCAGGGTTAGTTGGTATGGGAAATTGGGAATGAATGCAAAGTTTAGCCTTGAAACCAAATCTTAAATATTATGAACAAGTTGATAGAGCCAAACCAAGGCCTTTAAATGTCCAAATATATTTGAAATAGCATATTTTTCTGAGGCCATTCATTGAAGTTTTTGTCATGAAGTATGTAAGCACTGCTTATACAGGTCACTTGGGTACAGTGCATGAAACATGAACTGCTAAACTTGAACCCTGTACTTTTTTTGTGATAAACCAATATATTGGGGGGGGGGGGGGACAGGGACAAGACGGAGCTACCATGGGTTAATGTGGAGCTCAGAAATATTGGCGTTTTACTACACTAAATAAATTGACAAGCACACAATGCCCGTAGCAGTTGGGTACTTACTATTCATCATGTTCATGCTATTTGTCCCCTCCATGGAAGGAATGTCATTTTGGTGTACCCTCGTTGAACTCTGAACTGGATCGTGCATATCTGTCACGCTCCCACAGGACATGTACACAATTCACTTACAAAAAAAAAAGTGCCTGGGGTCAATTTTGCTGAACACAAATTCACCACCTTTATGCACTCTGAAGGGCAGACTATTGTGTACAAGAAAAAAATGTGCGGTTGATGTGATTGATAATGGAATGTAAATGCACCCTAATCTTTCTCAATGTGGCATACATTCTGCACATGCATATTTTCTTGCACAAGTACAGGTACATGTATTCACGTTCTTGCAGGGATGTACTGAATGTTAAAGCCCTTTGAAAACTTGCCAGATTCCTTAAAAAAAGTTCTCGTGTTGACGTGTTTGATGGCACAGGTTTATTGAATTACATTTGTAACTTAAGACCAACATGTACATTATTGTGTACAGTTGCGTAATGGCATTTGTTTCTTTTATTTTACCATACACATGTACATGACATCACACAGTTACTATTGCAAACAAATGCAAAATTATTGACTTGAAAGGCTGCATTCTGGATAAGAATATAATAGACACAGCATTTTAAAGTTTATCTACATGAACATGTACATGTATGTACAATTTATACCCTTAAATACCAAGTGATTCAATTGAGTTTTTTGGGAGAATAAGCATAGATTACGTAATTTTTCCAGTCATTAATTTGTAAGCTGTGGTGCCCTACATGTGGGGAGGGTGGAATTCCAACACGTTTAGTAGATTTTTAATGGGTATTCTATTGAGTACCCGTTGAACTTCGGCCTCTGGTGGATTGAGATGGATTCGGGCATTTTACAGAGAAGTTTCTCAATCCACAAAAAGCCAGTCCTGCATAATTATACCAGTGGAAAGTCCTAAAAGTGCTTAAAACATAATTTGTGACGCCACGCCCATGTCAAGCTATGGTGACTGTAATCTGCGTTTCCTACTAAAGTAAAGGCTACACAGTAACAGCTGCCTACATGTAGCATAAGCCACACAAAATGTTCATTGGTTACGTGTAGTAGAAACAGTTTCTGTTATGAATGCACCCAACAATAGATTCGTTGAATCTGAAAGAGAAGTTGTTACTCAAATCAGGCAAGTCCAGTTTTCAATCCACACTATCAGTACATGTATCCATTTCCTCTCCTTCAACCCTCAGTTTGATAACACATTTCCTTTTTGAGTGACAACCAACCAACCATGCGTTTCCAACAGTAATTGCCATTCTTTGTAATTGCCATTCTTTGTTATGCTCTTGAACTCCTGTTTCACAAAACAGGAAAAAAAACCAAAAAAAATTCCCTTTTCTTTCGGTTTTGCCAGATTTCCCAGTATAATGAATGCGACTGCCGCTCTCGGTGACTTCAATCTCTTCATTTGTTGGCAGTTGTTTCCTCTTTTGTTTTTTAAAAAAGCAAGTCACCCAAATAGAGCTATTTTGTGGTTTTGGTTGGTATTTTAGTGAAGGTTTTGTGTGTGTCTGGAGATTCTTTTTGCATGAGTTGCTCAGCCATGCATTCACACAGGTACGGTCTAGTATTGGGGTTTTGTGGTAAAAAAAAATTAAAAATTGACACGCTTTCCACATGACAAAAGGCATGATGCCCTGTGGAAATACTGCTTGGTTGAATCATGCTCAAATTCTCCAGTGGGATTCCTATTTCCTTTGTCTATTCAGCCCTTCCCCACTACGCACAATTGTTGACCCCTCTAACTTCTAGAAGGTTCTACACTCAGTTCAATCACACTAGCTTCACAAGCTTATCATACAAGCCAAATTTTTCATTTCTTCCCAACTACAACTGTAAAAAAAAAATCCACATATATAACACACACGTCTAGATTTCCCTTGTGGTAGTGTGCTTATTTTAAAAAAAATGGGGGGGGGGGTTCCAAACTTAGTCCTTGTCAGAATGACTTGGCTATGGCTAGAAATAACACACAGGTCTATGGGAAGTGGCTGCAGCTGCTTCCATAGAAGCGTGTGTAATTTCAGCCATAGCCTTAATTTCTGATAATATATTTCCACATTTCAAATGTCATTTTCAGTATTTTTCCATTGTTAAAAAAACACAAAGAATAAGGCTGGCCAAAGCTGTGATCACAAGTACATGTACTAGAGGGATGATTTCACATGAAGCACATTGAATATGGCACGGTGCTCTTACTGGAACACTTTCACAGATTTGTCGTACTCAGAAATGTGGAATTGACTGAAACTACCGCTTTATGGTAGTACTTTATTTTATGTGATCAGACATCAAAAATAAATTGTGGAAGTGACTCAAACTACCTTTTTATTGTAGTTCTTAATTTTTTCATGATTAATGAACCAGTTAATGATACGGGATCCATATTGTTGAACTACTGAATTTACAAACATGTAACTGCTTTATTGTGTGTATGTACCTGTTTAAATATGTACCTTTCCAGTGGGTGACTGCTCTATGTTCCGACACCCCTATGTTCCGACAACCTAGATTGTATTACTCCCGGTTAGGGTTAGGGTTAGCAATAGGAATATGTGCAGTCGGAACATAGGGGTGTCGGAACATAGAGGTGTAACCTTCCAGTGTGTTGTATCGTGTACATTTTATGCCCATGTACATGTATGCAGTTGACAAACCTTGGTGATTGTTTTTCAAGGAAATGTTGTGTGTAATGATTGGCCAAGCCACAAACAGTGAATGGCAGTGTCATTTCCTAGTAGTGACCATCCACGAGGATGTGGTTGTCGTGTGAGAACCACTGGGTTTGAGTCCTGCACATACGCTGTACATGTACTGTATTCAGTCAAATAGATTTGCTTGTTGTTTTCTTGGGCCCATGTCTATAGGTGGAGCACTGATTTCTCTTAAAATCTGCTGACATGGCTGAAGGAAAAAGGGCCATAAGCTAAAAAGGCCATGCACTGTTGATTGCATGTGACTTGTGCTTGGCTGAATTTACTTTGCATTTAAATATTTCTAATTTGGTCCCCCCCCCCCCCCTCTGAACATATCTGAGCAGGTAAAAGAGAGACTCTCCTAAATCTAATGGCATTAATACATGTACTGTTGGAGCGCCGTGGTCCAGTGGTTTCTGTACATGGGTTCAAACCCTGACAGGGAATGTGGTTCTTGTGTTCTTGGGCAAGACACTTTAGGCCAAAAAAAAAAATATTCGGTCTCTGGTCAGACCAAAGTTCCAGAATTGACGCGGCGACGCGGCTTTTTTTCTTCTTTTTTTCTTCAAGCTTGGATTGTACAGACAAGGTGGGGTACTATTTTGCTTTTTTGGTGTCCTCATGTACATTGGTGTCCTTCATAATTTGCTTTGGTGCTCTCCATCATTTGCCAGGGTGCAATTTCCCATTCCTTGGTGCTCTTTGGTAAAAAAAAATTGAGGAGGTGCGGCAATAGAGGGCGCTGTTGGAGCTACCGCGGAACATTTTGGAAAAAAAGAAAGATTGACGCGCATGATTAAAATCGATGCGCGCGCTGACCAGAGACCGACTTATTTATTTTTTTTGGCCTTACCACAAATGACCTATCGCCGTTTGAGAGTTGGCCACGCCCCTTAGACAACCCTATGCAATTTTTGTACGCTGAGTTTTGTTTGTCTCATACATGTATGTTGCGTGTTCCACGTTCATTTGTATATCGTGTAATTGGACAATATTTCACAAGCTGCGTTGACGCGATTCTAACGCGATTCTACTGCGATAGGTCAATTGACTCTCTCCACCCAGGAGTATAAATGGGTACCAGATTGCGCTGATCTCGGCTGCAAAAAAGTGGTCTCATGGACTGATGAACAGGGGTAAAAACGGTGAAGCGCTTTGAGATCAAGTTTGGGTGGAAAACGCTATATATTAAGCGACACACATTATTATTGTTGATCTGTAGAGTACAGTGCATGTTAATTCATGATCTTGTGTGCTCCCACATGTATAGCAGTGCATTGCATTATGCAAACTTCAGATTCAAGCACTTGTCACCCAATGTACATTCCTTACTATGTGCAGTTCACTTAATTTTGGGGAATATAAAAAAATAACATCTCTCCTATGGTACGTCCATATTTCAGGTGAAAGCATAAGTAACTTTTTGCAACAAATTGGGTATAGCATACTGGGACCAGATTGTCCTGTTTCATGTAATTTCAGTGTATTGTCAATGTAACAGATGCGGAAGAATTTCGTGGACCATCCATCTTCAGCGTATATACTTGTGCACATGTGTGTGTGGCTGTGCATTATGCATGCGGTGGGATGGGAGGTGTACAGTTTCTTCCCACTCGTTGGCGAGTTCACGTGTTTATGCTGTCTGCGCTTTTAATGAATTTACCATCCACTGAATGGCATGCGGACTCCGGTCGGGTGGAGTGTGTATACATGTATTTAGTCTGAAGGTTTTTTTGTTTTTAAATACCTTCATTTCAACTCATTCCAAATGAGCTTACAGTTACAAGGAGTTTTCTGAGAGGGTTTCCCAACATCCATCTTCCACTTATGTAACTGTGGCTTGCATGTTTGATTGAACTGTAATACCTGACCTGATGCTAGTTTTCGTTTGACTGAATATTCATATGGCTGAATTCACTTTGCATTTAAATATTTCTAAGTTACTTCCCCCCCCCTTCTCGAACATATCTGAATAGTTAGAAAGAGAGACTTGCCTATCTAATGGCATTAACCCTAACCCCTTGGGTATTTTTACTAGAAAGTATCCTGAATCTAGCAACTGATGCTAGTTTTCGTTTGACTGAATATGCACAATTTGAATTCGGGGTGGGGGAGGGGGGCGCGGGTCACGCTGTCTCGCATGAGTATTTGTCAGAGAAAAAAAAAGGCGAGAATTCCAAGAAGGTGCAATTGTAATTGGACATCAGCAACCCATCTGACCTATCCTGCTTCTCCGCTAGACATCTTGATGCCTAATTCCCAAATTGCCAATTAAAAGATTCTCTGGGTTCACTTTTTTTTAATTGTGCTGCAAGGGAATCTTGTTTGGTGAACAAGGTCATTTTGCACCTGAGACACATCGGACATGGATGTCGCGATGTGTGTTCGGCCCTACTCATTCTATTCCCATTGGCCCATCAGAAAAGGAGGTTTCCACTTTCAGATAATTAGCATAACTAATTTGGGTTGAGAACGTAGAGTCTAGAATTTGAAACTCGGCAGGTGCATTTCGAAGGTTGGTGGCTACTTTGAAGCATGGCAGGTGTCATGTGAAGTGTGGCAGGCTGCCATGCTCATTTGAAATTGTACATTCGCTCTTTTCACACTTCTGCCATGGGCATGCAGAGTCTCGATCTGGCAACTTTACACAATAAATATAGCCGGTTCAGTGATTCCTGTGTCGGGGTTCAGATCACTGAACCGGCTATTGTTATTGTGTAAAGTTGCCAGATCGAGGCTTTGCGTGCCCAATGGCAGAGTGTGAAAAGAGCAAATAGTGAAGAACACTGCTACCCTTGCTGTACCAAAAGCCTCCAATTCACTAGAGTATTTGCCAAAAGTGACTCCCCAATGTTTTTTGCACAACCCTTCAATATCTGCAACAGTACATTGCAAGAAAGATACATGTTGCTTGGCCATGACATACGGTAGCTCTTCGGTAAGCAATATGCCGTAGAAGTGTTGACGTCGCGCTGGGTCATCTCCAATTAGTGATGAGCCCAAAGAACGTCTTGTTCGCCATTTTTTACCATACAATTTGCAATGGCGATTTAGATGATAATTTTTTAGTTGAAATTTTTCAGACATTAAGAATAAATAAGAGTGGAAAATGGATGACAAATTTACAAAAAGGTGGGCACAGTGTTTGCTCGCACCCCCCGCCCTGCAAACAGGACGCTGGTCAGGGCTGACATCATTTGATCTGTCATTGGATAGATTTGTGTGACCTGTGACGTAGAACGCGTCACACAAACTAGCTTCCGGTGCCCATCATGCGTATCGCGCGCTAGCTGCATGCGAAGGACAATCTGTACTTCCTTCACAAGATTCTGTGAAGCTCATCAGCCCTTACCAGCGCCCTGTTTGCAGGGCGGGGGGTACGAGCAAAGGCACAGTGTGTATCGCTGCATTAGGCCATGTGTGTTTGGACACATCACCCCGGGCAACACGTGACCTCGGCCACGTATGACGTAACCACTTCTATGGCGTATAAACAGTGCAACCAAAGTAAAACAAGTCTGCTGTGTGATCCCCCAAGTCCTCCTAATCCCTCCAAACTAGCATCTTTAAAAAAGTGGGCTAGCAGATAAGCCTAACAATACACTCCAGTTGGAGCCCTATAATCACAAGGCTGAATAGTCGAAGCATCTTCCAATTCACTTCTACTGGAGTGCATTGGCATGTCAACATGACATTCACTTAACTACACTAAAAGAGCAAGAGTGAAACACGCACACACAGCCCTAGTTACTAGAATTCTGCTTCCTTTTTTTCCTCCAGACATGGTGAAGGCGATCAGCCAGGTGGTCAAGAAGGGTGGTGTCCTGACAGGGGAGGAGAGGAACCTGCTTTCGGTGGCCTACAAGAACGTGATAGGTGCCCGGCGGTCGGCCTGGCGGACAATCAGCTCGGAGGAGCAGAAATATACCGATAAGAGCGAAACTAAGAAGGCCAAGATGGCTAGGGACTATCGCAGTGAGGTAGGAACTGTTTCAAAATTCAATACTTTATTTTTTTATTTAAAAAATATTCAAACATTAAGTGAGAGATGCAAAACACAAAAGAAGGTATGATGACATCATCACCTGAAGGGCGCCTTCTAGTAGCACGTCAAAGAAAGTCGGATGTTTTCAAATTTGCAATTTTTTTTGTCAAAAATTTTACCAAATTGCCATATATTTTTTTTTTTTTGGACAAACACAAATTTCTTTGCAAAGTTTCAAAATTATGGCGGTGTCAAATTGGAAGTTGGTTGAGGGAGAATTTGAACTGATCACTTTTTCTTTACTCTTTGTTAACGTCGACCATTGACTGCATGTTGTCAACAAATTTAATGCTTAAACTGAGAAAGAAGTCTTAATTTCATCATTTGTGTTTTTTTTTTTAAGATTCTATTCATAACTGAATTGAAACAACGTACAAACAAAATATTGTCACGCCTGATTACCCTGTAACAAAAACAAATGCTAACTGTGTAGTTTTATTGATATTAGGCAATTGATTTACTGACAATCTAAATTACCGATATTGACTGAACCTACTTGAGCCCGGAAAAATTTCCATATACGAAGTTCACTCAACACCCTGTGTACAAACCCTATGAGATTGGACTGAAAAATTCTAAGGGTTTTCTAAGAAAATGCTTGTATTTTCTCACTGCTCAAATTGACTTTGATGACATGAAATTGCTATCTGGGGGCTTGTTAGTCAATATAGAGGAAAATTAGTGAACTTCTTATATGGAAATCTTTCCCTTTAGCCCTAACCCCCAGGCCCTTTTTATAGGAACCATCCTCAATCCTCCAAACTCCTCCAAAATTTTGCACTTAAATGTTCAATTGAAGGACACCCACTTCCTCAATCCTCCGACAGTCTTGCCTCTCAAAAGACATTCATCCTCAATCCTCCAAAATCCTCCTCTTTATCAAACACCATTCATCCTCAATCCTCCAAAATCAACCGATACTGAATGTCCATGTGCCCTCAATCCTCCACAATCCTCCAAAATTGTATGTTGCATTCATCCTCAATCCTCCAAAATCCTCCAAAACCGCCCGGAGGACTTTAGGATACCAAGGAGGGTTAGGGTTAATTTTTACGTTCACGACCCCTGCCATCGGTGATAGAAATGCTACCACTTTGTTGAATTGACTTTGTTGAAGTCGACCCTCATTTGCCTCCCTGATTTTCACCTTCACAGATCGAAGCAGAGCTAACCGACACCTGCCAAGAGATTCTGAAGGTATTAGAGGAACACCTCATCAAGAATGCCACAGAGAGCGAAGCTAAAGTCTTCTACCGTAAAATGTAAGGCTTCCTTAGTATGTGGCTTCTCCAAAGCCTTTCAATAATTTTCCCTCAGTTTTCTGGGGTTTTTTACGTTACTATTCTGTCCTAAAAATCCCATGTATACACTATTTGAGTTGGCTCATCTTTAGTCCCAACGTACCTGAATCCATCAAAATCCACTCCCCTGTTTTGAAGGATTTCGGCCGATTCAGGATACCTCCACATTGAAAAAGTTTGGGGATTTTGATGGATTCAGGACAGTAAGCCTCGCGGTACTGCAGGATTTTGATGGATTCAGGATACTTCCATATTGAGCAGTTGGGGAACTTTGATGGATTCAGGATTTAAACAGCTTAACTCCTTGGCTATATGTTTGGTGTGTACGAGGTATATGCACTACACTGGTGGATTATGATGGACTCACTGGTGGATTCTGATGGACTCAGGACACCAACATTTTTTTGCATGACAAAATTGGTGAGTTTTGGCGGATTCAGGATACTTTCTAGTAAAAGTGCTCAAGGGGTTAGGGTTAGAATTGTCAATTGTTAGAGTGGCATGATAGACACAGTGCTAGTGTTTTCCAAAGACTGAACATTTTGCAGAGTACCACATTAGACAAAAGTCCTGGGGCCGATTTCACGAAGCTCGTCTTATCTTGCGACTCATCTGAGGACATAAGACGAGTTCCCATCCTAAGATCGATCTTAGCTAAGCTCTGTACCCTGCTTTGTTTATGTTCAGCCATGCATAATTGCGGCCTAGATACGTCATACACGTTGTTTCTGGACATATCATCCGCATGCACTGCCACAATTTATTACAAGTGGTGGTTTCAGGATTTTGAAGGGTTGAGGCAGCAGTCGCCCCTCCATTGAACAAATTCCAGAAATAACAGATGATTTTGGAGGTTAGAAGCTGTATGCGATTTGGACATGTTGGCATGTGGAGGATTTTGAAGGACTGAGGATGGGTCCTAGCCAAAAAAGGGCCCAGGCGGTTAGGGTTGACCAAATAACGGAACAATTGTTGCAGCAGTGGGAGTAACTGCTGCCTTTTTTCATGTTTGATGTGACAGGAAGGGTGATTACTACCGCTACTTGGCCGAGTTCTGTGTGGACGACAAGAGAGACGAGCAGGCTCAGAACAGTCTCCAAGCCTACAAAGACGCCATGGAGGCTGCCGAAACGCTGAAACCCACACATCCAATCAAACTCGGTCTAGCCTTAAATTTTTCCGTATTCTACTACGAGATCATGAGCAATCCGGTAAGAATAAAAAGCCTTTTTTTGTTTGTGGTGTTTAGTTTTTCTGGGCAACTTTTGGAAAAGCCTTTTTTGGGGGGGGGGGGGTTCTAATGTAAATAAGATTAAATTCAGATAATAAAAAAAAAGATACATCAGATTATCGAAACAGATATTTCGACAATCACTTTTCGTTGTATTCATGAATTAACTGTCCTGTTGTCCGAACAGTCACAGGCAGTCAAAAATTCAATCCTGCTCCCCTGCTATGCCCTTATACACAGGCTATTCACCAACAGTTAGATCTCGTTTTCTTTTAACAATCTGACTAGTCAAATACCATCAACAGGCAAAAAGCAGGTAACTGGTAGGTACAGCTGGCTTTATTATCAATCTTCAGTCCAAGCATAGCTTTCACAGCCCGTCAATCCTGCTTTGTTTAAACAGCAAACAGGGAGGTCTTAAACATTAAAACAGTCACTTGTTTGATTTTTACTTCTGGAATGGCTTTGTTGAATTCGCCAACCAAAGAGGGAAGGTTGCACATTGAAAATACCTCGGCTTCTTAATATCCTGTAGGTATAGGATGGAATTATATTTGCATGTGATTAGAACCAGCCAGCCGGATTCCGCATGCTCGGTGGTTGAGTGTTTAAAACTTATGCAGGGGGTCATGGGTTCAAGTCCCCAAGCAAGAATGCAATCTCATTTTTTTTAAAAAGCTCTCTGACAGCACTGAGTTTGCAGTGCTTATAACAACTGCGTGTGTGAAGGGCAAAACTGGGTATTCAAACCTACCACTTGTCCTAACCCTCCTGCTATTTAAACAGTCACAGACAGTCAAAATTCACTTGCACTTCTTCTGCTATACTTTGAACAAAGGCTAGTCACCAGCAGTCAGATCATATGTCAAGCAAGCGCTGTGACTAGTCAAACTGGGTCAACACACAAAGCTGGCAAGTTGTCACAGCTGTTTTATCACTCACCCGGAGTCGAAGCATAGCTGTATCGAGTTACTTAAACAATCCCAGCCAGTCCATCCTGCTTTATGTTGAGCCCAGAACCCATTGTGTCTCTTTTGCTGATAGATCATTTTCTGGATACGGCCCCAGAATCTGGAACAAACTTCCAGAATACATTAGAGATACCACCTCACTGCATACATTCAAGACACTCCTGAAAGCTCACCTGTTTCAGGAGGTGTGCCATTTTTCTTCTTTTTGGTGCCCCATCAGCGCCTTAGAGCAAACTTTTTCAATTTGGCGCTTCATAAATTTCTTTTGATTGATTGATTGATTGATTGATATGTAGGCTTGGAATTGTTAACTGTTGAATACAAAACAGTCACTTGATTTATTTTGACTGAAAGACTACTAGGCACAGAATGTATGTTTGCATAGGAGGGTTAATGAATGGTTTTTTTTTTTTTGTCCCATAAAAAATTCCACTCTGGTAGGAGGATGCATGCACACTGGCCAAAGAGACATTCGACAATGCGTTAGCAGGCCTGGAAACCGTGGAGGAAGACAACTACAAAGACTCCACGCTCATTCTCCAGTTGCTAAGAGACAACCTCACCCTCTGGACATCAGAGACTGAAAGCGAGGGTAAATTCTGATTTGTGTGTGTGTCTCAGTGACCTCTTCAAAACCCTGCAAATTTGCCATCACACTTTTGCCCACAGTGTTAGCTCGGTCCCTGCAAAATCATTGAAAAGGAATCCTTGTTCAAGTATGCTGTGCCCTTCAAAAATCCTTGTGCACATGTGCAAGACTCATCAATTGTGTTTTCTTGACAACCTCTCACACTACGCACTTTAACTTGACACTTCAGAGACATTCGCATGGGAAAATCTGAAGGGAATACCCCCCCCCTCATCCCTCCTCCCCCTTTAATCCTCTCCCCCCCCCCCCCCCCCCCCCCCAAAAAAAAAATGAAATGAAAGATGGCTCCTCAAGAAAGAAATTCCAATACCTGGTAATTTTTAATTTTGATGTCTGAAGTTGTTATGGGTGAAATTTCATACATAAGCAGTGTTTCGCCAGTGTTTATAAATTTTTACCATGACTTTATAAGCAGACAAATTAAAAACTTGTTCAACATCAACAAAATTAGCTGGCCTTACGTTGCGGTCTGAAGACCTTTCTCAAAGGCAAATGAGGGCGGTACATAAACAAACATGTAGGAGACACTCAAGCTTGCAAGGGTGGAAGAAAAACACGAAAGGGGGATTAACCCTTACCCCATAGGCCCTTTTCGCTGGGAACCATCCTCAATCCTCCAAAATCCTCCAATTTTTTGCACTTATGTTCAAATGAAGGATACCCAGTGCCTCAATCCTTCAAAATCGTCAGACAGTCCTGCCTCTCAAAATGCATTCATCCTCATTCCTCCAAAATCCTCCTCTTCTTCAAACACCATTCACCTTCAATCCTCCAAAATTATCATGTGCTAAAACACCATTCATCCTCAATCCTCCAAAATCCTCCTCTTCAAACACCATTCACCTTCAATCCTCCAAAATTCTCATGTGCTAAAACACCATTCATCCTCAATCCTCCAAAATCCTCCTCTTCTTCAAACACCATTCATCCTCAATCCTCCAAAATCCTCATGTGCTTCAACACCATTCATCCTCAATCCTCCAAAATCATCCTCTTCTTCAAACACCATTCACCTTCAATCCTCCACAATTCTCATGTGCTTCAACGACGCCATTCTTCCTCAATCCTCCAAAATCCTCATGTTTCTCAAACACAATTCATCCTCAATCCTCCAAAACCGCCAGGAGGATTTTGGAGGATCGAGGAGGGTTAGGGTTAAACAGGGAATGGACCAAGGGAGTGTGGTAGGTGGTGACGATCAAAGGGGTGAGGGGATGGGGCAGGGTAGGAACGGGGGGAGTGTGGTGGTGGGTGAGGATCGGGGGGGGGGGGGGGGGGGGGGGGAGCTTGAGAAGGGGGGGATTATGCTGGGGGAAGGAACACATGAGTGTGGCAGTGCAAGAAGTTTGACAATTCAGTTTTCATTTTCCGTCAAAAAATGCACCGAACAGATAATAAAAGGTAATGGATGGGCGTTGTGTTTGATAGACTTCTTTGTTGTATATTTTCTGTTTCTCTCTCACAGACCCAAAAGTAGAAGACATTGAGGATGCACAGCAAGTTTCCTAAAGTAGACTTCTCATATGGATTAATGATGAGACTAATTTAGTGTGAGTAGCTACCTGGAAGATTTGATAACTCAATCTTATCTAGTTTCCAGTGCTATTTTTTTTTTCTCGGAATGTAATGAGAAAACTGAGAAAACTTGAGAAAACTGCAGAGCAAATAGGTAAAGAAAGTTTGACGTACTTGAAAGCCACAAAGGATCATTTGCAATTACTGAAGGAGTGCCTATTGATTTAATAACAGAACCCTTGTTCAACGTGAAGATAATACTGGTTTCAAATACCCTGAGAAATTATTCAGCATTGAAGGCGGTTTCAAAAAAGGTACCCGCTGGCACACTTTCTATTTTTACTTAAGCAACGGAATCCAGTTACAAAACCCCAAAAATTGTGCATATACGTTTTCTCTATTTTTCTCAAAATGTATCATACCCACCTATAGCTATTGTATATCCCCACTTAAGATTTTGAGAAATTTTGTTGCTTCAAACAAAACAAAGGGCAAAAAAAAGCAAATGATCTTTATGTATGTTTAAACTGCACTTGAAAGTTTTGTTTAACATGTACAACATTAACTTGGATGCCAATCTTTCGGCTTTGTGTTAGGCCTGGGTGAGAAGTGGATTTTTCTACTTGAGTACTCGCAAAGAAATTACTAAGAGTAGTTAAATCGAATTCACATAAAGGCAGAAAAATGACATAGGTAATTATGACGGGAAGTAACTATAAGCAAATAGCATGCAAGTCACATCACATTTTTCAGCACTGAGATACATCCTTGCTGTGTGACGTTTTGAGTCATTGATTTGAAATTTATTTTATGGACGAATGGAATCCTCGGGAGAGAGAGGCGGAGGGAGTGATTCCCTGTTTGCTCGGACGTACTAAGCCATGAACCCTAAACCGTAAATTGCTACCCGCGAGTACCGGCTACCTATTCGTGCCAGGATGAGTACTCCAGTAGATGAAAAACCACAAGTAAGGCCCCCCAAAAAAGTCTCCGGTTTCTGGTATGCGCGCGCGTCGCCGTAGCCATGCACGTCGGCAAAATGAAAAAGTTTTTTTTTTCAATGAAAGATGATGTCTCAAAACCGCCAAACTCACTGGTTTGACTGGAATCGTGCTGCTGCACAATTTTAACGTGATTTTAGATTGGGTTATGGTCGAGAATAAGCTTTATGTGGCCTCTCTGGACTCCCATATATTTGCACTAAGTTTAGTCGGGCACCATTTGCAGTCATCAGCCGACATTTGAAGCCAAAAAATCAGGTTAAAAAAAAAAAAAAAGCAGCGTTGCCGCAGCATTTTTTTTTGGCAAGCTCCATACCAGAAACCTGAGACTTTTTTTGGGCCTAAAACGACGAGTAGCATAAACTAATTTTTGTGTGTTCTTTTTATTCTTTTCTTACACAGAGGCAGAATTTACTGGGCTGTACAGGGCACCTTCCCAAATTTAACCAGACATTCCCAGAGCTTTGTTTCAAGGAATTATCAGTAAAGCACTGTGGAGTTACGACCAACCCAACAAGGGGTGCCCACCTTACAAACAACCCTAAAAATGAGTCTTCTGCACTCTAGAGTGTTAATATTTACACCTGCATCGCAGTCACTGGTCCCTAACCATTGCCAACGTCGCTCTGCATTGATGGGATACAACAAGAATTTAAAAAAAAAAGGTTTTGGGAGCATTTGTTGGGATGGGGGGAGGGGGGTGTAAGTAATGGAAAATATGTAGTTATGTATGTTCATTAAATAAGAATTACAAAAACAACGGCACCCAGTGTTCTCACAAAATGCCTTTCAAAGGGTTTGTAGTTTGTATTTTTATTTACGTACGCAGGGAATAAAAAACAGCCACTTTTTGGCATTATTTATGTTTTAAACTACCAGGTCAATCCACAACCTGCCCTTATATAACGGCATGGTTTTATCAGGTGGTGGGCAAATGTAATCATGGAAACAGGTACGTTCTATGTTTTTTACTTGGTTTTAATCAGGTGCATATCCTGTTTTTGCCCATTGCATGTTTTGCAGTTCACTGTAGACCAGCACATAACTTTAAGTTGTTTGGGTACAAACACAGACTGACGGGCCTGTGGTGGACCCTTCGATTGCGAACAATCTGTAATTAATTGTTGCGTAATTGAAAGACCAAGTTTGCATATGGCTTGTGGACCGTTTCATTAATGCTTCACTATATAAAACCACCTCAGATAGACATGCCAATCAAGAACAAGTACAACATTCTCATTTCAGTCCTGATGATTTGAAAATCACTGGCGTTTGGAAAAAGGCACACCTGGACTTTCTAGGTGTGTGATTTTTCTAGGCGTGTGATTCTTTGATCCAAGCTGGGACTGAACAGTGTGGTATATTTTTAAAAATAATATTCATTTTGGTTTACAGTAAAGCCATTTTCTCCTTACCGATTTTCACAAATTATGCAGTATAATTATGCCGCAAAGGTATGCCGAGGTGTGCGGTAGATGGATTCAGATGTGCGATTATTCGCACTCCTTGGGAAGCTTTTAGGCGTGTGATGGTGTTAAAGTGCGATCGCACGCCTCAAATCAGAAGGACTACATTTTGAAGGTTTGTGTACCCAATTCTCTTGGATATACTTATTTTGTTGATTGGTTCATATTGTAATCGTGACATGACACATTCCCCTGATTTCTGTGATCAAGCAACCAAACGAATACTTCCGCAAGTTCCTGTCTAATTATGGATAAAAAAAAAATCCCTGTTCCTTTTGTGAGAACACTGCGCCAGCGTGTGTGGAGTAGGCCTTTGTGTTTCCCTGCCGATTACATAAATAACCTTTTTTATTTCTGTTTAACGGCAGCTGTAATATGGTGCCTAGTGTTGACGTAAGTGTGGTAAACCTATGATTTATTATTTTGATAAAATGTGGCAAGTATATTATGAATCTTTTTTTTTTTTTGAGTGATGTAATTAGTTGGTAGTGTTTTTTATTACCGTTTGTTTCTTCCTCGTTTTGTTTTGGGGTTTTTTTTTTCTTCAGGAAGGGCATTTTGCTGGAGGGAAGATATTGTGATAATTTTTTTTAAATAATTGCACTCGTGTATTAGGATAGAATATAGTCTTCTCTGTTTTTCCTTTTTAATTAATTTTTTATTACAACAGTGTTTTGCAAATACAATGGCGTTTCTTGGCATTTCTTTTCCAATTTTGATCTTGACTTCTCTACAGTCTTAAGCATTGCTTCTGGTATCACAAAAAAAGAAAATGCTGCAAGATTCTTCCCTAGCTCGTAAATCAAATAACGGTGTTCTTGAAAGGGTTGAATATCAGGCTGCTTTCCCAATGCATCGTAAACCAATGCCAAATTATACATACATGTAGTTTGTTGCGTTGTATTCCAACTAGCTGGGTGTTCTCGCTTGCAAGTTGCAACAACAACAACACAAACTGCTTGTCAAATATGTGCCAGCCAGTCATAGAGCTATATTAATTACTAGATCGCTAACTCCTCATTCTTGCGTGCGGAGACTGTTTGAAGCCGTCCTGGGTGCAGACATTTTGAATTCACGTGCGTGTTTGCAGAACACAATGAAATTCGATGGATTGAATTTTAAAAGTGTACTCTAGACAACGTGCAAGTAGAACATAAGCAAACAAAGCGCGTCATGACGGTTTAAAAAAAACACATCACTTTTAATCATCTGCAACGAATACGCGTTGCGCTGTTTAGGAAGAGCAAAATGAAACGCTCATTTGCTGATTGTGCATTCTTATTTTGGGCGTATCGGCTTCGGTAACGCACCTGTATAGAATACAAACGCAGATATGCAAATAGCCGTACAAAAGCCGTACACAATTTTGAGTTTCCCATAGGTTTGTGCATAAACATGGATGCGCCCAGCAGGCATCACTTTGTACACGAGTCAGCGCTCTAGTAATTGAATATAGCTTAGAGATGCAGCCATTTCACACCATTTCATATTCAAACTACACATAAACCAGCTATTCTTTATAACATCCATTACGATTTACAGATTTCTACAACGAGTCTGATTACAATACACATACTTTTTTTCTTAAATGCAAAGGTACTCAGGAGGAAGACGCAGCAAACAGAGCATTCTTAGAATTTACCTTACATGTATGTGCACATGTGGAAGAACATGCTTTTTCTATGCCATGCTCGTAACATGCCTGATGTCTTCACAAGTCATCTATTGCATTTATTCATAAGAGAACAAACGTACAGTTTAAAGATACATTGTACAATGTACATGACTAAAATGTTCACGTAGCCAGTCTATACTCTCGTAACATGAAGACAAGCGTACTTTGCAGTGGTTCTGTAGACTCCTGGCTGAAGCCTAAATACTGATTGTATTTCATTGCTTTCAATCAGCATTGTTAACATTTTCACCAACTGTACACGTTTTTCTTTTTTTTTCTTCATTTGAAACGACAAACTGTGAGCTTATATGTCATTAAAACATGCTTGTTACTGAAAGGAAATGCTTGTGTGTTGAAGTGTACATCTGTTTATTGACTTGGGCATCCTAAGATAAGGTCACGGAGAAATGCAAGTCTGGTGTGACTATATATTAATTTGATAATTACAGTAACTTTATACATCATGATGATTTTGATATCTGATTTTAAATGTCGGTGTGGCTATGATATGCACAGGATTCTTATTTGCATTTAGCTACTCGTCTGTGCGTTGCATAAATAGCCAATACATTTGGCCGGAAATGGTATTTTCTGATTAGTATTTTTCTGTTCTTTTGTGAACAAGCGGTGTTTTGAAAAGAAGTGGAAAGATTGGGGGGGGTGCTATGGTGAAACTGAATTTAAAACAGTACACAAATTAAGAGGAAAAGTGTCCCGTATGCTAAACAATATTTGTATTAGGACGATGGGTAAATGATGGAAGAGAGTTTAAACACTCCATACATTGTGGTAAAATGGTGCACATTTTTAATGTGGTATGACATCTCACTGACACCTGTCAAAAACTTTGCAACAAACTTTTTAAAACATTTCTCAGGGAGTTTTTTTTAAGACGTTTTTTCCAGTGAGCCTGTTACAGTGATTGAAAGATATTTGACAGCAGAAAGTTTTCAGAAAAAAAGTGATAGTGTAAAACCCAACCCACAAAAAAAAATTAAAATGGGCCATTGTATTTTCCCGTTTGTCTTTTTTTTTTATTTAAATTTTTTTTTTGCGACATTGATTGTGCACAATATGGGTAGCCTTGTTTCAAGTCCGTGTCCGCATGTATTGTTTATTGTCTTTAAAAACAAATGTCATGCTGACTGTAAGATGAACCCTTTCTTTTTTTTTAGTAACAAAAACAAAACAACAATCAAAAACCCAAGGTTCAGGAAGGAGCCAGCGTTTTAATAACTCGCTGACTAAAACAACGTGTTAAGGTGGGCGTGGTCGATCAAATTATTGAATACTGACATTGGACAACCTGCATTGTATCGTCAGTGGCATACATGTATGTAAGAAAATATGGCATGTTGTACATGAACAGTATGTATTGCAGTGTACTTTGCTACTGTCGGTTATATCACTGCGGTGGCAACATTGTCGAGGAAATGACTATAGACAAGCTAAACCACCGGATGACCCCCACTGCACTGACGTGACTCGCGCGCATATCCCATCATGCCCACACGCATATGTACTTCCGGTGAGGGAAACATCCGCATTCCATTTCGTTCCCAGGGCTTGCATCTGTCTCGGGCACATGCGATAGACAGTACGTGCAACTTGATCTGTGGGCTCGTTCATCGTGCGACGAAGTTGTGCCCCGACTGGTACCCCTTTCACGAGCCCGTGTTTAGTGCGCAAGATAATTTGAGGGAACCAGTGTAATCCTGACAACTGCACAAATTAACCGCGTTTACCACGACGAGCCGGCGTAAATCTTCTCAGCATTTGGAGGCATTTTTAGTAAAGGATTTTGAATTATTTAGCAGTATAAAATGGGAGAAAAGAGCCGCGAAGATCTGGCCTACATGGCAAGGTTAGCCGAACAAGCCGAGAGATATGATGGTAAGGAGTAAAAAGGGTAATCGTGTAGTTTAGGACACCTCCCTTTTTTGAGAAGTGACTTTTGCAAATGACTGTCAAATTTTCCAAAATGACGGTCTTTTTTTATTTCGATTAACTCCAGGTTTATTGTAATTTTGTAAAATGCGACTGTCTTGCCTGTGTTAGCACTTAGAGACGTGGGAGTTACAGCAGTGCATGCATTTGTCATGACTGTCAAAAAGTGTCAAAAAGCGTCATCAATAAAACTGTCAAAAAGTGTCATAATTTTTACCCCAAAATTTTCCTCATGAAATAGGCCTAGGCCTAGGCACTAGGCCTAAATAAAACTTAAAAGGCAGTGGGTATTTCGCCGGATCCAGCTTTCTTTAACCCAAGTATCGTACAGTACCCAAAATTCGCACTGCCATGCCCATGACTGCCTAATTCATCATGTTCATGCAATCTACTTTTACGGCTCGTTTCTTTTTGCACGGTACACGGACCGACGTCAAATTACCGTCGATGATCGATCGTCCTATCGCCTTCCTTCTCAATGAAGTTACATGGAAATTCAAAGCCTTTCCGGGAAGTAATTTGAAAAAAATCAAACAGAGACTAAATTATTGCCAAAACTTAACATCTTAATCATCGATGTCTACTTGTACCTCAGGTGGCGTATCTAGTAATTTGTAGGCTATTTTGAGGGTGAAATCTCATACTAGATTAAGAACCCCGCAAAATCGTTTTCAGCACAAAACACTAATTAAGTCTCTAAGTACAAAAAAGTCCATCAAAATGCAGACATTTCCCACAGAACCGCTGCACAGTTTGCCCCCAAACTCCGTACTACACCTCATGACATACTCACGTAATATGTGCAGAACAAACATTGCTGGATTTTGTCGGTTTTTTGGCCAAAATGATGAAAAATATGCCCTTTCCGCACTGAGCCAACCTGACACTTGAAACGTGCACGCATATGGTCCAGCGATGATTTTCGATGCGCGCCGCAGGGGGTACGGTACACTTACAAGCGAAGTGATAGTATGCGCATGCGTACAAGTGCAAGTACCGTACCCCCCGCGGCGCGCTCCGAGCGAACCGAAAATCATCGCTGGATCTTTATCTATGAGGCTCCACTATGTGGAGCCTCATAGTTCTAGGAGTATCGCCAGACCATGTCCAAATGTTAAAAAGGCGATAAATTGGGTCCAAGTTACTCGGATTAAGAATGATCCAGAAAACTAATAAACAAATCGCTACGAGTTCCCTCAACTTCCACATCTGTGTCGCCGTCTAACCCCGAAATGTAAAACTAAGCAAGTTGTAAACAACAGAGGGTGTCGTCAGTATTATGGAGCAAGAAAAATGACATGCGCCTTATATCATGTTATTATTTTACGGTCAGTTTGCAGAGATGCTGATCTCGGTACCGGGTTGTTTGTTGGAATGAATCAGACTAGGATCTTAAGTGCTCAAAACGATGCAAAAGAAGATCAGGCCAACTTTACTTACTCTTTAGCCAGCAAATTTCTCCAAAACTGTCATTAGGCAAAGAAAAGGTCCTCAGTATTTCACCAGCCAAGTTTGAAGACTCAATTCAATTTATAAAGGAGACTTTTCTTCAATATTTGATAGTGGCTTGCACAAGAGAGGGAAGTCAAGTGATTTCAAAATGAGGCTAAAGACTAGACTTCTATATGTCCAGCCATGGTCCAACTGTTTGACAAGACTGACTTCTTCATGGAGAAATGTGTAGAAATAGTGGCCTAGTACCCGATATCCTAGATATTTCTTTTGGCACAGTCAGCTGACAGTTGATTGATGCAGTACTGAAGAGTTGTTGGACTGGTTGTTTCATGTGCCAGTCTATTTTCTTGTATTGCATGTTTTCAATACCTTAAGGTTTGGGACTCTCATACACAGTAGGCCTATTGAGACTCCCAAATTTTCGGACTAGGAATGATGCTTTTTTATAGAACATATTAATGTAGGAATAAGACCTAATCGTATTGTTTGAAGTATAAAAAAATGCAATATGCATTTTTTATTGGCCAATATCTATTTCTTTTGTTAACCCTTACTCTCTGAGGGTAGTTTACTGCATGTCAGTTGGTTATGCCAATGCCCTCCAGCTGCAGTTTATTGGCAGATAGTTTGTCTTAACAGTGAAGGCTCCAATTGGCAGGAGTTGGAGGCCCTGGAGGGTGCCTGATACTGACCAGCTGGTGGCACTCACTTTGTTATCAGAGGACTCTCATTGTTCTCTGTGGCATGTATTGGAGTGCCTGTCCAGTTACCCTTGAAATGACATGGCAGATATTGGAGGGCCATGCAAAAAACATAGGAGATTTTCTTGAGGCACATATTGGCATGCGTTGGAGGGTCTAGTAGGGTAAGGGTTAATTGGCATCACTATTGCGATTATGCGTTGGCACGATCAGCCCGAGCGCTGCATGGCTGAACGCATGCCAGGACAGCATATTTAATTAATTGATATATATGTATATCGCAGGTGCATTAGAATGACCAACAACAGTCGGAGAACAGTGTCAAAGAAAAGTGATTTTGTTAAATTTTTGCTGGACATGCTGGAAGGGTCATTTCAAATAGATTTTTTCCCCATTGTACGTATATTTACGGTATACTAAAAGTTCTATCACATTAGGGCATAGCTCTTTTCCTTTTTGGCCATATTTTTTTGTGCTGATTGAATAGGGTATTCAATTATATGCGAATTTCAGTCTGAACTATTTCCATTTGCGCTACGAAAGCAATAAAGAAATTGCCACCAACTGTGATAAAAAACCTGCCTAAATTATTGCAAAAACGGTCAGTAATTCTTAAAAATAATGGAGAATTCAGGTCATGTACACCACTATGCACAATGCTAGTCACGATGGGAAACTGGCCAACAATGTCCGTATCTCGCACGGTAAGCGTGCGTGATGCCCCAGGAAAATATCGGGCAAATTCAGGCTGCGCTGATTGCTATAAGTACAAGCGGTATAACCTCGAATAAATTCATGAACACGGAAAATGCATACACAAACAAGAGAGATCAAGTTCTGTGAATTAACTTGCAGAAATCTTCTTTCTCCATCGATGTTTACAGGGCATTTTTACGTTGTCAAACCCGACCCGTAACTGCAGTGCACTCTTGAGTCCATCTATTAGTGGAGCAGACTGGTATCTGGAAGGGCTCCTACTACAGGAGCCAGACTCAAGGGTATCTGTTGTTAAGCAAGCTTGTCATGATGAGGGGGGCTGATGTTTTACACAGAAGCATTTTAAGTTTGCCAATCACAAGATCATTGTCTGCCCTTTCCTTGAACTGCTGTGACTCAACAACAAGCCCTCCCTGCTTCTTTGACAATAAGCCATTTCGGAGTTACAAAAATGTACTACTGTGCATGCGCACATCCCATGACAACGATTAGGGTCGGGGGATAAACAGTTCGCCACACGCGTGCAAAATCATAGCGGGGTACCAACAAAATTAAAGAAAAGTTCTTATTTTGAAGTAGATGCAAAATGTTGATTGTTTTCAACGGCACCATGGTTTACGTTGTTTCGTGTGCTCCAACTTTTGTGCGAACAAAAATTTCCATCTTCTGTTTTACTAGAACAAAATTGCAAAATGTGGATTCGATTACCACGTCCCCCATAGACTTGAGTGCTTTATCTGCTTTGTTTATCTTCCGACACTAAATCGTTGAATCTGATGTGTGCACGTACAGTAGTACATTTTTGTAACTCCGAAATGGCTTATTCTATTGTCATTTTTCAATACCTCCGTCTTTGTCGCATTCTGATGCATTTTTTTTCCATATTCTAGATATGGTAAAGACGATGAAAGCCATCGTGGAGATGGAGCCCAATCTGTCCTCGGAGGAGAGGAACCTCCTCTCGGTTGCCTACAAGAACGTCATCGGGGCCCGGCGTGCCTCCTGGCGGATCATCAATTCCATACAACAGAAGCATCACGACGGGAGCTGGAAGCAACAAGTCGTGGAGTCCTATCGCAAGCAGGTAACATAGACTTGCCATGTCTGTGGCAACAGCACGTGTGCCACTCCAATGCCTTACTGCGTGTTCGAGAGTGCAACATTTGTGCACGCATGTAGGACATCAGGTCAAGTAAAAAAATTTAAAAACAGTTTCTCGTCTGGGTTTTTTTCTTCCCAAAGTGGTTGGTCAAAAATGTCACAGGGCAAGGTTTAGTGGATCAATCTGTTACAGATTCGAAATCAAGTCCAGCAGGCGGGATGCAACTTCAGCATTAATCCTTAACCCTAACTCCCTAGGCCTTTTTGCTAGGATGTAGCCTCAATCCTGCAAAATCCTCCACTTGGCCTCATGGAAAAATTGCATATAGCCTTAATCCTGCAAATTCCTCCATTATTTCTTGAATATGGTCAGTGGAGGGGTGACCACCGCCTGAATCCTGCAAAATCCTGCGGCAGTAACTGTCAATATGTTGAGGCTTGGCCAGTGACATCATGGAGCAGTTCGTAAGATTTAAAGCATAATCAAGGCCTATATTTATGCATGGCTGAGCAAAAGCAACACAACGTCCGGCCCAAGACCTTGACAAATTGCATTCTAAGAAATCAGTAACGCACTTTTGCCATGTAACCTCAATCCTCCAAATTCCTCCACTTTGGCAAAGAGGATTTTGAAGGATTCAGGGCGGTTAGGGTTAGAAACAGGAGGAAATTCTGGTTGCTCGCATTACCGGAACTTGCATGTATTACACATTGATGGCTCATTTTTGACTCTGAACGTATGGAAACATAGCTGTTGCCATTTCTTGTTCTGGCAAAGATATTTTTGATTCCGTTTTATTTTTTAATTTTTTGTTAACAGATTGAACAGGAGCTGTTTGATTCCTGCCACGACGTGCTGAAGATCTTAGATTCATTCCTCATTCCAAGTTCTGCAGGCGACGACAAAATTGAGTCCAGAGTCTTCTATTACAAAATGTAAGAACTTAGGAAGCCTTTATTGTCACAAAGTGCCTTTCAGTCAATTGCATGCACAGAAAACTCTAAAAGAGGGGGACAAATGTCTGACCTATAGTTAGTCATTAACGCTAACTCCCTAGGCATTTTGCCAGGACGCAACCTCCATCCTACAAAATCGTCCAACTGCCTCCATATAAAAATTGCATACAGCCTCAATCCTGCAGAATCCTCTAGCAATCACTGTCAATATATTGAGGCAGAGCCAGTGACATCCTGGAGCAGTGCGGAGGATATCAACTATAATCTAGGCCTAAATTCATGCACGGCTGAGCATAAACAACACAAGGTCCGGCCCAAAACCTTGACACAGTGCATCCTCCAAAATCAGCCACACATTTTTGCCCTCAATCCTGCAAAATCCCCCATTTTGCAAAGAGTATTTTGGAGGATTTGGGAAGGTTTGGAATGTGATGCCTTCTCTGTTCGACTTGTAGGCCTATTAAACTGTGCAGTAACCAGGCTGCCATTCCCCTTGCTGAAAACAATAAGGGGAAAACCTGCCATTACGGAAGTTTGCATATCGCATGGATAGGTCACATTTTAAAAAGTTGGGTACTATTGAAACATTTTGGATGAATTCATAAACAGAGCTTGACCTTCGTCTTTTATTATTGACATGTAGTAAAACCTCACAAAATCTTAACCCTCCTGCCTTTTAAACAGTCACAGACAGTCAAAAATTACTTCCACTTCCCCTGCTATACTTTTAACAAAGGCTAGTCACCAGCAGTCAGATCATATGTCAAGCAAGCACTGTGAAGGGTTCTCCCCACGTACAAACGTGCGTATCGGCCCGATACGCTGGAATTGTGGCCCAATACGCCAACAAAAATGCCGATCACATTTTTCAGCCCCCGATACGCACAATATAATTTATTACACAAGCCATTAAAATGCACAACATTATCGTTTCATACGCCATTATTTCATCTTGACATTCAAAATCTTGACAAAAATCCCGTATTTCTGATGCTGCATGTGTGATCAAAATGCACACGATGACGGGTCTTTCGCGACGACCGCCAGCACCCAGCTATATATTAGCGCATTCAGCATGGTACACTGGTTCCCTTCGCGTGCTAACAGTATCAATGCTATGATGAAGGACCGCAACCAGTGACTACTGCCTTGTACGTGCATACATGATGATTTCGGCCGAAGTTGGATCGTAAAAACACCAAACAAACATCGATGGAGAAAGAGAATTTCTGCAAATTAATTCACAGAACGTGATCTCTATTTTCTGTGTATGTATTTTCCATTAAAATGACGAGAGTGCAAAGCTCGAACGTATGGCGAAACATCGTACGCGTAGCATGCTTCTTAGAAGCAGTGGTGCACAATTTTCAGCCACATGGGATGGGCCGTACACAGTTCAGTAATGCACACTGATGCTGCGCCGTGAGCACAGCGCCATGTACAGCCGGTCAAACTCAGTCAACAGGCAAAAGCAGGCAGGTTGTGGTCACAGCTGTTTTATCACACACCCAGAGTCAAAGCATAGCTGTACCAAGTAACTTGAACCAGTCCCAGCCAGTCAATGATACTTTATGTAGGCTAGGACCATTGAAACAATGCCCGTGCAGGAGAGGTTCCACCTCAGGATGGCGATAGCTGAATCAGTCTGTTCCAAGCCGCATACATGTCAGGGTATCTCCAGTACGGTTCCTGCACAATTTCTAATGTTCTGCGATGTTTTTTGTCTGTGTCTTGAAGGAAAGGGGACTACTTCCGCTACTTGGCCGAGGTCTGCCAAGAGGATAAGAGAAAAGAACCCACAGAGAGCGCTCTGGAAGCCTACGAGCAGGCAGTCAAGGACGCCAGCGGGGACAACGGCCTGCCGACTACGCACCCGATTCGCCTTGGACTGGCCCTGAACTTCTCCGTCTTCTACTACGAGATTATGCTCAAGCAGGTAAAGACGACAGCATGGGCCTCGTTGGGCCTAATGTCTTGGCTTTGTTTACCATAAATGAAGAATCTCTGGAATGGAATGCAACGGATTCCAGACCTTTTCATAAGCCCAGAATTTCTGTGTTGTGCTGTTGGCACAGAATGGTGACCAGAAACTGTAGTCGAGTCCATCACAAATCATCACAAGGTCTCGCAAGTCTGTCACAAGTCAGTCACAAGTCAGTCACAAGTCAGTCACAAGTCTGTCACAAGTCCGTCACGAGTCGGTCACAAGTCAGTCACAAGCACCTCACAAGTCCGTCACAAGTCCGTCACAAGTCAGTCACAAGTCAGTCACAAGTCAGTCACAAGTCAATCACAAGTCAGTCACAAGTCAGTCACAAGTCAGTCACAAGTCAGTCACAAGTCAGTCACAAGTCAGTCACAAGTCAGTCACATGTCAGTCACAAGTCAGTCACAAGTCAGTCACAAGTCATCCTGTTCCTGCTCAAGTGGTATCATTACGCTGCACCCTCATGTTCTTTGGATCGTGATTACCCATCAATGCATTGTAAAACTCAGACTCAGATATAAAATTTTCATTGTCCCAAATACAATTCATAGGGATGTAAGAACTTCTGCAATTACCTGATTTCAAGCTTTTTTTTTTAATTGTTATACCTTAGATTTTTGGCAAACAAAATTAAAAACTGCCCTCTTAAATCCCTTGGTTGAAGCATATAAATATTTATATATACGCATTTTAAACTTATACCACAGCATTCCATGTGTACGCATATTTAAGAAACAAAGCGACCAGTAGATAGACTTAAATAACATGGGGCATAGCAACCAAAACAGTTGCAGAAACTTGGCAGTGGCTGCCTGCTCTCAGAACAATTTTTAATTCAGAACAGGTTTCCAGACAAGTCGAGATAATCTCTCAACATTTCTCTCAGATGACGAGTCGTGGAATAGCTAGTGCATGGTTGTCCATATGACCTCTGATTTGGTGTCCAGTCTAGATGGAAGAGATTAACGCATTGAAGTTGTTGGGTTTTTTTGGGGAGGGGGGATTTTGGAGGGGCAGGGGTGGGGTGGCAAGACACCGTGTGATTCTAAGCAGGGTTCAACCTTAACTTTTTTTTCACTAGCCAGCTGGGCTACTGATAACAGACTCTTAACTATCCCTCGGGCATTTTCACTAGCCCACATTTGTTTTCTTTTAAAGAGTTTCTCATAACAACAATGTACATACATGTAAAATGTGTATCCTGAGGCAATCTTGTCAGTGTTTTTAATAAACAGATCTAATGAGTAGACACAAAGTGATACAGGTTTGCTTTCTGATATTTAATGATTTATTTCTTCCTGTCCTTTCATCTTTGCCGTAGCCCAATCATTGTTGACTCGCCAGCCGACCTACTGAAGGAATAGTTTGACTAGCCCGCCGCTGTTTTGACTAGCATTTGGCTAGTAGGCTACCGCTTAAGTCGAACCTTGTTAAGTGGTGCTTTTTGTTTTGCAAACTTGTATGTGTATAGGATAAAGCTTGTGAGGTGGCAAAGAAGGCATTCGATGACGCCATCAGCGAATTGGATAGCATGCAGCAAGACACCTACAAGGACTCCACTCTCATTCTACAGTTGATCAGAGACAACCTGACCCTCTGGACGTCGGAGAGCGAGTCGGAAGGTAGGTCAGACACAGTGACACAAGGGTGGGGGAATGGAAGGTTGAGAGTTTGTCAGAGACATCCTGATGCTGTGGATGTTGGAGAGCGAGTCGGAAGGTGGGTCAGACACAGTGAGACAAGGGTGGGTGAATGGAAGGTTGTGAGTTTGTCAGTGACACCCTGATGCTTGGATGTTGGAGAGCGAGTCGGAAGGTGGGTCAGACACAGTGAGACAAGGGTGGGGGAATGGAAGGGTGTGAGGTTGTCGGAGACATCCTGATGCTGTGGATGTTGGAGAGCGAGTTGGAAGGTAGGACATACATTGTCAGGCATGGGTGGGGAAGGAAGGATGTGGGTTTGTCAGAGACATCCTGATGCTTTGGACGTCGGAGAGTGAGTCAGAAGGTAGGTCAGACACAGTGAGACAAGGGTGGGGGAATGGAAGGTTGTGAGTTTGTCAGAGACACCCTGATGCTTGGATGTTGGAGAGCGAGTCGGAAGGTGGGTCAGACACAGTGAGACAAGGGTGGGTGAATGGAAGGGTGTGAAGTCGGAGACATCCTGATGCTCTGGATGTTGGAGAGCGAGTCAGAAGGTAGGACATACATTGTCAGGCATGGGTGGGGAAGGAAGGATGTGGGTTTGTCAGAGACATCCTGCTGCTTTGGATGTTGGAGAGCGAGTCGGAAGGTAGGACATACATTGTCAGGCATGGGTGGGGAAGGAAGGATGTGGGTTTGTCAGAGACATCCTGCTGCTTTGGATGTTGGAGAGCGAGTCGGAAGGTAGGACATACATTGTCAGGCATGGGTGGGGAAGGAAGGATGTGGGTTTGTCAGAGATATCCTGATGCTCTGGATGTTGGAGAGCGAGTCGGAAGGTAGGACATACATTGTCAGGCATGGGTGGGGAAGGAAGGATGTGGGTTTGTCAGAGACATCCTGCTGCTTTGGATGTTGGAGAGCGAGTCGGAAGGTAGGACATACATTGTCAGGCATGGGTGGGGAAGGAAGGATGTGGGTTTGTCAGAGATATCCTGATGCTCTGGATGTTGGAGAGCGAGTTGGAAGGTAGGACATACATTGTCGGGCATGGGTGGGGAAGGAAGGATGTGGGTTTGTCAGAGACATCCTGATGCTCTGGATGTTGGAGAGCGAGTCGGAAGGTAGGACATACATTGTCAGGCATGGGTGGGGAAGGAAGGATGTGGGTTTGTCAGAGACATCCTGATGCTCTGGATGTTGGAGAGCGAGTCGGAAGGTAGGACATACATTGTCAGGCATGGGTGGGGAAGGAAGGATGTGGGTTTGTCGGAGACATCCTGCTGCTTTGGATGTTGGAGAGCGAGTTGGAAGGTAGGATATACATTGTCAGGCATCGGTGGGGAAAGAAGGATGTGGGTTTGTCAATGACTACCTGACCCCCTGGATGTCGGAGAGTGAGTCAGAAGGTAGGTCATACACAGTGACACAAGGGTGAGGAAATGGAAGGGTGTGAGTTTATCAGAGACATCCTGATGCTCTGGATATTGGAGAGTGAGTCGCAAGGTAGGTCATACACAGTGAAACATAGATGAGAAATGGAAGGGTGTGAAGTCGGAGACATCCTTACCCCTCTGGATGTCGGAAAGTGAGTCGGAAGGTAGGTCATACACTCTGAGACATGGGTGGGGAATGGGAGGGTGTGAGTTCATCAATGACAACGTGACCCTCTGGATGCCGGAAAGTGAGTCAAAATGTAGGTCGTACATTGTCAGACAAGGGAGGGGAAATGGAATGCGGTAAGTTTGTCAGAGGCAACTCAATCCTCTTGATTTCGGAGATTGGGTTGGAAAGTTGATCATACATTGTTAGAGAACGGTGGCAAATGGAAGAGTGAGTTTTGTCGGGGACAATCTGGAGGTTTGGGTCAGAGATGGTGTTATGTTGGTGGGGAATTAGATGGTGAGGCAGTCGGTTTGAGTTATTCAGGGACAGCCTGATGTTGTGGACATCAGGAAGCAAATCAGAAGGTAGACCGTAAGAAATGGGTGAAGCAGTGGGTCGGGGTTTGCTCATGCTTTTTCCACTGTAAAATGTAAACTCTAGCTGCGACATTTTAATTATGTATAGAAGTTAAAAGAGGGGTTGGCTTCGTTGGAAAACATTGTCGGTGAACTCACAGTATGAACAGTACTTAGTGATCACTCATGAGCTCACCGCTGGTTTGGGTGCATATGCCTCAACTTTGTGGGATGATATTCCTCTGAATGTTCACAAACTCGAATTGCCTTTGCATGAGTGCCAGTTGTACAGTTGCAATGTGTTTCAGTCCCTCCTTTGGGAGCGTCTCAAAAGTCGTAGCGTTCCCTTTTAATAGGAACACTGTGTGTTCTAATCGGGAACGCGCTGTGTTCCCGAGTGAGCGTGCACGCGCGTGGACCAACGTCACCGCTCGGGATCACCTGGCGTTCCCGGGCTGTTCCAAGTGGGAACAACGCATGTTCCCAATAGACCTAAGACCTAATGACATAATGGCTTTGTTTACATATGCGCTTTCCTATGGGAGGCAAGTCGGGACGCCAGACGAAGTAGGGACCATCTTCCACATAGGAAAGCGCACTTGTAAACAAAGCGTAACGTCATTAGGTCTCAGGCCTATTGGAACATTCCCCACTGGAACGTTCCAAGCGTTCCGACTTCTAAGATGTTCCCTTACCTTCTCTTTGTAACTGCGCAAGGGGGTGCTTCTGCGCGCAGTTCATATTTCTGTTGGAACGCCCTACATAAATTTCGTGAAAAGTGACGTCGGTGATTTTGTTTGTTTTTTTCATAGGGAGGGTCGATGACAATGATGACCAACAGCAGGATGCATAACGTCGCACAGTCTATTACAGACTGACGCCGAATCTGAGTAATTGTAGGTATGGACAGGGTCTCAACTTTGTTTTGAGGGGGGGGGAACCCTCCAATAGTTTCATCTTGAAATTTGTGGCAGAGACATATAGTTTTAGCGATAAAATGTTGTGCCTTAAAAGGGAATATACAACATTTGTAAACATCAAAAAACAAAACTACCAAATTATTATGAAATACCTTACTGGACTGTTATTGAATGACAGTCTAAAGCATCCTGTACAATCATGGCACCTGGTGTGCTGACACTTTCAAGAAAAGTGGTATTTTTGTATCCGTTTCCAACACTGGTCGGCTGACCAGCATTGGAAACAAACTGTTTTTTTTTTTCAAATTCTGCTCCCAATTTACCATATTTAGTTAGTCTGAATTTTGTTTGCAATCGATTACACATCTATGAACGGGTACAAGCCTTCTAGACTGGTTCCCTGACCTATTACAATTCCCAGACGTCTATAAATAGCTCCATTTCAATTTAAGTGGGTTCAGGGAACCAGACTACAAGAACATGATTGTTTTTCTGAGTTTTTCCAGCATCTATGAACACAAAACCTCATACAAGTCGGTGTAAAATACTAATCCCCAAATCCATCCATTTCTGAAACATACAGCAAAAGCAAATGTTGTGTATTCCATGTAAGGAGTGGGAATCAAAACAATGTGCGATTGCATGTGTCAAGTATTTTTGATAATCCTCATTGAGCACCATATCCAGCCTGTATCGGCTTGCCGTGCGTAGATTCAAATGGACCTTTATCATGCTGCCACCATTTCAGTCATGTTCCCTGTATCCAATAACAGTACTGAATGATAATGTTTTTGTGCAAAAAGGAACCAGACTATTTTTTCTTCCAGCTTTGCTTTGGTTACGTTGATTTGAATGGGAAAAAATCAAGATGGCCGCAACATGATAATGGTCTATTACAGTGAATAGAAGCAATGTGTGTAAGGACTGAAAAGCTGCTGTAAACTGCATTGAATGGATGCTCCTATTTAATATTTTCATTTTATTTTACCCTCGCCAACATGCAGATTTAAGGTATCCCTACCAGTACCAGCCCGAGCCTCTCCGAAAACCCTCATTCAAAGAAGTCATCCAGCCGACACCTTGGTGGACGAGGTTAATTTTTTTTCTCGATTTGACACCCTGGCATACTTCTATAGCAGAATCAGTTTCGAACCTATTGTTTATTTGTCTTTAGTAAGAGCCTTCTAACAGTCAAAGAAATTTTAAATGAGCATCATTATGTAGAACATAAAAAAAACCTTAGCCTTGTTACCACTAACGATAAGACATATTGGCGTATGGTCTAACAACAGATACAGGGAAATCATTAGCGCGGGATAAAATTGGGGGAAAGTGGCATTTAAAGGTATAGTCCATCATTTGTAATTTGTGCATTTTGTTCGTTTGAAGCAACAAACGTGCTCAAAACCTAAAGAAGTGTGCTGAACAACTAACCTGATGAACTTTCAGCTCAGCTTAAGCTGTATATTTTGAGAAAAACAGCATTCTAGGATCTGGATTTCAAATCGAAAGTTGCTGAATCATGTTTTGAATCGGGCCTGAATTCAGCCTCCGAGACACGTTCTCACTGAGCCGATTTCAGCTAGGCGATGTCACGCACTGATCCCACGAATTATAGCAACAGCGCGAAAATTTCCAACGGTGCGTCCGTTGGAAAGGCCTTTTTTCGTGGTTTTCTTCTAAATGACAGCTTGTCAGAAAGAATAATTTCACAGGGAGTTTAGTCCCCTTACTATCTTTCAACCAAGTATGTTTTTTCAACAATAATTACGCCAGTTACTTTTTGGATAGCTGCAAATGATGGACTGTAGCTTTAAGATGGAAATTAAAAGGGCATTATTTTACAGAATTTGCAGTCATTAGACAAATGCATTGTACTGCATGCTTCTATCACAGTTGCATTTGTTACTCATGTAGAAGCACAATGATACAAACGCACAATGGCTGAAATCTGCCTCACATTTGTTGGGAGTTGTTCCCCCCCCCCCCCCACTGTTTCTCCTCAAACGGACCCCAAAAGGGGGAAATTTCACACAAGCTCATGACATAAATGTTGACCTTTTTTTATCTTGCGGTAGTGGTGCGTCAAGTTGTAGTGGATTAGTGTATGTTACATTCAGATGTCCTTTTACTATACCAACTTTGGCCCCACCCTTCCCCCTTCTGTTTCACACTGTGGCAAAAATTAACTCTCATCCAACCACCCTATCCTGCCCTTAACAGAAAAAAAGGATTATGAAATATGTTCATGGAAAATTCAGTGTACTTTTTAGCTGTCATTTGTGTAGTGGTTAAATGATTGATTTCCAGCCCAATTTGTAAATGAACAGCACCACATCCCAGTGCCACGCCCTAGTGCCACGCCCCAGTGCCATGCCCCACCCTGTCTCAAACACATTTGGATCAAAGTTTGGCTCTGATCCCTTATACCCAACCCTACCCAAAACTTGCTCTGCCCGGCCCTGTCCAAACCAGGCCTCGCCAAAACAATGCCCCACCCAACTCCTCATGGATCTATATAGCTCCATGTTTTAACCCATATCCAATTGCCCTGCCACACCTGCCCCCGCCCAACCCCACCCTTTTCTATCCCAACCCTGCCGTGACCTTTAAGACTACCCCTTTGTTCTGCCCTCCACCCCCCCCCCCCAATCTTCACCAACCTATTCAACATTCAGAAAAGTAGAAGTTATACCAGCAGGCAAATATCATGCGTTAATTGGCTTGCATCCATTTGGGTAAAAGTATAGCTAGTATAAACGACTTGCTCTAGCCAACATTTTAGTGAATGGTAAAAAAAAATTGTGAGTGCTAGCTTTAAGCTTCCATCTTTTATGGAAAAATAGAATATTTTGTCATTAGATATCTTGCGAGTTAGCTGGTACAAAAAAAAAAAGCCATAATATGGTGCCTAGTTTATAGGAAGTAGGCGTGGTTTAGAATATCTGATTTATTCTTGTATTATTAAAACATTGGTAAGCAAATGTGTAATTGCTGTTTTTTGTTTGAGTGATATTAGATTAGTATTATTTTTTTTTTTTTTTTTTTTTTTCCCGCACACCGGGCTGCTTCTGTTTTATACATATTATTTAAATTTAAAAGAGGTACACAGATGTCATTAGAGTGTAGAATGGTTATAATTGTTGTTTTTTCTTTTATATTGAAAGTGTTCTGCGTAATCACAACACGTCGAGAAGGATTGCTGTTACCTTGGTATAAAACTAGAAAAGGCACACCGCTGCACTCCGGTGCGATTCACGAGTGCTGCGTTGGCATGAGATGCCATGGCACAGCAAGTGTATGCTTTAACCCCAGTATAGTGCACCATAATCGATATTAGGAATGAAATCGCACAGCACATCATCCGATATCACATCTTACATTGGATTCAACACTTAATTCTGAAGATGCATGAAAAACATTTGCATCTTTTTTTTTCTCTCCGTTTCAGAGAAAGAAATGTTTTGACTGCTGCATTTAAGCTACAAAATAACTGCTTCTCCATTTTGAGGTTATCTATAAAAAAAATACTTTTCATATCAAGAATAGTGTAAGCTTTGAACAAAACTAATAACATCAGCGGCTTCTTTTTTTATGTTACATGCAGTCTACGGGTATTGTTATAATTTTTATGAAAAAGAAAAAGACTTGTTAGCTCGTATGTTCAGGAAGTAGGCTTGCTAATTGTAGGAGAATGTCCCATGTACACGGATTAAAAACAAAACAAAAACAAGCTCCCTCATTCGGTTAAATCATTGATCAGGTCTTCACAAATTTGAACTTGCAGAAGACACTTGATATCCGATATTGTTTCAACTAATAAAAGAACCAATTTAAGCACTCTAGAATGGAGACTTTGCTTCGATTGTTTTATTGCTTGTTGGGTCCACACTACGTAGCAAAAGTGAAAACATTCCCTGAAGTTTATGTTGCTTTTAATTCGTTTTAATTAAGTACGCGTATTGGTAAAACAATCCACTTTAACTGCAATACTTATTAGAGTAAAAATATTTTCAACAAAGTACCCAGCACTGATTATTTTGCACTAAAGCCATCTTTTGAGGGCAGTGCTTTTGTTCATTTTGTTGTTACAGAATTCAAATGACACAAACCCTCTAAGATGTCTGCCACATGCACACGTCTTATAGGTCCAGTAATTTGCAGCACTTTTCTTCAGAACTGCAGCCTCAACTACGCAAAAAAAGTATTCCGAATTTCAGAATAACAGAAAATTGTTTGAAAATTCCTGGGTTTTTTTTTTTTAATTCAAATTACACAAATTGGACCTTGCAAATTTAAGTTACTCTACCCATGATCGTCAACAAGTTTGTTTATTCCCCCTTAGGAATTCTAAATCTATAAACGACTTGATACATCTTTTATTGTTACTTTGGACGTATGTAATAGTCTAACCAAAAATGTATATAAGGTTACTTTTTTTAGCCGAAAACAAATGATCCGCCTGAAGTCTGGCGTATCCTAGTAATTATTCTTTAATAAACATTGGCGGATTTTTCGTTCGATGTCTATTCATTCATTAAATGGTTTTTATGGAATCAATCATGACTTGCAGCTAAGGGCTAAATTGAACATGATTTACAGTAACTGGCAAAAATAGTAATCCCATAAAAAAACATTATTAGCATTAAAACATTAAACTGACCAAAAAAATCCCGAATACACAACAAAAACCAGACAAAGGTCTAATTTAAAAGGAATACCTTTTGTGTCGCTAGATGGAAAAATAGCAATTAACATTAATTTGGGATGAGTGAAGCAGTATTTTGGAAGACAGAATAGGACTCGGATCGCAGGTAATTTTACTTATATTAAAAAAGAATTCATTTCTTCCATAACAATTCGTTTTGGCTACCTGGTGGTTTATTTTGAAATGTGCCAGCCGAGCCTTACAGGAAAAAAGCGCCCTCTTTGCCGCAAAGAGAACTCGGACTGCATGGTTATAGCAGCACGTCTTGGGACTCTCACACGGGAATTGTATGTCAAAGAGATTCACAAAGGGCAAAACGATTGATTGAGATCGTGTTTCTCACCTATAATCGACGCATTATACTGTTGAATGTCCGTATAGCCTTGCTATAAAGTTAAGTTGACTTTCTGATAAAGTTAAATTACCTTTATTGACACTACAGAAAATAAAGCGCTGTATAGTTGCGTCACTTTAATTAGGCATATACTTTGAATTCCCGTCCTTTATCCCAAAGAACACCACTTACCACTTCACTGGAACATTAAATCAGGATTTTACCCGCTAGTTCTGAAGAATCTAATAATTTAAAAACAGGAGATTTTATTTTACTGATAAGGCACTTCATATTGTTCGGTTTTTCACACACGTGTGCATGTACATTCATTACTGTTACAAATTGCACGCGTAAGAAAAAATAGTTCCACTGAATATGATCGCACTTTTTTTTCTACTTAATCTTAAATATAAAAACCTTTTTTTCGCTTCAGTTGGTCTGTAATTTAGATGCTGTTGACAACGAAAAAAAATATGAAATACTGCGGGACTTGAATTAAAAATGTACAAATTAGTCCGCTTAAAATTGAACCCGTTGGTAAGGTTACCGGAACTACAAAAATTTCTCAATTAATTTAAACTGGTACCTGACTCACGGGAACGGCTCGGACAACGTTTACTTCAAACCAAGGCGGTCGGACACCAGCGCCATGTATTTGTCATTTTCGAGTGGTACATGGTATGCGCGTTTACCACAGACTAAAGCACACGGTTTATGCACATGTTCTATCGGCGTTTGGACATGTACCATAGAGCTGTATGAACTACATGTCTTTGCATATATGCAGCATAGCATAGCACTAGCAGCAAGTGGAATATCGTCTGCACTTTGCACACCTCACCTCAAGCCGCCTGACCTCAAAACCATCTTGCTGAAAAAGGGCTAGATCTCCGGCGTTTGTTCACCGTGTCACTGCAGTAGTTGTCACTGATCATGGGCGACATCGGGACTCGGGAGGACTTAGTTTACATGGCCAAGCTGGCCGAACAAGCTGAGAGATACGATGGTAAAATATTCTGAAAGTCCTATCTTAATCGCAGGCACCCATTGTTTGTACTGCACCATTTTCGTGAAAATTGAAAAATTTGTATTTACCTCTTTGAATTACTTGTTGATCCTTATTTATAATAATGCACCTACATGTATATTTCCTGTCTAATTTCCTGATATGTCTGACCATGTTGATTGCCCCTCCCCTTTTGCCATTTTGTTAATTCGGGCCTACGGCTAGGCTACGCTGTTCCTATTTTTATGGAATTTGACTGTTGCGCATATAGCATGCGTCATTTGTCAAGCTAATGATTCGCGGACTTAAATACATCGGTCCAAACCAACCACCCTGTTGGCGGCTACGCGGATACGGAGTGAGAATGCATTGTATACAAGTAGCGCTGAGAAGGTTTATTGAGGGCAATCAACCGTGACTCCGTAGCCGGCTACGAGGTGGATAGATTGAGTGGCGGGGTATTCTGCAATTGTGCCAATACATCCTTCAGAGCTGTGAATCAGAAAGAAAAATCTCATCTACTTCAAAATTGTAGAATTTGTTTTTAAAACAATAAAATTAAGAAAATAGGGAGTAATTGCAGAATACCCTGCCACTCGGAAAAACACCCCTAAAATCTCTGGCTACGCAGTTGGAATCACTGGAAAAGAAACAATTCAAGTCCATTGCCAGCTACGCGGATACTGAGTGGGGGTCCCCTTGAGAACGAAGCAACACAACATGAATGGGAGTTGCTGAAAAAATTAAAAGTCCAAACCAACTACCCTGTTGCCGGCTACGCGGATACCGAGTGGGAGTGCAGTGGAGCATGACGTGTACTGTGTAGGCCTAGCGCTGAGAAGGTTTATTCAGGGCAATCAACAATGACTCCGTAGCCGGCTACGAGGTGCATAGATCGAGTGGTGGGGTATTCTGCAATTGTGCCAAAGAATTATTGTAGGAATGTAAAACCTCATCAGGGACCTAGGCTAGGCAAGATTTGCAGTGTTAATAATGATTTAAATAAAAGTTGAAATCAGTAACTCGGCCTATAGACATTGAAAAACGGGTTAGGCCTATTCTGTAAACATAGCCACCACTGACCACTGTGGGTTTTTTATCACCAGTCGTCCAGTAGTCAGTACAGGTGAAGGTTTACCTTGCCTACACTTTACATGGCTATAATTATGTTCTACAAATGTGTGATGTCAAGAACAGGTTCATTACAATACATGATGGTTTTGCTTCTAGTTAAGGCATACCTAGTCCAAAAAATTGGGGCTTTCATTTTTCAATACTGTGTATGAGAGTCCCAAAACTTAACCCTAACAAAACTCAACCTATCAAACCCCAACGGCATGTTTTGTTGGAATCTGTCAGGATGGGTACAGTACCCCTAAACTGACAGTCTTTTACATTGGGTTGGCACAGAGTCGAAGTCAGAAATATGTGTCCCATATGGTGTTTGCCAGGATGGGTATGGCTCCTAAGTTAGGGTTACGTTACTGAAAACATGCAACACAAGAAAATAGACTGGCACATAAAACCACCAGTCCAACAACCCTTTTGTACTGCATCGGTCAACTGTGTCAAAAGAAACATCTGGTACACGGTCTCTATTTCTATCCATAAATTCCTCCATGGTCTGCCACCAGACTACTGAAGGGTCAATCTTTTGAAACAGTTGGACAAGTACCAGTCTAGTCTTATGCTTCAAACTGAAATCCCTTGGCTTGGCTCTGAGGTACAAAATGTTGAAGAAAAGTCTCCTTTAACCCCCACCTTCCCAAAATCCTCAAAAATCCTCTTTGCAAAATAGAGGATTTTGCAGGGATAGATCCCTAACAGTCCTGAATCCTCCAATTTCAATATGATTTTGCACACCCCCTAGGGAGTTAGGGTTAAGGCTATATTGCAAAAATGTGCGGCTGATTTTGAAGGATGCACTGTGTCAAGGTCTTAGGCCGGACCTTGTGTTGTTTATGCTTAGCTGTGCATACATTTAGGCCTAGATTATACTTGAAATCCTGCGCACTGCTCCAGGATGTCCCTGGCTCTGCCCTCAAAATATTGACAGTGGAAGCTGGAGGATGTTGCAGGATTGAGGCGATGGTCACCCTTCCAGGGACCACACTCAAGAAATAATGGATGATTTTGGAGGATTGAGATTGTATGCAATTTGCACATGGAGGCAGTTGGAGGATTTTGCAGGATTGGGGTTGCATTCTAGCAAAAATGCCTAGGGAGTTAGGGTCAAAAATTAAATTGAGAGTTTGAGACTTCACACTTGGCTGGTGAAATACTGGGGACATTGCCTTTGCTTCAAGGAAATTTTGGAGATTGTTAGTGAGAATGCCCGCGGGCTAGTTGAGAGTCCGTTTCAGTAGCCCAGCTGGCTAGTGAACACAAAAGTTAAGGTCGAACCCTGTTTTTTTTTTTTAATTCTCGACTCTAGTTGTGCCTTAAATGCCTTGGGAAACAAATTCAAGAGAATCCGATAAATTGACCTATCGCCGCCCTGCGAGTTAGCCACGCCCCTTACACAACCCTATGGAGTTTCTGTACACTAAGTTTTGTTTGTCTCAGATTTTGCGCGTTCCGCGTCCATTTGTATATCTTGTAATTGGACAATACATGTATTTCACAAGCTGCGTTGACGCGATTCTGACGCGATTCTACCGCAATAGGTCAAGAACAACTTGTCCTAAACTCATCTTTCTCTTAATCCATTTTCCTCCCAAATAAAGTGCATTTATTTTTATTTTTTAGGGGGGGGGGGAGGATTGGCTTCAAAGGAAACAGTTACTTGTAATAGAAATGATGTGAAAAACAGGTTTTTGACTGTTCTGTCCTATGTTTGACATGTTTCCTGAGTGTTGACATTTCATGTACACTTTTGCCTTTATGAGGTCATGTGATTCACTTTAACCAATTACGGACCAGGTATCATGCTGACCTCTGTGGGATGTTTTCAGTGTGTGATGTCATGGTTGTCATGCCAACTCTAGGCACACCTCTGGTGAAAGTACGGGGCAAGTGGAATTGTACGAACCTTGTTGGAAGCTACTGTTACAGTGTATAACTGTGGTGTGGTACAAACAAAATTAATTGGGAAAAAAAGAGAGATGTTTTTTAATTTATCCTGCAACATGTTCAAAAATACTACCTACTTTTTTAGCTTGGTTAGTATTTTTTAGTAGTATGAAAACAAAACTAATTTCTACAAACACTTATTTTTGAACAAAATGTGGCATACCAGTTAAAAGTGTGATGTGAATCTGATGGCTGTTTTTATGTCAACAGTGGATTTTCTGTTGCTCATTAATCTGCTCAGTGCTGTGAAGTACATGTAAAGTGATTTTTTTTTCTCATAAATTTGTACAGTATCTTGTCTTGACGGCATCTATGCCAAATATCATGCATTACAGAGGGCGAATTAATGGCCAGACATCACACACATACATGTACTGGCCATTAACCATATTTGTCTGATCAGACTTGGTAGTACATAGGTACTGTTCTGTCATTACTGTGAGTGCATACTAAGTGCATGTGACAGTGCGGAATGGATTGTGCAATGTACATGTACATAGGTCATTTCTGTCAAAACAGTTCTTGAGTTGAATTTCACCCACTAAATTATACCGGACACTTATGTATTAAATATCACACAATGAAATGCATTAAATATAATTGTCAGTTTTGGATTGTGTGTACATGTGTACATTTTCTTTTAAAATGCTCCAGCCTCCTCTGTTAAATTAAAGTACAGCAAATTGGATGATTATCCTACCTGCACAGTGCACAGAAGGTTTTAAATTTCAATCAATTTGCAAAAGGTGGAATCTGACGGCAATTTATCTCATTTGTAAGCTGGTCAAACCTTGGTTTAATGAACTGTGTAGACTTTGAGACAATCTACAGGACAATCAGGAGTGGGAAAAATCACAATTCATGTAGAAAGAAAGTACTTAAAGGGACATTTTGCCTAGAATACGCCCAATTGGGCAACAAAATGTATTTTTTAAACGCAATGATGTTAATTGGAAGGAGCGTCTAAAAGTAACGTCCACACAACCATCCTTTAAAAACTGGGCGTTTTTGTGTTATTCTTGCGAGAACGAATTTCGGGTGTCAAAATTTTGACTCTCAAAAATCAAGCTGTTGAGTGCTAGTTGTGAATCCTGCCGCACAGTGCATCGCATTCTGCAGACGTGCGAGAAACAACATTTGTGTATAGGTGCTGTGTGTATTATGTGTCACACACACAACATGTACTGTACATTGAACACGGCTGGAAATACGTATGCGTTGCCACAAAATGTCCGCCGTGTCCAATGTAAACAACCAGGTTCTTTCGTCTTTTCTCGGGAACGGTAAGACATTAGGTTACCCTGAAATAGGGTAAGTAAACAATCCAAAACATTTTTTTTGGGGGGGGGGGGATTTCAGGCCGTAATGTCCCTTTAAATGGATGGATCAACAGCACCACTGAGTTTTATTACCACTACAAACGGATTTTCATCACAATACTGGACAAACAGTTTTGGGAATTTTGGAAGTTAAATGTACATGTAAGGGTAAGCTTAATGCACCACCAATGATAAGTATTCATGTTCCTGTTGAACTTTGTGACCAAGAATGTGATGAATGTGTCATTCACTTTCCAGCTTGGGGCTGCAGGGATGTTTGTATAGAACATGTCATTTTTGACGTCATTCCTGTCGGTTGGCGATTGGCAACATAGCCAACCCACTGTCTTCCTCATGTGATTTCCTCATACTGTACAGTAAACATCAGTGCTTGAAAACCACCCATATAGGTTGAGTTAAAAACATGCAGTGCAGAATAGAACTCTGTGCTGAAAGTTGGATTCAAAGACTACAGTGTGTAATTTTGTGAACAAGTGTGATATGGTCTGCAGGCTGTACAGTGTCCTGTACAGGATGCATCATCAAATGGAGTCCCAATAGAATACAATGATAAGTGGCAAATGTGGACTTTTGTAGACTCTTTGGGTT